TAAAACAATAAAATCAATAAAAACAATCCAGACAAATGTTGATGAGAAGCCTCTCCCCTTGAGTGAGGAGGATGCAGATCCATGACTTCCAAAATTAAAGTTAAATTTTAATGATACCAGGCAGACTGCAGCTTCACTGACTACTTGATTCATGTTGTTGCCATCCAATTCAAAATGAGCAGAATTTTTTCCCACCAGCATATTTGTTCTGATTTATGATAATTATATGATATTCTGTATTTGCTGTTTTAATCACATTTTACACAGTGTCTCAGCTTTAGTTCACAAAGATGCAAACAGGAGGTGAGCTGTCCGGAGCGTGGATCACAGAATACAAAGAAAATACTAGCAGCCATTTTAATGTAAAACTTGATGACAGATCTACCTGAAATGTCTGTTAGAAGTAATGACATCCACCTTCATTCAGCTGCAGCAGGTTTAGGTAAACCAACCAGGTACTGCTGTGTTTTCTCTGTCGAAGGTTTTCTCTAATCCCACAGCCTGCAGTCACGTTCTCTGACACACACACACACACACGCATGCGCACGCACCTTGTTCAAACACAGGACAGGAGATAAAACCAAACCTGAATGTTTCCTGTATGTCCTGGAAAAAACACCTGAACACAGGTAGTATTTATGGTAGCCCGGGGGACATTTTTCAGATACACAGGAGTTACAAAACATAATTACTCATCTAAAGTCAACAGATACAACTGTGAGAACATTTGCATCATCCTGCATGCAGACTTTAGGTTTTGGATTGCCGCTTGGCCACATGTTCATGATAAATTCAGAGAGACGTTTCTGTGGTTCTCAGAGAGCCGAGGAGGAGGAGGAGGCAGGGGGAGGATGAAGAAGGCATACATCTCTGTGGGACTCTGCCAGGTTTGGAGGTTCAGCTCCCTGCACAGATCAATGAGCAGAGAAATGCAGCCAGGCTGCCAGGTTTGGGATTTAGACACACAATGAGCCATGCAGGCTGGGGATGGAAGCACCTGCAGCTTCCATAATGTGCTCTGAACAGAAAGGCAAATTTAATTGAATGTTAAACAGAAAATCCCACCATGCTCCTCCGCTCATACATGTCATATCTGTCATGCTCGATGCATTTAAGGACGTATTTTTTGTGCAAACACAATGACATGTTTTTACTGCTTTATATTTGTAAAAAAAGGCACATGCATTCATGTATTCTGGGTCTGTGTTTCTGTATGAGGATGTCTCTCTCTTTTTTTTTACCTTCATACTTGCTTTTCCAACATCATAGAAGTGTGTTAATGGAGACAGTAGGCTTTGTTTTTTCTGTGTCAAACTCAGTCCTGGTCTTACTGATCCAACAAACATGTAAAGGAAAAGCTGGAGCATAAATGATGTTCTTTAAACCTAAATCTTACGTAAAGAGGTGTGTTCTTCATAAATCCAGCCAGCACAAATTTAACAGAGGAAAGAGCAATAGAGACCCAAGGCTGTACTCATGTGTACTTCTGCTGTAAAGTGGAGTCAAATCAGCATCTATTCAGAAACAATCAAAAGCTGCAGTTACATCGGTGTGTGACTGTGACCCTGCTCCACAGCCTGTTTGCGTTTCTGTAGCAGCAGAGGCCAGAGTTATAGTTGGGCCCACATGTGGGTGGTCGCTGTGTCTGCTCATCTGGCTTATAAAAACACAAAAAAGAACAAACACAGAAACACAAACTGGACCAAAGAAATAGTCCAAGTGTTACAGAAACGTGTCACACTGAGAGAAATATTTCAACTCTAAACTTCAGCTCTGTTGCTTCTCGAACCACATCATCTCTTAAACATCTTTGATTTTTCTGTTTCACATCTGCAGCCTCTTCCTGCTCTCTTTTTCCTCTGTTTCCTGCAGACCAACTGATCTTGCTGTGTGTCAGGGAAAGTGTGTTTGATGGCGGCTTTGTTTGCCACGTGTTGGAGCTGTTTGAAATGAAGTTTCCTGCAGATGGATAAGAGAACCAAGCTCATTTCTGCTGGTCTGTGAAGTCAGTGAAGGGGTCCAAGCCTGCATGTCTGCAGAATAGTTGGAGAAATGTTAATAAAGACAGTAAACACACCCCCTTGACTGAGCAGCTTTGTGGTTCTTCCAAAATGTAATCAGTGAACAGAGCAGAGATGGAAACGTGTTTTTGAGTGAAATACCTCCTTTCTGTGAATGAAGCTGATGCTTAAAGAGCAACATTGGTACCTCACTTCTTCATTTCAAATTCCACCTGCAGACTGTTAGAGTAAACATGCAGAGCTCTTAAGGAAAAAACAAAACAACAAAAAAAAACACCCGATCTGGCTCTGCATGTCTGCACCTGGCCCAATCCCAAACCGCCCCCTACAGACTCGCTCTATACACTCTCCCTCTGTTTGCGCGTTCCCGCAGAGGCTCCGCCATATTGAAGGCCATCCCAAACCACAGAGTGCCGAGGGTGAGCAGACTATTCAGTCCTTCAATAGCGAGCCTGCACCGATGCTCACTCACGACAGGATTTGCAGGTTGTGCCCCAACAAAAATGGAGGAGTAGGAAACAACATACAAATATAAGTTCCATATGCGTCCATCTTTGTCTTACTGACGGAAAAAAAAATCACAAAAGACGTGGTTTGGAAAGATGAAACGGAAGTCGGAAATCTTACTCTGTGCTGATGTTTGATTTGATTGTGCTGGCACACGTCAAATAGTAAAGGGGTTCAAAGACATGTGGAATCACTAACAATCAGAAGTATAATTTAGCTCCTATCACTGTAATGGTTACTGGATTTATGATTTCACTGAGAGGCAGCCGGTACGGCTCAGAACTGTATATGATGTCCGTTTACTAAGAAAATGAACGCTGCCTTGCACAGGACGCGTCTTTGTGTATGACGATGAAGCTTTCCGTTTTCCGGAGGAGTGAGGAGGGCGTCCCATACCCGCCTGTCTTGTTTATGTCCTCCCATTTCAATTGAAGTGCACTCCACAGCTGCGAGTGTAACTTAATTACGAGTCACACTCGGTAGTAAAGGGTGAGTGTGTAGGGGGCGGTTTGGGATTGGGCCACTGACTCCTGTTGTTCCCTCCTGTCCACATCTTTACCTTTGAACCTCAGATATTGTCTCTCGGGAGGAAACTCAATGAAGTTCGAACTTTGGGTGCTTTGTGGTCTGGGTTTGGGCCTTCTTAGTGATCTTTGTTAACAGTTCATATACTCTGAATAGACGGATATCAGGAAAGACTCTGGCTAACTTCCTCATAAACCAACTAAGAGGTAGAGCTGAGGCAGGATTTCAACCTCCTGATGAGCCCCTAACTCTGAAAATATCATTCAAAAAGTCAATCAGTGAAATGAAACCGTTTGAATTTACACTTTCAGTTAATAAATCCCAGTCATAGATTATATTCAGATTATGATCCACTCTTTTTTTTAGACTCTGAGGCTCAGGGTGGAGGAGTTTATTGTCAGGTATTGTTGTGTCTCTGTGTCTTTTATATATATTGTTCTAAATCTTGGTTAATAAATTGGCCATTTGTTGATTTTTTAAAAGGAGCGTCAGTCAGATTGGAATACACCCCCGGCTGTAAACCTGTTTATTTCTGCTGTAAGGTTTTTAACATGGGGCTCTGTGGGGACTGGCTCACTGCAGGATTCAGCCTCTAATGGACAGAAGAGGAAGTGCCTTTTTTGAATACTGGTCAATGATACAATAAAACAGATTTGATTATTAGCGTATGATCCTGCTGGTTAACAAACCCTTAGTCTCTGCTCCATTACCTCCTGAGACCAAATAAAATCTGTGCCTAGTAGACCCAAACCTGGTATCAGCCCCAGGATCTGACCTTGGTGAAAGCTGTTTATGTAACATCTTGAAGTAGCTCTGTTTAAAAAGATGATACAGATGTTACTGGGTGTGTACGCTGGGACCTCTGCAGCTCTGCAGAGGAGCAACAGCTGCTTCAAAGTCAGGCATGCACTCTATAAAAAAACCAAAAAAAAAAAAAAAAACCAAAAAAAAAAAACATGATGCATTCAGATGCTATGGAGAATCACGGAAAAGTGTTAGAATGAGTTTGTTTTGGTGATTCTTAAGTGTTGCTACCATAGACCGTATATGCTATGGACAACTTGGTTCCACCTCCTGCCAGTATACAGATTTGAAGCTGAAAAGCTCTCTGTATTTCCGTGATTCTTCTCCATTTTCTGAAACCAACATTGCGTAGTAGTGTTGTACACACTCCACCACTTGTGCAGTAGCAGCGTACGCAGTCCGCGAGAGTGTCGCAGAGAGTCGCTGTGATGACGCTCAGATCAAACAGCATATCCCCCAGGTGAGCTACGCAATCTTCGTAAGCCCATAGGCTGTATCAAGTGTTGATCATAGAAAACATGAACCCCCGAATAACTTTTAAAAATGGAGCTGCACAGAAACAAATAGGACTTGAGCACAAACCAGTCTTGCAGTAACTACATGTCAACATCGCAAGCAGAGGGAAGAAAAATGTATATTCTGTATAATAAATTTTTTAAGTTTGTCCACAGCTCCATAAGGATTGCTGGATGAGGCAGGATTTATGACCTATACTGCAGCTCGTCACCAGAGTGTGCTGTTCTCGGAGTGGCTTCACGCAGCGAGGATGCAGACGGTGTCCATACAGTCAATGGTTGCTACAAAAAAACAGTGATGGGCCTAACATGTTACAGCAGAGTAAATACAATAAACAGGACTGTTGGTGTATTTTTACCGATTTTACTTGACTCTTTTCGTTTGGTCACGAGAGTTTCTACCATATCATACTCCGATTTATCCTCTGCTAATATTAGTAACAAAGAGAATTTGCATAGTTTTACTTCCCCCAAATTAACCATAGTTTAAGTTGTGGTAACATGCATGGTAAAGAATTGACCCTGCTCATCCGGCTCTTAAATGCTGCTGCAAGTTATCTTTGTGTGTCTGAGCATAAACAGTAAAAATACAGATTACAGTCATAACCAGGTCGTAATCATAGACCTCAGTGACAGATTAACTCCGTGTGGCGCTGAGATGTCCGAGCTTTGTCGGAGCTCCTGAAGGCAGCAAAAGTTTTCTTTACTTTAGCAGGCTGAAGTTTGGAGTTGGCTGAGATTTTGTTTCTCTTGTGGACAGAGTGAGCGTGTTCCTTAGTGTTGGTTTTATTTAGGAGGAGTGTGAGTGATCGTTGACTCAGGAGGATGAAGAAATTTCACAGCTGATGACGTCTCCGGGTGATTTCCTCTCTTTCTTCACTCGATCACTATAACGCGGAACTTTGACATGAAGCTGCTCACACTGACAGATGTGAACCAACTCCTCAGCTGTCCCCGCACACTGTGAAACTTTGGGAAACTTATTTATTTCTGTCTTCAGACAACAGACTGTTGTTGTTGTTGTTTTTGTGGTAAAAAAAATGTTGGAGAAGTTGTCCCGTCGCCTTCCCGCGGAGGGTGAACTTTATCCCGGGAGGAGTCGGTGGAGCTCGGCGGTGGTCGCCGTGCTCCTGCTCGGGCTGTTTGCGTCGTCTTCCTGGGCAGAAGAAGCGTCCTGTCACGGAGCCTACGACCTCTATTTTGTTCTGGATAAGTAAGTGAAGTTTCTGAGCATTTTGTACTGTCAGGCCATTGTCGCCTCTTAATGAAGCGGGATGGAAACAAAGCCCCGCTGCTCTGTTCGTTCCTGCTGTATAACACAATAGATTGTTGGGTGGGTGTGGGGGTGAGATAGAGGTGAGGTAGGGAAAGGAAACGCCAGGCTACAGCTCCAGGTTTGACACACTTCACTGTGACCTGGTTTGGACATCCGGTTTTACCAAAAAACTGTGTCACCACATTTCTTGGTTGGGTCCCGAAATAGCTAGAAGTGTGAGGACACTTGTCTCTTCATATGGCAAACATGTGGACAGGAGTCTCCACCAAGCAGCCACATCTGCTGAACTGGTGAATGGAGAAGTGCCGCTCATCAAACACTGCAGTAGTCTTGAGTGTCCACTAGAGCCCATCTCCTGCAGTGAGCCAGCCTCAATGAAACCCCATGTTAAACGGTTTTATTAAAGTTTATATATTTTTTTAACACACTATCAAAAAGAAAAGGTGATTTTTGGCACTGAGGCAAAAAAAATGAAACAGATGTCAAACACTCATAAAGTGCTTTGAGATTAACTACAATGTGTGCCACTGGGGTTTTTACTGGGTCCTCTGATATCCACTGCCACTCACATATGCTGTTATGTTAATGATTCAAAGTTAAGATACGGCGCACATGATATTTTGTTTACTTTGAAAAATTATTGTTAATGTAATATTTCTTTTTAACACGAAGTCACCGCAGAAGTAACAATAGCTGCAGTTCTTCTAGTGTCCACTCCGAGTTCTGTCCTACAGTGAGCTAGCCCCCACAGAGCCCCATGTTTAACCTTTGGTCCATGGTTGTGTTGTTACTGCCTTTTATAGAGATATCTAATGTAGGTACTGGGGGCAAAGGCTGTATATCTGTTTTAACTGACCCTTATTCTCCAGCTTCACCCTCTTATCCAAATATGGTAACTTCCTGCTCCTAAATAAGGTTAAGGCCCACATGAGGAATAAAGCTCCAAAACCTAAATGTCCCACAGAGGTGCTACACCCCACCACACTTTGAGATGTGTGCCCCGAACTGAGAGAAAACAAAAGTTCTGGTTTCACTTCATTTAACCTTAATATGACAAACAACTGTGCTATGTGATTCTTTCCTGGTGTTTTACTGCAATGCCTTTAAAATCGGTCTGCTGAGTTAGCAACTTTGGAAAAAGACAAGCAGACATGGCTCTATTTGGATGATTTAGCAGAGTCATTTAAAGATTCGATAGTCTCCAAAGTTTTCTGGGAGTTAGTTTCAAGCAGCAGAAGAAATGCAGAACTTTTGTTAAGTACAGAAAACTTTTAAAATAGTTCATAATTCATAAAGTTAGTTCAGCAAATTAACGATGAAACATCCATGCAGCCTTCACATGTTCTTCGAACAGGGTCATGTTAGACTTTTTGTCAGACCTGGACCTGATTCAAACCGGGTCCTATTTGTGGTCTCTTGGATCTGATAGTGGGCTGTTACTGAACCCGAGTGATGCTAAGCAGTTGTAGAGTTTTCTGACATGCTGAGTGGAACCACAGCAGTGTAACCTCAACCACAGCCTTAACTGAACCCTGACCGCTGAGTTTCATCTGCCTCATGGTAACCCAGCTGTGACTCTGCTGTCTTCGTGGGCGTCTTCCTCCCTCATCATATCAAAGATTGACTAGATTTTTTTTCATTAAACAGTGAAATAATCAGAAGCTGTAAAGAAACTGAGGACTTGTCAGGTGTAGCTCAGCTCGCAGACCCTCCATCTGCTCTTTTTTCTGCTCCTCGTCACTGTTTAAAATGAGTCCCCAGCTCTTATTGTTTTGGAGGGGCAGAGATCTCTGTTGTTATCCTCTCTCTCCAAATAGTAAAACTGTTAAATCTGTTGAAAGTGGACGCTCAGCTCTCAGCCCACAGAAGAAAAACTGTTTTTTAATGGTTTTGATCACCCATCCAGTCTGTTTTGGAGAAGATCAGATCCTTTATGTGAGGACTTGTTGATGATTAAGGCTCACTAAGGACTCTGTAAACTTAGCTGTCATGCTGATGCTTTCTCAGTCTTTGATTACGCTAGTAACTGTTAATCAATACAGCGAGTGGTCGGAAAAAAACTGAAAGAAGAATAGGTCAGGAAAAGAAAAAGGAAAAAGGAAGGCAAAGAAAGACAAGATAAGGAAAATAAATAAAGCTGGATTTGAGATTTTAGAAAGCCAAGGGGATGTTATGAGACTAAAACAAAGCTGTGAGGAGGTGGCAGTTGATAAAAAAAGGTCTATTTCCTGCCTGTTTTTGGAGGTTCAGCTGTTGCATCATTGCAGCATTTCTACCTGATCTACTTCCACTGAAAAAATCTTCCAGCTGTGCGTCACTGAAAGTATATGCATTTACCAACTCTCTGAAGTTTGCATAACTCTTTTGAGACAGCTGCAATAAGTCCATTTATAGCACTTAGACTTAGAGCTCACATATTTCAGAGAGCTTCCCCAACCTGTGTGCAGAAACAGTTGCATCACTGTGCGTTTCCGGCCTGTGTTATCTTCCACTTCCGTGTGTGCAACCAAAGATCATGCACACACAGATTCAGTGCATTCAGCTAAACAGTATTGTGCACAAATACCTGCAGTCCTTTACAGGGAGTTTACCACTTTGACAGGGACTGTTTTTAATCCTGTCTTCTTCTTTTGTTGGAGAGGGGCCATCAGTTAAGGCTAGAGAGTCCAGACTCTGTTCCCCTGACCCAATTTCAAAGCACCACACCCTCCATATAATGACTAAATGACAGGATGATGACGATTACTGCCTCAAGTCAGAGCAGAAATTCTGATCAGAATTTCTTGTCTAATTTATGATGAATTGCATTATTGAGGTTTGTTTGGTTTGGACATGCACATTTAGGTGTGTGAAGCAGAAAGGCCGGAGCTGCAGAGATGGTCGGTCTGCTCATGGGGGTGTCAGAAAGTTGCTGGTCTCTTTGTTCTTTTGTTCATTTGCAGATAAGATGTCTCCTCAGTGGGATTTCTTGGTAAATCTGATAAGACTGAGGTCTGAGGTCAGCAGTTTGTGCAGCAGAAATACTTGAGTGCAGATGTATTTACGGGACAAAGCTAAACTACCATTAACAATCATGAGTCCTCTCTGGTGTCTGTCTGTGCAGCAGAGGGGCCTTAAAAGGAGCCCTCCCCCAATGGTCCAGCTCCTCTGTCTTTGAACAGTCACTCTGGGTTCAGCCTCACAGCCTGAAGGATGGAGTGGCTTCAGGCAGGTTAACACACAGATGGACTGTCCTTGGTCACAGCCTATGAACATTGTGATAGTTTATTTATGTAGAAGCAAATCAACTTCAAACATCACCTTTTGAATCTACCATCACTGTTGTTCTTTACAAATACACACATTCATATTGACCTCCTTACAGCCAGAATGTGTGAGCTGTGATTGCATGCATCACCTTTGAATGTCTGCAGAAATCTGCTGGTAAGGATGATGAACTTTTTGAGCTTGTATCTGCTGAGACACATTCATGATGTAAAGCTGTAGTGCTGTAGAAGTGTCTGTGAGCTGGTCCTCTTTATTGTACTGTGAATTCTGATTTCTCCTCTGTCAGATGGAGATAATTTTTCTGTCCTTATTTCTGGGACTAAACTCTTTCTGCTGCAGCCAAAGAGATCTGCTGAGAGACAGCACTCCTGTGAACATTTGAGGTTTCTAACAGCTTTAGTGGCTGCTATAGATCACAGACTTCTCAGCTCAATTATCCAGCATGTGGCTGGTGTTAATGTCCAACTGTGGCTGTGCGACAAAGCGCACACACTGTACAGTTAGTGTTTTACTCCCCAGCACACAATCTGCTGCGGCTGATGAGCTGCAGACTGACTGACTGACTGACCCACTGTTGTTTTGTCCTCTCAGGTCTGGAAGTGTCGCCACTGACTGGTATGAGATTTACTCCTTTGTGAAGAACCTGACCGACAGATTTGTGAGGTGAGTGTGCAGAGATGTCTCTGAAACTTTGCTTTTGCCAATGTCAACTTTCTGCAGAGATTTCCTGGGGCCTTACTTCCCGCTTGTTTGGGGTTCATGTCTAAAATTAAAGAGCTTACTTTCAGCCTGCATGTTGCTCAGATTTAAGCTTTTCGCACCTGTTTTACAAATTATCCAACTGCAAAATCAAAGACATCCTTTTTTACACATAATTCATTAAAGCGTCTTGAACGTTCAGCTTGTATAACGTTTGAGTCAAACGTTTCCTGCCAGCACAGTACAGACGGCGGCGACCCAGCCAGAATGAAGTGGCTGGTTGAAGAAAATAGCAAAGGCACCAGGTGGGAGTGGGTGGCAGAGAGGAGCAGTCTTCTGGGCTGTGAGAATGGCCATTTGTATCGGGGGGGGTCCGGCTCCACACGTCCCCCCCGCCTCCGGCACGGAGCGAGCGGCCGGCGAGCAAGCAGACAATGTACAGTAAAGACCAAGAACACACGACAATCTGCTAAACAATGCTCGCTCACCAAGAGCTCTTCTGTTCCACCATGTGGATAGGACCGGACCCCCCCACTCCCGCAGGAGCCCACCGCCCCCCTCTGATGTCCCTGGCATCTCTGCATCTCTGTGCAGCCTTTAAACATGAATCTCTGCACCATAAACCCTCTGAACCAGACAAAGGAGTCTGCATGTGCACGGGCTCCTATCTGTGCTCACTGTGAAGTCTTTCCCCTTATTGAAAGGCTTTCAAATGAAACACGAAGAAGAAAGTGAAGAAAAACGTTCATCCTCAGAGGGGATGGGAGGTTAAAGTTAAACTCACGGTTATTCGTCAAAAAGAAACTCAGATTCTTCCTACAACAAAAACCAAAACCACTTAATGTTTGGGGTTAGACATGTTTGACGAAGCAGGAGGACCAACTCACTTGACGGTGTTGCAGCTCAGGGGTCAGAGATATTTGACGAGGTAAGATAAGAAGAACTTTATCAATCACTAAAGGAAAATTTAATCAATGAATACAGCAAATATAAGCCTGTGAAGAGAGGACTCCAGATGATCTCTGCTGATGGAGTGGCTCAGAGTGTTGAATAGAATGGAATCAAATAGAATCAAATAAAACACAGCAGAAAAGAACAGAACAGAATATAATTGAAAAGCATAGAATAGAACAGAAAAGATTTGAAAAGATTAAAAAAGAATATAGTAAAACAGAATACAATAGAACAGAATCAATTTGAAAAGAATAGAATAAAACAGAAAAGATTAAATAAGAATAGAATAAAACAGATTAGATTAAAAAAGAATAGAATAGTATAGTATACAAAAGAATAAAATACAATAGAATAGAATAGAGTGGAATAGAATTAAAAAGAATGGAATAAAACAGGAAAGAAATGAATAAAAAAATAATAGAATATAAAATATAAAATATAAAAAAAGAATAAATCAAAACAGTATGGAATAGAATAGAAAAGATTACAATAGAATAGAATAGAACACAATTAAATGGAATAGAATAGAATAAAAAGAATGTAATAGAATAGAACAGAAAAAATAAGAAAAAAATAGAAAAAGAATAGAATCAAATAAAACATTATAGTAAAGAATAGAAAAAAATTGCATAGAACAGAATAGAATACACATGTGCAAACATGCTTTTATGCAAATTAGTCCATGAGCCAGACCACTGATTGCAATAAATCGGGTGGGCAATTTCTAGTTTATATTTTGAGTTGCTCCACATCCCTAGTTTATGGTTTGGCATGATAACCCTTGCAGACTGGTAGCTTAGTGATGGTTATCATGCATTTAATCTATGGAGTCCTGTAGCAGAAATACCTTAATTTCTTATGGTGCTTGTTTGCTATTATGGGGCTTGTGGACTACTTGTTGACTGCTCTGCCCCCCTAAATCATTCTCATTTATTCCTAAGTCATTGGAGAACTGAAAAAAATAGTTTGATTTGTTGTCCAGATGAAATTTAAAACTTTTATAGCCTTTTTAAAAAAAAATATTCATTGGCGGAAATAGCATTTTTATTTTTCTCTTGTGTATCTTTTCTCAGCAGAGCAATTGGGTAATATTTGCATCATTTTAGACACTGGATTTAAAATCTGACAAGTCTTACCTTTCAGCAAGTACCAATTGTAGTACCAGTATTTATGCCTGTAGCCCTTATAGTTTTGGAAATACACACATTTTTATGTTCACACAACATGCACAACAATGTTATGCACAACAAGATTTTCTGGCTTCTGCCAATTCCAAGCTGTTACTCTGATCTCTCAATCACTCAGGTAAGAAAAATTTTCTGTTTCCCATGTGAATTATTCAACCTAAATTAATCAAACACATCTGGTGATAAAATAAAATATTTGGGGGCGTGTTATGTTGTGATATGACTATTACTGGTGAAGTGCGGCACCAAGGGCGGCAGTAGCTCAGGAGGTAGAGCGGTCGTCCAATAACTGGAAGGTTGGCGGTTCGATTCCCCCCTATCCCAAGTCTGTCCGTTGTGTCCTTGGGCAAGACACTTAACCCACCTTGCTCCCAGTGTGTGTCCTCCACTGGTGTATGATTGTGAGTGTTGTGTGGTGGTGGTCAGAGAGGCCGTACGCGCAAAATGGCAGCCACGTTTCCATCAGTCTGCCCCAGGGCAGCTGTGACTACTAAGGTAGTTTACCACCACCAAAGTGAGTGTGTGAGCGAATGAATGATGTATCCAATGTAAAGCGCTATATGAAATCTGATGCATTACAAGTGATGCCACTGGGGGTGTGACTGCTGCTACAGCGCTAGCTAGGTTTGCTGAGACAAATGATGGGGAGGGAGATTTATATTGTTTCATTAGAGGAGGAGATAGAACTGAATTTGGTGAATTGAAACCACACAAACAATGAACCTGCTGTCACAATGATGTACCATAAATGTTATGTTATGGGAAAAAGCCAATAAATGTAATGCTGATCAGGATGATAGTTGTGTTAATAAATGCAAGTCAGCAAGCTAGCTAGCTAGCTTGTTGATCTTTTAAAATACGTTTTATCTCAGTGTTTCAGAAACTTGATGGATGGCCTAGGAAAGACATGGATACTGAATCCAGTGAAGGTGACGAACACAAAAAAGGTAAAGAATGTGCTATCCATTGCACTACTAGGAGGTGGCGATATAAACCCTTTCTTCCATCAATCATCATGGGAAACATCAACTCTATGCCCAACAAACGCGATGAGCTGGAGATATTGGTGAAGTCTGAGAAAGCATACCGTGAGTGCAGTTTCCTGTGTTTTACTGAAACCTGATTAAATCAAAACAACTCGGACTCCTGTGTGGATTTACCTGGCTTCACTCCCATAAGGTCAGATAGAGATGCTCAAGCTAGTGGCAAGAAGAAAGGAGGAGGTCTGGCTTTATTTGTCAACCAGAGATGGTGTAACCCTTCACACATAACTGTCAGGAGAAGTTGTGTTGTCCAGATATTGAACTGTTGGCAGTAGCTCTTCGGCCATATTATGTTCCAAGAGAATTTAGTCATATCAAAACAGTAGTTGTTCACACTCCACCCAAATCAACTGAAGAATGTTGCGATGTTTTGCAAAATAGTGTTGCCAGGCTACAGACTCAACACCCTGAGGCACTAATAATAATATCGGGAGACTTCAACCATGTCATCCTCTCCTCTCACCTGACTGTATTCACACAGTTTGTGAACAGTCCTACCAGAGAAAACAAGACCCCGGATCTGCTGTATGCCAACAGCAAAGAAGCCTACAGAGCCACTGCCTTACCACCACTGGGCAAGTCAGATCATGACTTGGTCTTTCTGCAAACCAGTTACAGACCTTGTGTGCTGAGGCAGCCTGTGACCAAAGTCAAAATCAGAAGATGGACACCTCAAGCCAGTGAAGCTCTAAGGGACTGTTTTAAATCAACAGACTGGAATGTGCTGCTGGAAACAGATGTGGATAGTATGAACAGGTTGACTGCTTTACTGAATATGTCAACTTCTGTAGAGACACAGTTCTACCCACAAAGACTGTTCGCTGTTTCCCCAACAACAAACCCTGGATCACAAGTGACATAAAAGCAATCCTTAACCAGAAAAAGAAAGCTTTTAAAATGTCAAAGCACCTGTGCATTGTTGAAGGTCAGTAAGAAAAGGTGGATTTGCAATGATAAAGAACTGAACATACTCAGAGTCCAGGTTTTTGCATACCTTTTCTTCTTGATTCATACAAACATGTTCACATGGTCCAGTGTCAGTGGGCAGTGCTATCAGGTCACAGTCAGCATGGAGGTGAACCACTGAAAAACTTTTAGAAGTTTTCAGGAGTTGTATTATTGACATTTTATTGAAATCTCCGTCTCCGACAAGCAGTGAGTTTCCTTGGGAGAGTTTTTCAGTCTACATATGACTGCAGACAGGATGTGGATGCATCTCAGGCCGTGTGGCTGTAAAGATGGCGCCGTGTTTGCGGGGGAAGACGGTGGCTGTGTCATGTGGGTGAGAAATATCAGCACCTCTCCGTATGCTGCCGCGGCTTCAGATCTGAGAGGGAGAGGGAGAGAGAGGGAGAAAGAGAGAGAGCGGCCATACCAGCTAAAGAGCAGCCGTCACAGGCAGACCTGGCTGCCCAGAGAGAAGAGGCTGTGTCGTCTCTGTCCTCACACACAGCTGGAGACAGAGCAGCACTTCCTGTTACACTGTGACACATACACACACATCTGGACACATACACTAATTTCACACACATAACACCCAACTTCACCCAACTCACAGACGAGGACAAGTTTAGACATCTCTTGGGAGAACAAAGGGCCACTGCTTTAGAAGCAGCAAAATATGTGAATACATGCCATCAGAAAAAAGAAAAACTGCTCAAAATAACCTGAACAGCTTCTCCGGAGTTTTTAACTGCAAACATGACACAACAACAACAACAACAACAACAACAACAACAACAATAATAATAATAATAATAATAATAATGATAATAATAATAATAATAATGATGATGATGATGATGATGATAATAATTATTATTATTATTACTGTTATTGTTGTTAATATTGTAATGCATTGGTAATATTGTACAAACAGTCATGCCAATAAAGCTTATTGAAATTGAAATTGAGAAAGGGAGAGCGAGAGAGAGAGAGGGACAAAGAGAGGGAAAGAGATAGAGGAAGAGAGAGAAGATGGAAGGGAAAGGGAGAGAGAGGGAGGGAGATTGGGGTAAAGAGAGAGGGAAAGGGGGGTATCAGGACTTTTTCTGGCAGTAAACTGAATCCTGAGGACTTTTCTCCTGAAATGGTCTGGTTGCCCTATCAATAGTGGTGATCTTTGTGTTTTTCAGATTATTATTATCAGTTGTGCATCATTTTCCTTCCAAACCTATGCAGATCCTCATCGTTTTGTTTCAGCAGTAGTTTCAATGAGATTGATAATGTATCATGAATAAAACTTTCCCTGCAGACTCCACAGGTTTTTTCTCTCTCTCTCAGGTTTTCTTTTATTCTTCTTATTTTTATGATTTAATGAACCGGTTTGATTGAAGAACATTTTTTTTTCTATTTCCAAAAAAAAAAGAAAAGAACATAATAATAATAATAATTTGTGCTCCTGATTCTGTTCTAATGCTCATGAAGAGGTGACACTCCTTGACATACGTTGAATTATCCGGTTAACTAAAGATGAAGAAATTAGAAGAAGTGAAGCTTATTACACTGCAATGAGAGTGAAACTAGATTTTACCGTGAACAAACATCTGCTGATGCTTCTGGACCCATCTTCTGACCCCAGCTTGTGTCTAGATAGCAACCTACTTTGACTCCACGGCTCTCTATCTCGAGGCTCTCTCTGTCTCTTCAGTGGTTCTGCGATGGCTCTACTCTTCCTCTCTCCTTCGATGCCTGAAACACTGAAGGCTCTGACCAGAGACCGTGCAGTCAGTCTCCTTCACCCAACTTCCACTGGGAGACACCCCGCTGTCCATCCTGCCTGTTGGCAGTTACTGACCGCATAATTGGAGAGAGCTTCCTTTCAAAGACTTCTTTCAGACGGTCTTTCCATGGGACTTCAGTTCCAGCAGCACAACTTCTTTGGTTGATTTGGACGCAAAGACAATGTCTGGCCATTGGATGGTGGCTGCAGTGAGGCTGGGGAACTTCGACTGCTGTCCAAGATCTACTAACAGCTGTCAGTCCCTTATCGAGTTAAGGACCCTTTTGGAGGGCTGGCTCAGCTTTACCCCTTCAAATCAATAGCTGTCAAGTACTCCATTTTGGCTGTGAAACTACTGTATTTTACCCCTCTTTCCTGCCGTCTTCCCATATTAGTATTCTCCTGTAAATCTCCTGTGTAATAATATATGCATATAAAAAAAAAACATTATTCTGCCTCTCCAAACTGAACTCTGTCACTAGCATGCGTTAAGTACCCACTAACTAGTAGAAGTGAGTTGTCATCTGTGATCACACAGACGGACGATAAATTAAAAAAACTTGCCTTATTTTTCAAACCAAAACATGACAGGTATGCTCAAGTCCTGATGGCTTTAGCAATGGCCTTCGGGACCTGATCATGCCCCTTGCATAGCAGCTGAGGATGGGTTCAGATCATTAGCTGGAGCACACGGACCATTATCACTGTTGTGTTTTTACTTGAATTCAGATGATTTTGTATTTTCCTTTAGTGAATTTTTTTCAGTTATGTGGTATGCAGAACATTCATGCACATCTACTGACTGCACATGGGAAAGAAAAAGGGTGGAGAAAAGTACACATTAATAGGAAGTGTTACAATTATGACAGAAGAGTCTTAGTAGATATGTGAACATGCAGAGTCTGTGTTAAATATCTGAGTGTGCAGAAACTTCAATTTGCAGCAGACATGAAATCATTGTCCTGAAAATTAATTACAACAATCTGCATGATCAAAAAACAGAGGCTCTGTGTGTTAGTCAGGGTCTCTGCTCTTGATCTGGATCTGTGTTCAGTTTAGAACCAGAACCCTTCCTTTATTTAGGTGCAGTGTTTGGTTTCATTGGACAGTAAACAGAGGTTTTAGTAGCTGAATTTGGATTAGATGTCATGAATTGAGCTCAGGGGTTAATTGAAGCTGAGCTGTCTTAGAGTCTTTCTGTATTTATTTATATACATATATATATACATATATATATATATATATATATATATATATATATATATATATATATATATATACTATATATATGTATATATATATCTGTATATATATATGTATATATATATATATATGTGTATATATATGTATATATATGTATTTATATATGTATATATATATATATATATATATATATATATATATGTATGTGTATCAGTGGCGATTGCTCTAAGACTGCAAGGGAAGCTCAGCTTCCCTTAAAATGTCACCCCCGCAAAAAAAGAAAAAGTGGTGAAATACGTACTGCTGTGTGTACATTTCATTAACTAAATACGCGCTAGAAAGCCTTCATCTTTTGTTCAGAATCAGCTTCTTATCACAGTGTGATCACAGTGTGATAAGAAGCTGATTCTGCACAACTTCGTTCTCATTCATCCTCGCAGCGCCTCAGCGCTTTAAACAGCCGGACGCCCAGCTTCTGCTGACTTCAACGTGGAAGCTCAAAGTGGGTTGTTCCAGCAGCGAAACTAGACGCTCATTGGATAAATGCTGGGCTTTGTCCCGCCCATCGGACGCTCAGCTTCACTGGAGTTCTATGGCGAGAGGGCGGTCCCGACTTTCTCCCGGACTCCGAGCTTCTGCATCCATGATTGGATGAGCTGTCTGAGGCGAAATCCTTTTTTGATTGACAGCTAAACAAGCGAATCAGCGATCTTGAAGAATAAAACCTCTACCAAAGCATTTTCCAAGTTATTCATTCCGTTGTTCTTAACTGTTTCGGAGACTTTGCCGATCCTCAGCAACTTTTGTCTTTGTTAAAAACGACTGCCGTTGTGTTTGGCGACTCTTTTCTGTTACATACAAATAAACAAACACAATTATGATGTAGGCCAGAAAAATGAGCTTCCCCTCCTTGAAAGACCAGCAGCCGCCACTGATGTATATATATATGTATATATATATATATATGTATGTATATATATATATATATATATATATATATATATATATATATATATATATATATGTGTGTGTGTGTGTGTGTGTGTGTGTGTGTGTGTGTGTGTGTGTGTGTGTGTGTACATATATAAATGTATATTTACAACATGAGCAGCTGTGTTTGGTCACTTCCTGTTTATGAAACATCAGACAGCAGCTTCACACCATTAAAGGTTTACAGGTACACAGGATCCATCCATGTCTGTGACAGGAAGTGAGTGAGTGAGTGTGTGTGTGTGTGTGTATGTGAGTCATTAGATCTCAACATGTTTCCTGTCTCAGGCTGGATAAATCACATCCTTCAGCTGCTCCATGCTCCAATATTAGTGACATGAACTGACCTACGTCCATCTGCGGCGTCCTTTTATTCTCTTCAGAGTCTGTCAGTCTACCAAACAGAGCCAGGATCTGGTCTTTATTTAGACCATCAGAGTTTAGTGTCAGGATGATTTCAGGGCTCTTACAGAGTCAGATGTTTCTCATCTCTGTCTGTTTGTCTCTTTCAGCCCCAGGATGAGGGTCTCCTTCATCGTTTTCTCAGCTACAGCCAACGTCCTGCTGCCCCTGACTGGAGACAGGTGACTAAAACACGATGCTGTGTTTATATTAGAGATATCAGGGTGGAGTTTTAGGGCCATGTTAAAGGATTTTAAAGATTTTTATAGGACAAGATTCTTTATTTATTTCTGCCTCATGGTTTATTACACCTGCTACACTTACTTGACCTCCTGACCTTGAAAATGCAACCACCCCTTGACTTCCTGTCTATAGGCGAAACACAAAAACAGCCCTGGTAGAGTTACAGAATAAAACAGGATGGAGCAGGTTAAACCAACAGCTGAATGTTTCAATAAAGAAACCATTCAAAAAAAACCTGCTCACAACAGTCGTTTATCATGTCATGTCTGATTCATAGGTGTTTTGGTCTGTGTTGCAGAATCAGTTCAGTAATTAACTTCGGTCATAGTTTTCAATCACACAGTAGGAGCTTTACCATCAAGCATTCTGATTGGTCAGTGGGCTTTCCACAGATGGAATTTTGAGCTCAGCATCGGTTTCCATGGTGATCTACCTGCAGAGAAGTGAATCATAAGCCCTGAAGTGACCTTGATAAAAGCAAAGACTGAGGGTCTGCAGTGGGAGGACAGTAAATACATGTTTGCATGGTGGCATGGGGGTCAAGTGTAGAGGTTCAATCCCACCCTGGATGCCCAGAGAACTCTCTGAACAGGGTCTCAGTGACTTTTTAAATCCAGAATGTGGATCATGATGTCAGTTGATCTCTGTGTTCATAGGTATGAGATTGAAAAAGGTCTGAGGCGTCTACGGGATGTGAGACCAGCAGGAGAAACGTACATGCATGAGGGGATAAAAGAGGTCAGTGAAGTCTTTTTAATGTTTTCATGTAAAAAAGACTGTGAGACTCAGACATGATCACATCTATTTTAAAACCTGCAGGCTTCCATGCAGATCCAGACTCAGGGGGTCAAATCCTCCAGCATCATCCTGGCTCTGACGGATGGGAAGCTGGAAGTTTATGTTCATGAGCTCACAGTGAAGGAGGTGAGAGTGGAAACCTCAGACTCAGGAGTTTAATTCTTTTGACTTTCTTAACTTCAGCTGTCTACGTTCTGTGAAATCATCAGAGTTCAACATGATCCTGCTCAGTCTTGGCGTTTATTTCTCTCTCAACACTCAACCTGTTGCATGCCGTCTCCTTCACGTGTCTTTTCTGTGCAGGCTGACAAGGCGAGGAGATACGGTGCCCGTGTTTACTGTGTGGGAATCAAAGACTTTGATGAGCAGCAGGTAAGAGAGCCTGAGTCTTAATGTGAACACGACGTCTGTCTCTGAACGTATGCTGCAGAAAACACATGGCCACGCTGGAGGAGGGACAGGAAAGGTAAACACATGTCAGAGCAGAGCTGTTACCTGAGAGGAAAATCCCTGTCTTAAAGGGATATTCCACCTCAAAATTTGCGAACAGTTATCCATGTTGGCTGTCAAGTCTGTAAACAGACTGAAGACGAACAGAAGTCTTCATCGGATTGATTCCATGTCTCTGGATTCAAGTGTTTCTCACTCTGTTTGTGTTTGTGACTCCAAAACATCCAAACCTGAGAACAACTCTCCTGACAGCTGAGATAAGCTGCAGTATTTTCAGACTTTGGTATTTAAATTGTTTTCCTCCTAAGGTGAAGTGAACAGAAAAAATAAAATAGTACTTAAACCTTTCTGAAAAAGTGAGGAATAAAAAGACACACAGTCAGATGAAGGAGGAGCGACAGTGACTCTGTGTTTCCTGTTGTAACCAAACACCCATCTTTGTTAGTCTGTTGGCTCCTCTGACATAATCAGTGCTGCAGATGATGACAGTGTGTGTGAACCTGCAGTGACGAGAGGTTTTTTTCTTGCTTAATTTAGACATTTTGTAGTCAGGAAGCTGTATTTTCAAAGTGGTAGAAATATGCTTTTTTTTTTTTTTTTTTGGATTAGCTCAAACTTCCTGCAGTAGCTTGAAGGTGACAGATCGGACTGATAACAGTAGTTAGAGAGCACACATACTCCTCTTAGAAATCTGTGGTTGATCTGGATTCATGATAAATCCTTGAAGAGAGTCTGACTGAGGTTTGTTTAAATGTTTATTTGTTAGGATCCCCATTAGCTGCACTCTGGAGCACCGCTAGTCTTCCTGGGATCCACAATTAAAAACAATACCTTTCAACATACAACATCATGACATGAAAAAAAGACAAGACGGGTCGACAGGAACTAAAATCCGTCTGGATGCTTCTTCTTCTGCTTCTTTTCCTTCCTCTTCGTCCAGCCTCTTTTTTGTAGAGTGCAGCTACTGTAAAGATCCACTTCTGCCCAGTGTTTCTATTTGCTTATTTTGAGCCTGATATCAATATTTTAATCTTTTACAAACACGGCTATCATCAGTACCAATAAACTGTGACAGCTCTGATCGGGTACCTGTGACACCTTGAGGAAAATCACAGTGAAATGGTGAAAATCATCCACACCAGTGAGGCCGAGTTCACTGCGGCCCTCATGATCAGCTTGTTGATTGATTTTCTTCTCGTCATAAAAATCCCTATAAAAGAGTTAGTCATGTAGTCTGAGCGACTAAAAGCAACAACATACTCAAATTCTGTCCTTTCACATTTAAAAACTGTTCCAAGTCTGAGGAGCAAAAATCCTAAAAGTGCTTCTTCCTGCAGCATCATGAATCTACAGAGAGGCAGTAAGAGACTGAGAATGGTCCTGTGACTGTGAGGGTCTCACAGAAACCCTTCAAAAGGAGAGTGAAGATGAAGGCTTATAAGGAAGTAAAGCTTTGAAGACTTTCACACCCAGAGAGGTTTTCTCTTCATATGATCGCCATGAATTAAAGCCTGCCTGCATTTTTGGAGCTCCCTTCAGATACTTTTATAAATGATTCTGGTTTAGGGAGCTGCTGCTTCTTTCAGCTCTGCTCCTCTTTAAAATTAGGTCATCATAAATCTAATAAAACAGCTCATTTGTGTCTCAGAAGACTTCATAAGTGTGATATTTAATAAACTGAGGGAAGCCTGCAGCTCCTTGTTGACTGTTGCTTGATATTTTCTTTTGAGGTGCTCTGAGTTCAGACTCTGTCCTCCTTGTGTCAGAGACTGCTTTTGATCGCCCATCTCTCTCACATGCTGTCCTGTCCCTGAAAAAGCAGCACTAACCATTCGTCTCTTATTAAGTCAAAAACAAAGGAATTATTGCCTCCAGTTTGTGAATTTTTTTGATGGCTGAGAAAAGTGTTTGCCACAGTCATGCCATCTGCTGTGTCTCCTCCTGCCCGTGAATCAAAGCAAGAAGAGACAGAGCTCAGTCAGAAAGAGGAAAACAGAAACAGAAGAAAGCAGCCTGAAATCTGCACTAATCCTCATCTCCAACAAACTCTCTCCTGTTTCCCACAGCTCGCCGCCATCGCAGACACCAAGAACCAAGTGTTTCCTGTCAAAGATGGCTTCCACGCACTCAAAGGCATCGTCAATTCTGTAAGTTTGTCCTCTTCCTGCTCCTGCAGCTTTTCCAGTGTGTGTACCTGCAGCTATTTCACTCTGGAGTGAGCGTTCATGAAGTCTTAATTTCTGCTATAGAGGCTCAGCCTGAAAACTTCCAAAAACTAGACAAACAGAAATAGAAAAGAAGTGATGCACTCATGGAAAGAGGAAAACAGAGAAATGCACATAGATCTGTTGATTATGCATGCATGGGATATTTTTATAAAGTTCTGTCTGATTCGTGTGCACACAAACTCCTGCAGGTCATTTTAGTTCACTGCACAGAAATACGAGGAGCACAAAAGAAGCATCACATGAAATTTAATTGAATGCACAAAGAAAGGAGCATGAGTGTGAAATGCAAAGACCAGGGTGAACAATGGAAGAAATGATCGAAAAAAATCCAAGTCCTGCAGTCAAAGAGTGAGAGAGACGCTTCAATTACAGTGCATGTCAGATACAGTCAGATAACAATTTTTATATGCAGACCCAGGCCTTACTCCTACTGCAAATATGCTTCACACTATCTTGAACATGAAACAGCCTGATGCTGGAAAGTGATTTTGCACATGATGTCAAACTTTGCCTGTTGGAGCACTAAAGCTTATCTTTATATGCCAACATTGGGAGCCTTGCAAAGATGATTTCCTGTATTGTATAAGTATTGAAAGGTGCAAACATCAGTGCACTGTTGGTGTAAAGGTCCTGTCTCAGCTCCGTTGGTTTGGTCCTAGATTAGAGCCAAACCTTAGTGAGTGAGTGACCTTTCTGCAGAGCTGCATGGAAAGAGTGTTTGGAAATAGCTGCTCAGTGTGCAGACAGAGAGGGGAAGGTTTGAACCACCCTGTCAAAAATCCCACTGAGTCTCAGTCCCTGTCCTCATGACGTCCTCCTCTCTGTGTGTTTAGACTGTCAGGTGTCAGATCTCCAAAACCGTCTGCTTGTTTTTCTTAGTTTCAGAGAAAAATCTGACTTTCAGAGTAAATCTGTCATCAGTGAGTCTCGGTCGGAGTTAAGAGTTCCTTAAACAGCTTTTATGTGAAGTTTCCCTGCAGCCTCCTTGTCCTCTGCCAGCCAATTAGCGATACTTTCCGTTAGCTACAGCTTTTAGCAGAAGCACTGTCAGCCAAAGCGTGGGGGGTTTGTTGGTTTGTGTAGCAACATTCGTACATGCGTGTGAGTCCTGCAGGAGCTTTCTGACCTGAGTCGGACTTATGAGCATCAGAGCCGACAGAGCGAGCTGTGTTTCCGAACGTGGAGCAAGCTCTGCAGCTAGAAGGACGCACAGCCAAAGGGTATGTGAGCCAAAATGTAACAACTGTGACTGATTGTGTTGCTGTAACCGTCAGAGAGGCAGGTCTGAAATGGAGGCTCTCAGTCTCACAGCTCACAGACTAAAGTGATGCAGAAACAAAAAGTCCTCAGGACAATGTGCAGAGTGATTTTGAATCCTCTTCTGATCATGGTTGAGGTTTTAATAGCTGCACGTTCCCAAAACCATCATCAGAAATGAGTTTATTTGCGTGGTGTTTGGATGCATATGCATTAATAAGACGAGACAAAAGCTTCCTACTGCTGAAAAAAAGAAATGCGTGTGCAAACATCACATGACTGAATAAGGAACAGCCTAAGGAGACAAAAACTGAATCTCTAAGTAATGCATCATTCATTTCTTTTGCTGCAAAACAAGTGAAAAAGCAGCTGTGAATCATTAGATAGTTACACAGTATGAGTAAGCATGACCAGCAGTCTGAAAAATGAAGAAAAGAAACAGAAGTTATTCTGCAACACCAGCCCATGATAATGAACATGTGAGTGTTGAAAACCTCCAACAGCAGAGGATGGAGTCAGCTCTGAAAACAGGCCTGAGTTAGCAGAACCAAGCTCATCTCCCTGTTCTGGTCCTCCTGACATTCTTCCTGTGCTTTCCTGACACACCAGCATTCTCCTCAATGTTTGGAGTACTGCACACAAACATCGAGCTAAGCTCTTCTCTGGCCATGTGATGCTTTCATCTCACAGAGTGAAACACCAAACATTCCTCTCTCATGAGTCATTCTGGATCCTATCCTCTGCTGGAGTCGAAAGATTTCAGATCCTCTCTGTGATTGGGACAGAGACAGGGATGTTTTCTGAGCTGCAGGCCTTCATGGGAAAACCCCAAAATACTCACATTGCTTTGATAGCTTCCTTTAGTTTTTGCACACAGTCAGCAAACCTCCACTGTTACGTATCACAGTGACAACACTGGGAAACAACTGTGAACCCGGATCATTTCCCCAAACCATGAAACCAGATTCTTTATTATAAAACTCCATCACAGACCAGGCTGGCTAAGGTTTGGAGTTTGGGGGATATGGGGGACTGCCTCCCTCCCCCTGCAGTCTAGAGAAGATATGTATCACAAGATCTCTGAGAATGCTGCTGTTTTTTTTTTGTTTTTTTTTGCTGTTTCTTTGCTGTTTGAGCTCAACCAAACTGAGGAGAGCTGCAGTCCCAATAACCCTGAAGAGTCCATGTCATGAGTATCTTCCTTATCTGTGAAGGCTCCATTAATGCTGAACAATATCTACAGTTTTGGGAGCAACATTTGCTGACATCCAGACAAAGACTTTTTTAGAGAAGATCTTCATATTTCAGGAGGACAATGACAAACCACATTCTGACAACAGGGATTACAACAGCACGGCTCTGTAGGAGAAGAGTCCTGCTGAGAAACTGAGCTGCCTATAGTAGAGGAAAGATTTTTGAGTCTTGCACTTTGTAAGGTAAAAAATGTAAATGATTTGCAAACTATCAAATGAACTATGAACTTCCTCCTTCCTGCTGGCTGATCTCTTCATGGATAGACATACATCGTCCCTCTTGGCCACCAGTTATATTTAAGGACATCTTTTCATCAGTCTGTTTTTGCCCAGTTATTCTCACACACAGACAAACTCAGAGGTGGAAAATGTCTGCATAGTGGAGCAGCAGCAGATCTTTTTTCTCCAGCTGTCATCCTCGCCCCTCTCCCCTTTAATGATCTCATATCAGACTATCAGATGTAATAAGTCCTCTGTAAACACTCCCTCTTCCTCTTGCTCTGCTCAGATTGAAGTTCCTCTCAACATCAAATGAAAGCTTCAAGTGTCCCGTATCTCTGTTAATATGCTTCTTTTTACACGTTGTGTTCAAGGATTTGCATAGTTTGTCCTCTGTTGATTTATTGAATCTGTGCGTCTCGTTCAGCACGCTGACAGTGGGCTCACTCTACCTCTTTATATGATAATGCAGCTTCGCAGGGCTTTTAATAGAATTCAGAAATATAATAGTCTTGCATAATTTTCCCATAAAGGCCGACACAGCTGCCATTCCTCCCTCCTGATATTCGGCTGCTCTCCTTCAGCCGGCAGGGCTGCGTTGAGGAGCGAGACGTTTCTCAGGTGTTGCTCCCTAATCTGTTTTCTAAACTTGGCAGAGCCGATAATGCTCTGGAGGTGATGTATTTATTCTCCACCCTCAAGTGATAATGGAGCGATTTTTTTTCTGCTCTTCTCAGATATTAAAGCAATCGTGCACAGAGATCCTGAGTGTGGAGCCCTCCAGCGTCTGTGTGAATGGTGAGTGGATCTTTCTGCAGATCTGTACACATAGATTAATCCTCTGCAGAAACAGATTCTCCTGCGGATCTACACACATAGATTCATCCTCTACAGAAACAGATCCTCCTGCAGATTTACACACATAGATTTATCCTCTGCAGAAACAGATCCTTCTGCAGATCTACACACATAGATTCGCCCTGATTCACTCTGATTCACTCTGGCCCATACCTTAAAACCAGCCATATTGGACTGTTTGAACTGGACCCTGACTCTCTCTGGTTGTCCTTCACAGAGACCTTTGACATTGTCCTCAGAGGAAACGGCTTCACACTGGGACGCACTAATGAAGGTGTGGTCTGCAGCTTCATCATCGGCCAGGAAACCTTCAGTAAGTGTTTAAAACTACAGGTACCCAGTCAGTTGAACATGTTTAGGGATCTGAGTCACGCTGAGTTGTAAAAGACTTTCCTTCCTTATGTAGTGTCTAACTCTTACAGTTGTGGTTTTTGTCCCTGACTGACTCAGACTGTTGTTCTCAGAGTCTGTCAGTGTTGCAGTAAAGATCTCTGTCTGTTGTAATCTTCTTTTGCAAGAGGAAGGGGATTTTTATTGACCAGAAGCAGCTGTTGGATCACGCTCTACAAACACAGCAGACTACATGTAGAAAAACAAAGAGCTGAGATGTTACCGGTGTACTCGGCCCTCTGACAGAAATGATACCACACTGAACTCTATTTAGACTGCCTGTTGAAGTCCATCACATGTTTACTGCGTGTGCTCTTTCTCATTGATCTCTGATAATCATGAAATCAGGACAGGAGAGTCAGACCTGCAGGCCAGACCAACATCTCTGCAGCTCTTTGCACTTTTGTTTACGATCAGGGCTAGCAATTAAGTCCCAGAACTGCAGTTCCTCAAATGTCCACTTGAGGCAGACTGCAGCAGAGAGTCAGTCCCCATAGAGCCTTGTGTTAAAGGTCAGGTAGTCATATTCTAACAATATTAGTTTTTTATGTTGGCAGCTGAAATACTCTTCCCCATATTGTATGTGTCCTGAAACACAGTGAAGAGTGTCAGCCTCTTCCTCCTCCATCAGTTTAGAAATATCAAAAACACTGATGCATCGTCTCGGTGCTGAATTATGAACATTAAATACATATTCATTGTGTTCATTCATATTTTCATGACAATGAATAATTCTCTTCTCGGTATATACACCAGGACTCCTCTGCACCCCCCCCCCCCCCCAGTATATTAACTAGTACTCCTCTGTCCCGTCCTTCCTCTCAGTATGTAGACCAGGACCCTGCTGGCTCTGGTGGAGACGGCAATGGTGGTCTGGAGGAAGCCCATGGGGAAACAAAGCCCATCCCTGTGTAATAATCTGCTCTCTTATAGCAGCTCCCTGTCTGTATCTTAAGCATCTAAATTGGAAAGAAGAAAGGAGGCTATGTAGGTCACTGTGCTCCTTATTTTGAGCTCTCAGTCTGTTCTGCAGAGAAATCCTTTTTCAGGAAGCTAACAGGATTTGGCACCCAAAGCCAATCTTTTAAAGCTCTCATTTGGCGACGGGATCTGCAGGATCGATGGCTGCCAATGACAACACTTCTCTCCTTGACGAGTTATTTTTATTTTTTTTCCACTTGACTGAAACACTCGAGCATATTTATTTTATTCGTTTTTAAAAAGGAACTTCGTCTGAATCAGGAAGTGGCCGTTAGCAGATGTCTTCCTGTTAGTCCTTTCTCAGTTTAGACCGTCTCACATTCGCCCACTTGGGGCTATTTATTCCCTCATTGGCTCCTGCATGTGTTGAGTGCAGACCTTTCGAACAGTGGGGGCAGTTTATAATTATGGACAGGCATCATGCTCAACACACAGCACATATGTGGAACAGATGCTTCAGTCGATGAGCAGACAAGCAGCAAAAATAATCATCTGAGCCACTGCCGCAGCCACCGCCACAGCGGCTGCAGATGACCGGGCCTCAGTCTAACCTGCTGATCCAAACGCACACCAACACATAGATCTGCTAAAGCGCGCACACAAACACACAATCCAATCTGTCATCTATCCTTTTTTAATCTTACGCAACTCCCAGAGTTTAAGAGCAGGCTGACATCAAACATATGACACATTTCCTCTCAACGCTGATATAAAAAACAGAGTTTTGAAATGAGGAAAACTGAATCATGTAATTCTCCTAGTGTGATGCTGAGGGTCTTAAAGGTCTCAGTGGTCTCAGGCGTCTCAGGGGTCTTAGACTGTTCATACAAGGCCTTCAGCATATGCAGATAAAATGTGCATTAAAAATGACATGTATTCAGCCGAAGTAAAGGCTGACTTTTCATAGACTGGATCTTCCGCTGCCGTTTTAAAGCTGCAGGTTTGCATGGGAAGTGACCATATTCGGACAAGAGGGTGAAGCTATTTAACTGTCTGTACATACTGAGTTTGCAGCAAGTTAAACATTTTGTTTCACTCCTCCACTCCTTCACCCACAAGTCAATGACAGAGCTGTTTATTGATCAGAAGCTTAGAGAGCTTATGGAACCCAACTGTCAGAGAGGCCATGCCCCCAATTCTCCACACCTTAATTCCATAATCACATGTAAACAGGTGTTCAGATATCATGGACATGGAAACGAGTCACAGAGACCCAAACTGTTTCTGTGCTAGGCTGTACACAGGTTTATTTTTGCTGTGAAGTTTGGCATGGGGCTCTATGTGGACAGACTCACTGTAAAAGACAGCCCCTAGTGGACAGAAGAGGGACTGCAGTTTTTGCCACTTAAGCTTTGACTTTGTGTGAAAAATAAAAAAAATAAAAAGGCAAAATCAATGAATGTGTCCATTGAAATGAAATTTAACTAAGCATCATTAACATTACAACTGAGGTTAGGGATTAAAATGATGAATATAAGAGGACCCAGCACTGACCCCTGAGGAATGCCATCTGCTGAATTTCACAGCCATAAGACACACTACTAATTTGGTTAATCTGAGCATTATTTTGGTTTAAATTGGGAAGGACAAACTCACTTCAACACTGATAATAAAAAGAGTAGGGGCTCTGTTAATTGTGCTGTTTGATCAGTTATCTGAACCCCTCGGAATCTGAATTTCACTCTTTTTCCTTTGGTTTTCTCACAGATCATAAACCCAGTGTTGTGCGTAATGATTACCTGCTATGTCCTGCACCAAAGCTCTATGATGTTGAACAGTAAGTAGACTCTGATTATTTCTATTGTTTTACAACTGTTTATATTGCAGGATTGCCTCGTGATCTGTTGCTAAAATGATTCAGGATCTTGGGTGCAAAAGCAGAATAACAGATGAAAAAACAGCAATGTCAAATGATTGGAATTTCATTATTTATTTATTTTTTTGCATTTTAGAGATTTTTAAAGGCAGTGAGTGCGATTGAAAGCAGCTCTTAGCAGTGTCTTGGTTTGTGGGTCAGACAAAGTTGATGAGATGGACTTTATGATCCTGACTTTTGGATTGATTGCTGCAGCGGTCTCAACACAGTCAGCGTCAGAAAATTTATTCTGTCAAATATACAGGCTTTATTAATTTAAGGGATAACACTGGTACACATGAAGCAATATGCAGGAGAGTCAGCGTGGTATGCAATCTCTCTGAGGTCATTGGGCCCAGGGATTTCTGGTTAATGCAGCAGGGTTAGTGCTTTTCAGGAGATCCAGTTTGGTTGTTTCTTGACGAAGAGATTTTCTTCTGGAGATGGAAATAACATCTGACTGAACTGATCATGTAGGGGTGGTTCCTCGTCAGAGAAGTGATGCAGGATGTCTGATACTGACTAAGATTGCATGTTGATATCTGTCTGAAATACAGTGAAACATGAGTGAAGGAAGAACGTTCAGCCCTGATAAAGGAATGGTAAGATGTTCAGGAGAGTTTCAATCTGGGAGCGTCAGAACGTCTGTGTGCTCAGCTCAAACTTTGGTTTCATGAAACAGTTTTAAAGAAGAGCCTCATGTTTGAGCTCCGTCCAGACCTTTCTATGGTATGTGCCCATGCAGAGAAAATCTAAAGGACTGTGGATCAATGAAAATGTAGATGGCATGCAAAACGCATATGAAAGAGTTTGAATCAAGTGTGTGAAGATGGTCGCCTGCTAATTTTGGACCTTTATCTAATTGTAACTAACCCTTGAAGCCCCACAGCCCTTAAAAAGAAAATATCCTCCTTTATTTTATGCACTCGTTTATTTTGGTTAAGTTTTGCAGAAATTTGTGAAAAACAGTAAAAATATGTCAGAAGACTTTTTCAGTTTATCCTGATGTAAAACAGCTTGGTGAAACAGCTTGCATGTAACTGCTTTTTAGGTAGCAGATCTGGAGAAAAGAGACATGAAGATTTTTAGGGCACAAACACCTTCACCCAAGTATACATGTACGGCAGGATGCACTTATTTCTACTGTATATATAAGGGAAAGAAACAGTTATAATCTACCTTCAGATCTGCAGACTAAAGATGGATTAAAACTCCTTTTTGCACAAAAGTTCTGAAATGTCTGATTTGGATCATTGGACAAAGAAACATGAATATTTAGTAAGAGGCATTTCTCTCTCTCTCTCTCTCTCTCTCTCTCTCTCTCTCTCTCTCTCTCTCTCTCTCTCTCTCTCTCTCTCTCTATATATATATATATATATATATATATATATATATGTATGTATGTATACAGTGCATTCGGAAAGTATTCATACCACTTCACTTTTTCCACATTTTGTTATGTTACAGCCTTATTCCAAAATGGATTAAATTCCCGTTTTCCCTCAAAAATTCCACACAAAATACCCCATAATGACAAAGCGAAAAACTTTTTTTAGAACATTTTGCAAATTTATTAAAAAAAAGAACACTCAAATGTTGTATATATATGTATGTATGTATGTATGTATGTATGTTTATATATATATATGTATATATATGTATGTATGTATGTATGTATGTATGTATATGTATGCGTATATATATGTATTTATATATATATATATGTATGTAAATATACTGTATATATACTGTATATATATATATATATATATGTGTGTATATATATATATATATATATTTATATATATATATATATAGTCCTTCACAAGAACTCAAACAGAACGGTTGTGTTTGGTTTGTAAGTAAATCAAGTATACTCAGCAGTACCTCTCTTCTCTCCATGCTCACACACTTCCCCTCTTTCATATCATATCAACTCTTCTCTTTCTCTCCTTAAACCTTAGCCTGTTTTTCTGCTCCTCCTTCTCGTTTTCAGAGGTTTGTTTTTATGTGATTTAGCTGTGTCTCTCTTATTTATGGCAGAAGTTTCCATCCTGTTAAACATGTACAAGCTCAGATTTATCTCTCGTTTCTTTTATCACTCAGATCAACACTCCTTAATCTGTAAATCATCTGTATGTTAAACAGCATCTGAGGGGACAAGGTGTCAGTACAGACACTGTAAACATTGTAGAAAAACCCTCCATACATCCAGCCCTCAGAGATTTAAGTGCAGCAGTGTAAATATGTGTTTATTCTTGGCTGCTGAGATATTGTTTGATTAAATGTCATCTTCTTTTAATCCCTGAGTGCAGCAGATGATCGCTAAGGCCTTCTCCATGGAACAACAGATTTTAATGTTCCAGATATTCAATAATCCAATCAAAAATGTCTGATGAGGATCTCCTGCAGGTCCCTGAGCTCTAAAACGGATTAGGTTGAAGGGAGGATCAAACTGCAGCACACCTCAGATAATCCCCTTAATAATAATAATAATTTGACCCTTCATGCCCTGCTCCATCACAAATTTTCTTTACAGCACAGAGAAGGTTTTTAAAGGACCTATATGTGACGTATTCCACTCTTCAGGATACACACAAATGTGATGACAGTTTTTTCGAAACACAAAGATGAAAGATAGTCTGAAAAATATTAGACACAAACTAACAAAGAGCATACACTCCATTTCTAACACATTTTCTGCCTGTTTCTAAAACCATTTATTCAAAAGTCCTGAAAGCCAAACAATCATTAAAATATCATCTAAAAAGTCTATTTTAAAAAGGCTAAATTAATGCCCATACAACACAGCACAACAAAGGATGGGATTTAAAGGCTGGTTTTAAATGATGAATAATGAAGAATGACAATAACCATAAAAATGAAGAAAAAGAAAATGTAATTACTTTTTTAATATTCATGAACAAAGAAGACAACATTTGTTGGGGAAAAAAAACAGAAGAAAAAAAAAGAAATCATTAAAAATAATACTTGTGAATAAAGAAATGATCACAATTTTTTTAAAATCGTATCCTTAATTTTTTTTTTTTGTATATTTCTGTGAAAATGAATTAAACCTTAGAGGAGAAAGAGTGAGGGGCTTTTATCATCATCAACATGTTTTTTTTTTTTCTCCACACTTACAAAGACACTCATGTTTTTATTCCATCCTGTTTTCCTCTTCTGTTCTGTGACTCTTAGTGGATTTAATGAGCTCTGTCTTTTCTCTCCTTATTCGGTTATTTTGGATTATTTATTGTGAGTCTCCTGATGACGTGGGGTCTGATCTCTGACAGCCCATCAGATACAGATACCCTCCCCATAAAGGTTTTTGAGACCCTCCTTGTTTTCTGTCACGTTTTCTTTCATTCATGTGCAGAACGTCTGCCAGAAGGAGGGTCAACATGTTTAACTGGAATAGTCAAGTCAAGCCTTATTTCCACAGAACATTTCCAAAACAGACCAAAGAGCTTCACAAGCAAACAAAAAAGCCCGATAGAAAACCACAAGCAGCCAGACACGTTGATGACAAATCTGTCAGGAGAATCACAGAAATGAAAATGCATCCTTTTCCCCCGTCACAGTTTTAATCAGCAGGTTTATGTCTTCTCAGCTTACACATATAGAGGGGCAGCTTTTATGGTCCCAGCCTGTTTCTTTTTCTTTTCTTTTTTTTCTAGCAGGTCTGCTTCGAAAAAGACATTTTGATGGAAAAACAAACAGCTTTATGTTTTTAATTTGATGCATTTGCAGTTTTGAATTTCATGTATTGACCAGAATCAGAAATCTGATTGTCCTCAGATGAAATTTTGACTTTCTTTTTAGTCTCCCATCAAACTTAAAGAAAGAGAAATATTTTAAAAATCTTTTTTTTTTCTTTAAATTACTGTTATTTTAAATTTTTGTGTGAATGTTTCGTCTTTGCTTCGATTCTTAAGCTGCTTGGACTCGTGACTTTGGTTCAGTGATTTTGCACTTTAATGAAAACCCTCCAATCTCAGAGAGTGTTTTTGTTTTGTTTCTGGTACAAATGTTTCAGCCAAATTGACCTGAAAAATCTCTTCTTTGAAGAGTTCACATGTCTAAACTGAGACCTGAAGTGTTTCTAAAGAGTTCATAAATCTGCTTGTGGCAGAAGGAAAAAAAAATCTTTCAGTTTCTTTGAGGTTTTTTTTTTTTTTTTTTTTAAACCATGTTAGATATATTTCCCTTCCTATAATAAGCAGTTCATGTTTGATTTCTGATGCATTCTATCTCAAATTCAGACTGTTGCTTGGACCTGTCAGCTGAATTAAGCCTGAACCAAAACACTTTCTCAGATTTAAGTTTCTTTTTTTAAATATTTGTAGCTTCAATTTTCTGCTGCATGTTTTTTTTTTTTTTTGATGAATGTAAATAAATCCTGAACTTGGCTGCTATCTCTGCAGCAGGTTCTGTACAAGTCCCCTTTCTGTCTTTCCTCAGCAGCAGAATCAGAAGGTGGACCAGGATCTGTGCCTCCTCAGCTTTCTCTCTGAGGCTGCAGTAAAAGGTTAATGGGAGTGTCTACATCTGTAAACCTGCAGCTCTGCCTTTTACGCTCCGTGCTGCCATTTGCAGACGGCCTGCTTAATTAACTCTTGGCTGCCGATGGTGACCCATTAAGTAGTTAGCTGCTAAGGGCGGTGAGTAAACACATCTGCTGGAGGGGCTCTAAAAGGATGTGCGACAGATGCAGCCATTCCCTTTTCTACGCTCCCTATTTAAATAATTCACCACACGCTGACAATCCCTGCACCCAGGACCACCTGCATGGAACGAGGAGCCCTGGAAACTTCCGTCTCCGTCCATCTGTCTGCTTCTGCTCCATCACCGCTCCGGGCACACAGGGCACTCTGCTAGCACGGCTCTACTCAGCCGGAGAAGAATCTTGTTTTGCTGCACATTTCTGATAGTGTTCTGGTCCACGTGAGGCCTCCTCCTCCTTAGTGGCCTGTCCCCCATCTTGACCTCTCAGAGATGTGCTGCTGGGGAACATATTTTAGCTTCAGCAAGAGGAGGGGAGCTCAGCTGCAGCTCCTCGTCCCGATGGGGGCTCCACATCCAGCCTGGCTGTGCAGGAATCACAGCTTCCTTTTGCTTGCTCGTGTAGGAGTACTCACAGCAGAGGCATCATCTGTGCTGACAGCTGCGGCATCAGGCCTGAAACTCTGGCATCTGCTGATGCCCCCCCCCCGGACTTCCCCGTAAGGAGACCCTGCGCACCCTGCTGGGGCTGATTGAGGGGTTAAGTGGCTGCACTCATGCAGCAGCGTGTCCTCACCTGGTGTTTTCACAATAACGGTGGAGGGGAAAAAATAACTGAGGGGGGAGTCAACACCTGCTATACATTGCAGGTACACTAGCTAATGCTAATGCTAGTCAATAATTAAACAGGCTGTCCCAGGAACATGGCTCCATCTGCTTCAGCGGGGAGATGATGGGGTTGTCCCTGCAGAGCGGCCTCAATGTTTAGATGCAGCAGACATGATGAATGTGATCTGATCGGCACATGATGAAGATGGAAACTAAAGGATGAGGGACTAAAGGACATGGAGAGCCTCCTGTCTGGTCTTTAGTCTGCAGGGTCAATGATTCAGGCTCAGGCTGTCCTTTCCAGAGTTCTGCCAAAGTCTCTGTCAATTTCAGCTGAAATAGTTTAGAATTATGATCCCAAACAAACCACATTTTCACAACTACTGTCAAAGATCTGTAGATTCAGCTCCAAGATGTGTCTGTGGCTCAGGTTCAGGTTCCCAACATTTCCTAAAACCCTTATAGAAACAGTCAAACAACAAAAGTGGATTTTCATACCCACACAGGAGCTGAGCATCTTCTATAGAGGCTGCCATCAAGACAGAAACAATAAAAAGCTGTGAAGAAGAGGAGGAGGAGGAGAAGGAAGAGGAAAAAGAAAAGGACAAAGATGAGAAAGAGAAGAAGGATATATAGGAAGAAGAAGAAGAGTTCATCTTTGATGGGGAAAGCTTGACTTTCAAGGATCAGTGTGATTAACTGGAGCTCCTGGTTCTTCTGGTCTTGATGGTTAAGTCTGAGGTCTTGTGCTTCTCTGATTTGAATCATCTTTTGAAGCGCGCTTTATGACATATATGATATAACAAAGTTTAGGTCATAAAACCAATTTTATAGGGTCACATTTATTTCACAGGAGATTTTAGTAGAGGAGTCCTCTCAGTAGTTCAGAGTCTGACCCCGGGTCCAGCTGCTGTCTTAAAGCTTTGGTTGAATCAGAGTATCTTCATCACACCATCCTGCTGCGGTGGGCAGCTGAGTCTGGGTTTTAAAGTGCGTCCCATGCTGATCTCTCTCTGTGGAGCAGATCGTCCATTTCTTTGAGTGCTTGTCTCTTTTTACTGAACGGTGGATGTCTCACACTGGAGCAGAGCTCCTCATCTGGTCCCCAGGCCTCCTGCGGCACCGCTCCGCCAGAACTTCTGCCTCAAACTCTGCAGAGCGATGACTCTTGGATGCCAAGTGACAGCCCTCACATATGCTTAGCTGTGAATTATTCAGCCTCCTCAATCTTCACATCTTTAAGAGAAGTTTGAAAGCCATTAGCGTCATCATTGTCAGCTGCTCCAGCTGCACCGCATCAGCAAAGCTTAGCATCATGCTGGTTTTGCTTTCTGACGGCTTCTTTGGCGAGCCAAAGGGAACAAAGTTTCTCCTCTGAGGGTCAGAGATCTGCTGCAAGACGAAGCCTGACGCCATTCAACTGGTGGCCCTGTGTGGCGAGTGGCTTTCTGCACGCTTCCTGACTGATCCCTGAACCCCGTGACAACCCGCCCTCTCATCTCCAATTAATTCAAACATCACCATCCGCTCGGCGAGAAGCTGCAGATCGCTCCCCTGCTGTCACTCAGTAGCTTTCAGCTGGATTAAAAGTTAAATGACAGAGAGACAGGTTTTAAATCATTCATCCACAGCCTTTTAATGTCACTGTTCCAATCCTCTTTGTCTCCTGGTGTCTCACATTTGGCTTTCTGAGTCTTCACTCAGTGAAATGGCCAACATGGAGACAAAGTGACAGGGAATCATCCAGAGAGGGAGAATCGTCCAGAGAGGGGGAATCTTTTAGAGACAGGGAATCGTTTAGAGATGGAGACTTCCTGAAAGTCAATTATTCAGATCATCAATCAGGGATTAGTCAGGGAGAGAGTTTGATTCTCAGTTTTCACAGTGATCATCATCACAGGAGAAGCTGGAGGGCTGCAGAGTCTAGAAAAAAGGTCTGAAGATGATCCTGAATAAGGTTTAAGACTGCAATTCCAGGCCTCCCCTCATCCTCAATTAACAGGGCTGGTGATCTCAGTGTTTCAGGTGGGCTGCAAGCTGAGTTGCTGCTTTGGTTTGGGATCTAAGCCTATGATGAAGTGTTAGTTCGGTCAGGTTATCAGTTACATGGTTTAGAATAGTACTGAAGACAAACAAACTTCAGTGATGATAACTTGTTGGTGCATATTTAGTGTGTGTTGGACTTCCCTCCTGCTCAGTGCTCACTCTGTGGACAGTTCTCAGTCTGAGGAAGGAGAACCTTGAGCCAAAGGAAAGGAGGGTCCTCCCTCTCCCTTTTTTCTCTCTCCCTTTCTCTCTCTCTCTCTTTCGCTCTCTTTCCCCCTCTCTCTCTCCTCTCGAGGCTGTCTGGTGATGTCAGGTTTAGCGGGTGAATCAGTGTTACTCTCTTGGTAGTTCTCCTCCTTCACACACACTGAGGTCTGCACCTCTAGACTGATTAACAACCTGCCCACCATTATCAGTGACTGAGGGTGTCAGCTAAGTTCATTCAGCTCTTCATCAACACGCACAGACCTGGAACGCCTCGCTAAGCAGCAGAGAGCGAGCAGCTTTACCTCTGTGCATGCAAGGACAGTTTACTGATAAATACAGAGGTTTCAAATCTCAGCAGGAGTAACTCTCCTAACAGCCTTTCCCTTAACGTGACAGAACATTTCGAACAAGATATCCCCACTCTTACAATATCAAACCATAATGCATCTCAATGCAGGGCTTTACACACTCACACACTGGGAGGGGCAGGGGCGGGGCTCACTCAGACAGGTGCTCTCTGATGCTGGTATTTACTTCAAGCAGTTTGCTGTTTATTTCCAGTCTGAATCATGGGGATCACTTGTGCAGCTGTGATCTATCACACCACAAGTGTTCACACCTGCAGCTGACCTGAAAAAATCTGATAGAGTTAATGAGTTTTGTGTATGTGTGGGTATTCTAAAGACCTCTCTGATATATGCTGTCTGTGCTCTCTGAGTGTATTCTGTTTGCCTGTAATGGAGGGAAATACCTGGAGATGAACAGGTGGATGACATGGACCAAAGGGCAGTAATGAGAAATCAAATTCAGGTCATTTCAATAAAAAGCAACCTGAAATAAAAACACTTATTTATTGAGCACATGAAAAAAAGTTGGGGCATGCATCAAAAAGACCAAACAACCTGAATTTTTCAGTACATCCTCAAATAAGAGAAACCCAGAGAAACTTGATCTTCATCAGTCAGTGCCTGATTGGATGATTTTCTGCCGGATGGCATCAAAACAATCGTCATATGAAGAAATAACATCGATCTCTCTCATCAAACAGAGTCTCTCTGTGCAAAGTGAGACTGTGTCATTTAACAGTAAAATCCTGTTAACAGTGACAACAAAGTCTCCTTTGGGAAGGAAATAATGGGTGCAAACAGAGTGGTCAGACTCCAAGGGGGGTGTCCTCTCATTATCAAAGCCGTCTGTGTGTGGACGGACAGAGATGAGTGGCAGAGTAACAAGGACCCTGAACTCCAATGACTTATTTAGACTGAGAAATTCAGGCCCAAACGGGCGCAATTAAAGCCCTAATGATGAACGGCACTGCAATTTCCATATGTCTATTACAGCCCATCCAATTACTGCAGCTTTAATGAGAATTCAGGAGTGAAACGCCTGAAATCCTCCGACTCGGAGAGTCGCAGCAGAGGAAGAAGTGCAGACCTGTGTGTTACTGTGTGTGTGTGCGTGCATGCGTGCATACGTGTGTGTATGTGGAGGCCAGCTGTGAGTGTGTGGTAGCATACAGGAGGCCTGGACTTAAAGCTGCTCCTGCAGAATAATAAGCAGAGCGCTCTTTGCTGAGCTGTGGATGTAGCCCGAGGCAGTGCCGTGGGCCGCCGGTCCCCCTGCGGCTCAGAACAGATGAGCAACCAGACCGTGTGTCCAATTCTCTGCAGAGTATTCAGATTATTCTGAAGTGACTCCTCTGCACCTTTTTGATTTACTCCTGATGAATATTTCACTGGGTAAAGGGAACGCAAACTCTGAGCTCTCTGACTTGTGGCCTCACTTGTTGACACCTCGTCTCTCCTCGGTTCATTGGTTTACTCCATTAAGCAAAATCAGAGCAGACTTTTTCCTAAAGTAAAGCTTGGGGAAGGGAGATAAAATATTAAAAAGTAGTTCTGTCAAGTGCTGGAGACTCAAAAGTCAACATCATTTCACAGCTTCTGGGTAGAAAACAGGAATAAAAACCAGAAAAGACATTTGGAGAAACCTGAATTCAAAGAACAGAATTAATCAACCATCACAACTGAACTGCAGCCTGTTCTGGCTTTGATTCCAGTCCTCTATCTGGGCCTCACACAGGAACAAAACAAATCAGAAAAATGACATTTCCACCAAACCGGAACAGAAACAAACACTCACATTAAAAGCATACGCATAAACAGACCAATGCCCTATTTTTGGGAAGAGTTGGAAAAACGAAGGCACGTCTCACATATCTTTACTTCCATGAAGCGTCCCTAGAATAAGTCTTGGATTCATTTATATTTACATTTTTTAACAATAATATTTCTCCTTCTTGTCTTGTGTTGTGAACTGTGAAGGCAGCTCTGTCATGTTTTCTCTCTCAGGAGAAACCTGAACTTGAACTCTTACTTAAAGTATCAGAGTGAAGTTTATTATGTGCTTTTTTTGTCTTGACAGGAAGATGGACGTCTTGATCAGTCTGAACCACGGGAAGTCCTTCATCTCCAGCGCCTACACCATCCATGCCTCCACCTGTGTGAGTCTGAGTCACCTCCACCTTTAACAGGAATCTGAGACAGTTTCTCATGAAACATTTCAGCCTGTTGTGTTTATGTTGTGGTTTGAGTTCATGTGACCATCACAGTTTGACAAGCAGAACTGACCCCTCCATCATCATGTGAGCACAGATCACTTCTGTCTTCTCCTTCACTCATAGTTAAACCATCATAGACAGTTGTTTTCCTGTAATAAAATGATCTATGGCTCCTAAAGCTCCTGCCAGTAATTTTCTGTCTGTGTGGATGTTGGAGCCCCGCCCTCTGAATGAAGTCTGAATTTCAGGCTATTTCACTGGAGTCCAAAAAGTCCTTACACAGGTGTGAAAGACCAGAAATAAATCATCAAACACTTGATATAATATGTATAAGATATAGAAAAAACAAACAAACAAAAACAAAAACAAGGAGTCCCTTAAAGTAAGTGACATCATTGTCCCTTTACTGACCAAGTGTTTCAGGTTGTTTTTTAAAATATTTATAACATTGAGATCTTTTTTGCAGCAAATGAACAAATTTCTCTACAGCTGCAAAAAACAACAGCAACAAAGGGTTGGATCGTTTTTAACCAATTTTTATTTTGGTCCTACTGCAGTCAGACGGGTTAGCAGTGGCAATTACCTTCCTGGTTCTGTTGATCCTGGTCGCTCTGGCCCTCATGTGGTGGTTCTGGCCTCTCTGCTGCAAAGTGGTGAGTTTCTCAACACACACGCACACATGCACACATGCACACAAGGACATATTCCACGAGGAATATGGAGAGCTCCTGCATAGACTGAAGTGTCCTGGATCTGATTTGGATCATACATGCAGACAAATCTATGTCCCTGTATGGTTATACTGACCAGTGCATGGTCAGTACTTGTGTCCTGCTCTCTGATTACTGCAGCTTGTTGGTGCAGACTCCTGTAATGGTTATTTTTAAGAGACTGACTGCTGTGATTTAGAAATCAGAAAAAATGAAACTACTGTGGATTGTTGTGAGTTTAGCATCTTTAAATACCACCCTGGGTTTGCAGATGTGAGGTATTCACCTCATTTAAGCAATAGGAGTGACAGCTAAAATATGACCCCACCTTGAACAGGACAGCTTCTTATCTCAGATGGTTCCTGGTTCTTCTGATCCTCCTGACAGAGCAGACTGAAACTGAAAAAGGTTTTAGGGTGCAGGATTGAAGATTTTTTCGTTTCATAGTCATGCAGAGCAGTGGTCAAATGATGGGTTTTGAGAAACTTGCTCTGATGACCTCACCTCCAGCCAACCTCGATCACCAAGTCGGTTTAGCAACACCACAGAAGAAGAACCTCAAGTAGGAAGTGCAGGGCCCACATCCTGTATGTGATCACATTGCTGAGGTCACTGAATTAAACAGAGTTTAAAACAACAAGTGGATCTGAGAGGAATGGGAGGAACTGTGCGGGACAGACTGGGTCTGTGTTTGATCAGGACTAAATTAAGTCCTACCTGGGGACCACACCGATTAATAATAATCCAACTGAGTCTTTACGGTCTGATCTCAGCTCTATCTGCAGAGTCCAGGCTGCAGATTAAAATCCTTCTTCTGTTTTTGTCAACACAAACTCTGCTGTTCCTAATCCAGTCAGAGTTTGTTTTCCAGCCTTTTCTCCTTACTTTGCTTTTTGTCACTGTTGTTATATCCTTTAATGATCGTTCACTTCCTCCTTTTATAAAGAGTGAAGGAGTGAGGAGGATGTTTTACATCAGCAGAAAATAAACAAATTAGGTCAATGAATTGCTCCTGAGACAGATGGTAAGGCTGTGAAGGAAGGAAATGTTTCTGCACACGTCTGATCACATCCATCAGCTTTAAGAAAATGAATGTTGTGTCTGTCTGAATTTGAGGCATACAGAATTTTTGAAAAACATACTATGACTGTGAATAAAAAAACCTGTTTGCTCCGATGCTTGAGTCATTAACTGTGCCCCCTGTTTGGTGTTAAGAGGTAAAAGATGTAACTTTTATCCATCTCAGTTTTGACAACATTGACAGAGTGAAAAAGTTGAAATCTCTGCTGTAAAAGGATCGGCTCAGTGCTAGGTTTGATCCTGTATCGGGCTGCTTTTATCAGGCTGAAGATGTGAATCAACAGGCTGGTTGTGCAGTAAATCTGACACATTTCTGAACTTGGTCTTCGTTGTGTCACCAGCCTTTTTTGTCCATACCAGATGTGATGATTCTATCACACTGAGAGAAGATAGAGGTGTGTCATCCACATTTATGCAAAGCCCAAAGTATCAGGAGGTTGCATGCTCTGTGTGCATTATGATCACTGGACTGATGAGACCATCTTTTGTGCGGAGTGTGTGAACAGCCTGTGACTCTGCAGAGTGATGGATGAATATGAGTAGTTAGCACTAGATCATAGTTGAACAGTCTTGCAGATAAAGTCTGAATTTGTCTCGACTCTTGGATGGCTGAGTGAGTGAATGTGGACTCAGAAAATCCTGCAGGTACTCTTGGTTATTCAGGATAATTTCTTTATGAGGTGTAAATGTGTTTCCTCATGGTGTCAGTCCCCTCTGACTCTAAATGTGTTTGTTAGAGAGGAACTACGGGCTAATTAATGGAGCTCAGACCTGCTCCTCACTCCTGAGCTCTGCTTTTTTTCCTTTTGACAGCTTCATCATTCTTTGTGGGTTTTTTTTTCTTTTAATCCATTGTTGAACTTTTTCTTTAGTGAAATTTTAAAGCTCTGCCCTCCTCCTCCTCCTCCTCCTCCTCCTCCTCTTCCTCTTCACTCCAGCGTTTACTAAAATCCACAGCAGATTCTAGTTTGGGGCTATGAGCGAGGGGCCACAGATGGTGCTCCCTGCACTTTTTCTGTCTCTGCTTTTTTATTCGGAGATCTGATGAAGGCAAATTTACCCCCACCTCACTCCCCCCGCACTGCCCCTTAAATGATAGACGTCACCTGGCTTTGTGGACCTGAAGGGAGCCCGTCCAGTATGAGATGGAAGCATATTTTGGAAAACCAACAAAGGCATTAAAATGTAAACCCCCTGCAGCATGTCTGGCTGCGGACGTGTTTGTCTTGGTGGAGAGAGCTGCTGTTGCCTTCCATCGAGGGACGAGGCACAAGAGGAGGGCCATGTGTGGCTTGTTAATATTTAAACCCCCAGTCTGCCAGGTTTCAGCAGCCGGGATGAGGACACACACACACGCACACACACACACACACACACACACACACACACACACACACACACACACACACACACACATCCAACCTCATTCCCACAATCCCCTTGATTGCCCCCCCCACCCTCTTGGTTCCTTGGTTTTTGATCAGTGTGGAAATTAAACTCAGTTTAGCACTGATTTTGAATCTTATTAAGGACACAACCTTAGAGCAACATCTTCAGTGCTGGAGAGTGAATAATTTTGGATAATGGAAATAACAGAAAAACAAAGAAAATATTGGAAAGTTTATTTAAATCCAGGGATTGAGGACTAAAGATGCAGTGTTGAATTACATCTCCAGTTTATCCCGATGACAAATGTTTCTCTGCTTCATTGGAAGAACTTCTGGACATTTTTCAGACTCCATTTGTATTTCATATTTGGATTATCTCTGAATATTTCAGATTCATGTTGTCAGTGTTGCTCTATAAAACTGAACTGTTATCTCTTTAAGGAAAGACTTTAGTTTCTGTGTTTTTGATCAGAGATGTAAAACTTCAACTCAGTTTGTTTCTTTTTTGCATTTAAAAATAATTATGTCAGAATGTAAAGATTTCAATTAACTTCAAAATTGGATTCAACAACACATTTATAAAAAGACGCTCCAGGTTTATGTCTCTCATTGTTAGTCATCAGCTCTAGTAAACCCAAAATCCAACCAGGTTCTGGAGTCTGGGTTCACTACAACCCACTGTTGGGGTTGTTCCTCTATAACAACTTTTTACCTGTTTGGTTGTCTTTCTCTATAACAACTTCTGACTGCTTTATTGTTTCGCTATAACAACATTTTAATCACAGTTTTCATCATCATTTAAAAACATCTTCACTTTTTTTTTGTAACATATTCAAATTGTCTGAAAATTTTTACATCAATTCTACATCAATCCTCCTCTTAGTTAAACTTTTTAAAGTAGCAGAACATAAAGCTATCTCAGGTTACGAGTCTTGGGTTGACATTTTCACAGCTAAAGGACTCGGAATTAGAAATCTGGTTTGTATAAAAACACTTTTTTGTTGTTGCTGTTCCGACTCCCTTTCAGACTCAAGTTCTTGGTTGCATTATGAGTAAATTCTGTTAAAACAGAGGTCAGTTCACGAGCACCTGTCTTTATCAGATATGCTCTCCATCACAGATCTGTGAGATTAATCCTCCTGAAACAGACTGACACTTTGAGATTTGAGCTTCAGTTTTAGAGTAGATAGATTATTAAGATATAGGTTACCATATGTTTTTGAAAGCCTCTGATTGGTCAGTATTTTGTGGCTAAATCCCAGCTGCTTTAGTTTTAGTATCTGTCCATCAGGTATCTGGGAAAGAGCAGCAGCCTCCCGTCATTTGTTTAATGCTTTAGTTATCCCACAATATGTCCTCAAAATCTGCTGCATAATTACTTAATAAAAAGGGATAATCCTTCAAACGTAAGGTGTGTCTGCAATGATGTTAATCAGCGTATGGAGAGGCTAACGGCAGACCTTTCTGGATTTGCTTGCAGCCAGTTTAGTGTCAAAGAGCGATGAATTAACCCTAATTGATTATTGTTCATTATTCTAATGAGGAGAGTATGTGCAGAGTGTGAGGGTATCTCTGAGCTTCACACCGGCTCAAACAGCTGCCAGGATCCATGATATGCTTTCATTACATTACAAACCAATTTAGTAAATGTAGAAGCAGCGCAATGTGGTGACTCATGGACCAGGAGCAGGTTCCTCACAGGTCCATGATTTACAGTTCTGGACTGGGTGTGAAAGTCCAGGGATGTTCAGGAGGGCTGCTGTTTTTGATTAGACCTTATAAAGTCATTCAGATAACCAAACATGAGCCTGCTAACCTGAGACAGAGGAGATCCAGAAGAGACTCCTGTGGTCCTTTCAGGGTTGCAGAGAACCAAGATAACAGGAGGGAGACAAGGAAGAAGGGGCTCAGACTGGACACTGTAAGAGAAAAAAAAAAAAATAATAATAAAAAAAAATAAAAATAATAATAATAATTATTATTATTATTATACCTTTATTTTTATAGCACTTTTAGAAACAGAGGTTAACAAAGTGCTTTGACAAATCGTCATGAAGCACAGGACGACGGCACACTGAAATAAAAACAAATAAAAACAAAAGTTCAGTTAAAACAAGGCCTCAGAATTATCGGCCATTTTCATTTGTTATAATGAACCCTGCAACATAAAATTGGACCAAGAGGACCAAAATAAAAACATACAATTGGTAAGAAAAAGAAAATACAATAAAAAAGTGGAAGCAGAAAACAGGGTAAAAAATAATAAGACAATATTTATCATGATAATAAAATAATAACTAAAAAATAATGATAATAATAGTAATGATGAAATAGAATAACAGAAATGAGCAAGAGAAAAAAACAATAAAAAGCCTAAAATGTTCTATAAGAAAAGATTATTTGTGTAACAAAAGCTAAAACGTCAATAAAGCCAAAATAAGTAAAAGAGAAAAGAGAAAACAGGGATGAAGGGGACTTTCAAACTTATTTTCCAAAAATATGTAGATAGAGAGAAAACAGACTTTAAAACCGACCGTTTAGGGTATCCTAACGCAGGTCATTGACAGATCCTGATCTCTGTAAGTCTGAAAAGACTGTTGGACTGATGTCAGTTTTTCTGAAACTACAGTGTCGTCAGGTTTTATCTGACTGGAGCTGCAGCTTGGCTCTCTGAAGACTCTGTGAAACCTGTTTCAAGTGAAGGATGGACTAGTCCTGCTCAGCCTGATTCTCTCTCACTGATGGACAGAGTGTCAGCCCGTCTCCAGCTGTCCTGCAGGAAAAAGTTGGACATCAGTATGTGAAGTGTCTGACACCTGACAAATGTCCCTGTCAATGTCCCTGTCAGGCTCTGCTTCGCTCTGCACATCTGAAAACCCCGGTGGAGGCATCTTGTCTTTGAGTGGAATCACATTGTGGACAACCTGCTCCTCAGGTGTCATGTCACCCACTGTTGTCATTGGCGACCCTGTCAGGGAGAGGTGGAGATGTGCTGTGTTTATCAGTGTGTTTTATTCCTTTATATCTATGCGTGTGTGTGTGTGTGTGTGTGTGTGTGTTTGTGTGTGTGTGCAGTCACTGATCTTCCTCTCAGACGTGGCTTGAAGCCGAGCCGAGCCTCCTCCTCTGCATCTCATTGGAGCTAATTAACTCCTCAGGACTTTATGATTGGGGGGATTGCTTGGGAGCGCTGAACCCCATCCAATTAATTAAGAGCTAAACGGGCAGCGGCACTCGCCCCAAAGACTCCCCTGTCAACAAGTTGACTTTCAGCTTTTCTTTATTTTGCACGTGGGGCCCCTGATGTTGGTTTACAAGCAGAATCCTTGTAATCAGTAGTCGGTAGGGCGATGGGGGCATGTCTCAGTCACAGAGCAGCCTGGCAACAGCAGCAGCAGCAACAGCTTCTCCGCCTTGCAACCAGCTCAGGGACGTCTCTGTTTGACTCAGTCACCTGTCACGAATCACCTCTGTCAGCCTGGTCTCCACATGATCTGAGCTTGTGTGGATATTTGTGTGTGTGTGTGTGTGTGTGTGTGTGTGTGTGTGCATGTGTGTGTGTGTGTGTGTGTTTTTGTCCCTTGTGGACTTTGTGCTGACACTTTTTTGTTTTTAATGTTTATCTAGGTCATCAAAGACCCGCCGCCACCTCCTCCACCCTCCCGTCCTCCTCCACCTGTGAGTACATCAGAGTGCTTTTATGATACCTGAATACTCATGTTTACAGGGAAACAGAGTTCAGATTTGGAGGGTTTGTTGGATTAAAACAGGCTTCAGTTTGATTCACGCTTTCTAAACCTGAGATCTGGTTCTTACTGTTTGGGTTTCAAACACCTGGAGGATACTGAGAGTTTGGATTCAGAGTCTGTTTCAGAGGCTGGCAGCAGGAAAACAGGCTGTCAGGTCTGCATCATAATCCTCTAATCAATCACAGTGTGACGTTCTGGTTTTGGTGTCTGGCAGGCTTGGATTAGACCCCCAAAAGCACCAAAGTTCTGCATCAAAACAATGTTTTTTTAAAGGTTGAGGATTCGAAATGGTTATCAAGTCTCTTAGGATTACACTGGAACCAGTCCAGTATTTTTAAGGTAGACTTAGGTGGTCAAGGTACCTAAAAACAAAGCACAGATACAGCCGTGTTTATGAAGCTGAGATAGCAGACTCCTGTCCACTACACTGAAGGAAGATAGGCTCAGAGAGAAAAAAAAGACCTTTCTATTGTCATGTGTAAAAAAGCAGCTCACAGGCGAGACCTGAAAAAGACCGGCTCTGATGAAAAGAGTCATACACGGTTATTTTAGAAAAGCAGACCAGATCAGAGAGGAGAATGAACCAGTGGTGCAGGTCTTCAAGGGTCGGCATGTTTCCTCCAGAATCACTCTTGATGCTAAGCTAGGCTAACTGACTTCAAACGTCAGAACTCAAAGGACAGAAATGACACATTCAGGACACGTTCAACTATTAGTAATAATAATTATTATTCCAAACAAGAAAGAGAGAAATTTTCAAACTGGGGGTTATTCTCCTGAAACAGGTCTCCAAGTTTCTGTCGGTCTCTCAGAGAAATTGACACACAAACAAGCAATTTTTTTTTTCTATGACCTTTTATTTGTGTGTTGCATAAGCTGTTTGTTATTTCAGGAAAATTATATCACTCCATCATATAAATCTGACTCATGTATCTGTCATCACAATATGCACCAACAGGTTTTAGTCTTTAATAAGCACTCGCTTTAAGAAGCTCCCTCTGTGAGACCGGATTCAGCAGGATTAGAAATGCTAAAGTAGATCATTGAGGGTGTTTTTTATGAAGTGATGAAATCCTCAGAAAAACATTCATCGTCTTAATTCTGCAGCCGCCAGCCTGTAACTAAGAACAGTAATATACATGATTGTGACTGTCCCCTCTTCCTCTCTCATTTTTCACTCTGTTCATTTCTCCTCTGAAGGAACCAGAGCCGCTGTCCAAGAAGAAATGGCCGACTGTGGATGCCTCATACTATGGAGGACGAGGAGCAGGCGGGATCAAACGGATGGAGGTAAGAGCCTGAATAACATGCTGGGTTGAGGAGCATGCACACTTGTAGCACTGGCACAAACACACATTAGGAGCATCAGCTTTGACCCAGAAACCTCCCTTATGCTGTCTCTGTGTGACAGGGTCCTGACCTGAGTCCATCAGCACTTTGAGAAGTCTGATCAGTGCGGCCTCGTTATTGAGAAACTGCAGAAAGAACATGCACACTAGGCTGCAGTTTTCTGCTGACAGGTTGACTCTGACATATAACTCAGCTCATTTATGAAGGGGATTATTACATCCTGCTGCAGGAGATTGTTTTCATACCTGAGCTAAAAACTAAAACAACTGGTGTAGAGATTTTAAAACCACTGAATCCTTCGGCACCACAGACTAAATATTTAAAGATGCTGAATGAGTTCCAGCTCTTTTACACATCAAACTTAAGAGCTCCTGCTGCTCACACAAAGATTCACATCAAAGTCAAAACTGCAGACTTCACAAACTTTCAATGTTCAGAACTATCTCCACTGTTTTAAGCGATTTGAGTCCAGCTTTGTTGTGAAATTAAAAGAGTTAAATGACCACAGGAATCAGGTATCCAGGGTTAAACCACAGTTAATGGATGAGATCAGATCAGACCCATCCTTCAGAACTGAACTCAAACTGAAACCACAGATGGCCTGAGGTGGAGCAGGTTTTGTGAAACCTGCTGACAGTCTGAATTTCTCTGAAGCTACAAGTTTGTCGACTCAGAGGAAGATGAGGAGGAGGGGCAGCGGCGTGATGGACAGATGGACAGACCCGAGCCGCTGTCCTCGTCAGTCTGCCGATGTCTCTAACATGACAGGCCCTGCCATCTTGTCCTTGGCCGTCCGGCTCCTGATTGGATCAAGTCGTAGCTGAGATGAAGGATTGAGTGCTGCTGTCAACTTGATGTACCACCTCCCCCCCCCTCCTCCCTCTTCAGCTCCCAAACCTTGGCACAGTGTCTCTGATCCGCCTCCTCTGAGGGGAGTCCAGCTTTAAAGGCGAGCTCCCTCCTCTTTCTCTCCTCACTGTTTGTTGTACCCCTCTTGCCGCTCCTTAGCCCTGAGGATGTTAGTGGTGATGCCGGGATTTCCCAGAATCCTCTGGGACTTCCTACCTCTTGACTTTTCCCTGTGGTGTTGGTGAAGCGTGAGGCCCCCTGCTCTCTTCTTCTTGCAGCAGGTTGATTCTTGACGACACTTCCAACGATGTGTTAGATCAACCTGCTCTCCTCTGAAGCAGCATTTAAGATGCCACGCTGAGAGGAAACCACCTCCGCTGCTTTGCCACTGCCAATATTTCAAATGCATACCCAGGTGACAATGTTATCTTTTATTCATGGCTGCCCTCTTTCTCTCTTCTTGAAGCAGCAGGCCAACAATGGATCCAAGGGATGATTCTGAAAAGCTGTTCTATATTGTCGTGGCTTAACCTACAGCTTGGAAACGGTGTTGCTAATTAATCAGCTCAGCCCGCTCATGTGACAGAGAGTTCTTTATCTCCTCCTTCCAACAGATGTGATGAATTCAATTAAAAAGCAGGACAGCTGAACTGACACACAGAGGCATGCCTATGCACACACTAAGGCACACACATACACTGACACACTCTGAGATACACTGACACACTCTGAGACACACACTGACACACACGGACACTTAGATACAGACGCTGACACACGCACTGATACACATACTGACAAACAAAGGCAATAACACTGACACACATACTGACACACACTGGCAAACACAGACAATAACACTGACACACATACTGACACACTCTGAGACACATACTGACACACACACTGACACACATGGACACTTAGTTAGATAAAGACTCTGACACACAAACACACTGACACATTGACACACACACTGACAAAAACAGCAAATTTCACTGACACACATTCTGACACTCTGAGACACACATGGACACTTAGGTAGCTAAAGACTCTGACACACACACACTGACAAACACAGACAATTTTACTGACACACTGAGACACACATACAGATACACACTCCGACACACACATACACATTCTGACACACACTGTAACACAGGCCCATGTTAACACACACTGACACACTTTAACACACACTGAAACACATTCTGACACACACTGAAAAACACGCCCACATTTACACACACTAACAGACACTGAAACACACACTGACAAACTCTAAGACAAAAACTGACACACACAATGACATACAGGGCTCTATTTTCGTGCGCGCCGGTGAGGCGGCGGAGGGCGGCGAGCCCCGCGCAGTTGTATTTTCGTCTGGCGGAGCCCAGCGTAAGGCCAATTTGGTATTTTCGTGGCATGAGCCGCACGGAGGCGAGCCGAGATCCGCCAAGCTGGGCGTGGTGGTGTGGCAGGGGGAGGTGTCGACAGAATCAGCAGGCGCAGTGACATTTTCGTGCTCGCCAACGGCGTGTAAAGTGCGCTGAAAGCTCGCCGATTCAAACCTGGTCAGCTTTCAGCGCAAGGCGGAACGCAGCTGGTCTGGTAGTATTTTGGTAGACCGGCGGCGTATCGACATACGTCACTGATGCCTCACCGGCAGGTTTCCACAGTGTCAGGCACATTTCTGTGCAATAAATAATCATCATCAACTATTAATCTGAGTCAGCACATATATTTAGATCTATATCGATATATTCTGATCTATATCTGATCTGATTAGCGCGTTTGGCACGCGTTTGGACACACAACCTGACCGAATCAACACAGCTGAAACCGCATCAAATTAAATTAAATATCTAGTAAATAAACACACATGATGAAGTTAACAAGATATGTAATTCGTCTCCCTCCTTTTCTTTCTTCCTCTTCCTCTTATTTCTCGCACAGCTCGACCTGGACACGTCTCCGTGTCCTCTGTCCGTCTTGCTGCTGCTGCGGCTGAACAGATGATTTGTTTCAGTGCTCAGATGCGTTATCTACTTTAAGCCGACATACGGATATTATAATATTCTGTTTTGTGAGCCAAATTTATTTTATATGCCAACATCTATGAAAGAAAGAGCCAGGCCACGGAGCGCGATGCGTCATTTACGCACAGATGGTTCCGATTTTAATGCCATTTTTGGAGTTTATGTTGTGATCTGTGCGCTCAACCCACCTTTGTCACGTGAGGTTTGAATATGAGCAACTTTATGTGAGTGTCTTTATTTGTGGAAAAGGGCGTTTGTCTTACCAGTGGGTCCAACATTACGCACACTAAATCCATCTGTGCTCATATGAGAGAGTGTGGAGGACACTTGTTGAGGAGCTGCCCTCTGTCGCCATCTTGTGGCATTACTGTCTTAAGACATCTCTTGATCTCTTTGACTACTTCATGAAAATAGTAATACGCCTCGCCGGTGGTGGATTTAAAGGCAAGGAGAGGAGCCTATGTGATTGGTGAAAACAGGTCTCGGCTGTGTTAAACCCACTATACGGCCTTTCTCCTCCCAGTCTACGACTTATGGTGCTGGGAGGAGCTGAGTTAGGGAGGGGGGATACTTACGCCGGGCTGCGCGGCTCACCAAAATACCAAAATGTGCTTGGGAACGCCTTGTCAGCGCGGCGGATCTGACTGACGCTGCGCTTGCGGCACGTCTCCGGCGAGGCACCAAAATAGAGCCCACAGACACTAACACTCTGACACACCCTGACATACACTGATATTTTTACACTTACACTTTACACTTACACACACTGACACGCATTCACACTTTGACATGTACTGATGATCTGATACATGTATTGACAAACACAGACACACACTGAAGTACAAACTGACACATTCTGACATACACACTGAACAGTCTAGGACACACACTGACAAACTTTTGTGCACAACCACGGATATACTCAGACACACTGACACATTCACTGATTTAGACTCACCCACACAAACACACACTGACAAATTCTGACACACATATTGACACACACAGACACACACTCTGACACACTCACTGATACACTCTAACAAGCACACCGACACACTCTGGCACACACACTGATACACTCTGACACGCACACTGACACACACTGAAACACACTCTTACACACTCACTGACACACACTGACACACACTCTGACATGCACTCTGACACACACACTGATGCATTCTTTGATATACAGGCCTACATTGACACACACTGACACTCACTGACACACAAACCAATTCATACTTTTACACATAGGCCTACTTTAACAAACACTGAGGCACACTGACACACACAGACACACACATTGACACACTCTGACACAAGGACACACTGATGCACTCTGACACACATACTGACACACACTGATGCACTCCGACACACACTCTGACACACACACACACACACTGACATGGTAATGATGAGCTGCCCCACTTTTAAACGTTCTCACCTGGATATTTTTTTCTGCTCTTTACCTAATTATCATTGTTTTCATTGGTTCCCTTGTTACACTGAAGCGCCTCAAAATGAATGCCTCTCTGCCTGTTACAGCTGTGGTCACATTAGGGTTCAGGCTGTCTGTATGTCAATCATCTGCCAGTCTTCAAACACGTACATGAAAAGCCTCAAAAATACAGCTTCAAATTCAGCAACTGGAACAAATCTGCGACTGTGTGAGTCATCGGCTGTTTGCTTTTTGGTTCATGGTCAATGCAGAGGGTCATTGGTATGAAAACAGCTGACAGTATCAGAACCAGCATATTAAAAACACTGTGAAACGTTTTTTCCCTATCACAACAACAACAATCACCACCAGGCTACAGGTGCATTTTCCTTTGAAACTCTTAAGGTCTCAACAGTCTCAAATTTGAGACACTAACAGTCTGAAATGCTCTCAGAGCTGACATTATTCTGATACTTGTCTGGAATCAAAATTAGAATGAGCTCTTATTGTCTCCTAAACTGTCCCTCTGGTTTACTTTTTCAGGTACGCTGGGGTGAGAGGGGCTCCACTGAGGAGGGGGCCAGACTGGAGAAAGCTAAGAACGCTGTGGTGTCAATGCCAGAGGAGGCAGAGGAGCCCATGATCAACCGTCCCAAACCAAAGCCTGGCCCCACCTACCACCAGAACCAGAACAAATGGTACACCCCCATCAAGGTAAGAGCTACACCCTAACATCTGCAGGTCACTCAAGAGCCTTTTACCATGAAGAGACCCTAAATTTTTCATTTTGATGAACATGTCTCAAACTTTTCATGGAGCTCTGCCCACATTACATCAGCTGTTCCACATCAGTTTAAGGCCTTGTCCACACATAGCCAGGTATTTGCTAAAACAAATAAATATGTATCAATTTTGACCTGCCATTCACAGGAAACCGCAGGGTTACGTCATTAAAAACTGTGCTTTTGGAAAAAACTCTGGCCAAAGTGAAAATTTTTGGAAACTCTGGTTTTGTGTTTGTGTGTGGACATAGATAACCAGAGTTTTAAATCCCCAAACATCAGTGTCTGTGACAACTAATAGATAAACATCATATACTATGCGCCTTTCTTTATATCGGGCAGTGGACAGCACAGATATATACAGAATATATATTTTTGTGAAGAGCAAAGGAGAAGGAACACTTTGCAGTCAGTTATTCTACACCAAATAACACTTCCTCCACCTTTCTTGTGTCTTGTTGACTTTCTACTCCAAAACGATGCTGAAAAGTTATTCCACCTCTTTGTTGGTCCGAACGAATGAACTGCATGGTGCTATGTTTCATGTTTGGAGAAGTGACGACGTGAAAGGGAAGCTTCCTCTGATTAGATAGAATTAGATAGAAACTTTTTGGCAAACACTACCATCTCCAGGTCTGTCATGCTTATAACTGTGGTCAATAGCACACTTCTACGGTTTTGTGTGGATGAGATTTTATTTGACTACGATGATGTGTGTAAGTGACCTTTTTTTTAAAAAGAAGGGGCTGGATATTCATTTATAAAAAATACCTGGCTACGTGTGTACAAGACCCAAAACCTCAAGGCCGTCCCTCAGTGATAAAGAACATTTGTTGTCACAAGACTTTAATTAGTACCCTCAAAAATGTCCTTGAATTTGAAGGTAGCGCTGGGATTGGACTACTTTTCTCTAACCTGTACACACTTTAGGACCTCAGTGACTATGCAAGAAAAACTTGGATCAGGAGAACCCTTTAAGATTCTTGTAAAAGCTCCTGTGCCTCATAGTTCTTGATGCTTTGAGTGAAAAAAAAAGAGAAAAAAAAGGAGTTGTCAAGGCTTAATTCAGTATTTTCACAGCTGAGCTTGAATAACTTATTTCTTTCAATCAGGGTCGTCTGGACACTTTCTGGGCTTTGCTGCATCGACAGTACGACCGAGTGTCCCTCATGAGACCCACATCTGAAGACAAGGTAGGTCACAGAGAAGCCCCTCCCTGTCTTGAAGCTTGTGATACCTGGTAGATATTTACAGCTTGAAATACTCTGATGATGGAGAAAACCTGCAGAGACATTCATGGCTTAGTAAAAATAAGAGTGATGGTGTTTTTTTGACTGCAGGGGTGTGTAGGACTCAGGAAACCAGAGTCAGTCTTGTTTTTAGAGGCTTCAACTTACTTCTTGCAGGGAATGAGTCAAAGTCTGTTGGCAGTTTCTCACATTCAGAGGTAAAAATAGTTAAATTTGCATTAGTCAGCTCTGTGAATGGTACTATTATAAAAGCCATAATCCTCAGCGTGACTTCATTTGATTATTTTGGTCTTTGTGTAAATTCTTTGAGTCACAGCTGAGAGCAGAGCTGAGCTACAGTACATCTGTGCACAGGAAGCTGCTGGCAGCCCTTAGCATTGTGTTGTTGTTGTTGTTGTTGTTGTTGTTGTTGTTACCTAACTGTGCCGATGAGAGCTGCAGCTGCAGAGGCTCATTGGAGGAAGCATGACAGAGACAACCTAATATGGTCACACTCTGGACATGTTAACCTCTGAGGAAACAAATCTACTCTACAAACCAACACTCTGAAACCCGATGCCCTGCAGGCGGTTAGAGGAGCACACAGCCCTCAAACTACTGCCCAATCAGAGTTAACCGGAAGATTTTAGATGTTTTGATCCACACCATCTCCTGCTGACACTCAGATTCAGGCTGAATGTGGAACTGAGGGGCGGAGATTAGGATTGGTGTTTTTAGATGTTACTGAGTGAACTATGGTTCCACCACCGGCAGGCCTGACTGCGGTGGTGAGACTTCTGATCACTTTCACCTCACTGTGGTCAGAGAAGGAGAAGCATGAAAGTTTGAGTGTTTCACAGAAGGACTCCAGGCTGCAGATGTCTCAGGAGGAAGAATGTTTGCTGCTCTGGAGAACATGGAAAACACCGAGCTGCAGAGCCAGCTGTGAGCCTGCCAGCTGTTCCTCACAGAGCTGTTCAGTCAAATCAGAAGGAACAAGTAGAAATCAACATTATTAAAGGGTCATTTCAAAGGTTATTTCACTTTGCACTGGGTCAGAATATCAGGAGAAAGAGTGGTAATGGGTCCAGTACATATTGTTGTTTCTGGTACTGAAACACTATGACATGATAATGAGACAGATTTGAGATCAGGTTTTTCTTTTGTTCTGGTTCCACAGATCAGATCAAAAATCAGTGTTATGACTTAATGGGCACTGTTATCTTTTCAAAAAAGTGTGCTTCATCTACTAAGAGCAAATAACTGCAGTGATATACACTTTTCATTGTGGACAACACTAAAGCTACAGGTTTTTCTGAGGTGGTCAGGTTTAAGGTTCTCTCTTATGCAGACAGGTTCCTCCAGGTGTGACTCTTTAAGACTCACTGCTGTCATCAGTGGTAAACATGTTGAGGTCCATGACTTACCTCTATCTAAGTGAATAACAGCTGACCAATAACAGGCGTATAGATAACTGCTGGTTCATACGTTTGTCCACCATGCTAGGTCAGAGGTCACTGAGTGGTTTGCTGAGCTGTGAGCTGTTTCTTCATTTGCAGGATTTTTTTTTTTTTGCTTGTGAGTTTTGATTTGTCTTTAAGTTCATCTTCTCTGTGAGTAAAGTAGTCTATCTATCAGAAGACTCCAGCAGCCAGTTAAGTTGTTCAGTTCACCTGCACAGGTGTAATCGTGGTCTGACAGAGGATGACTCGCTGCTGTTGTGGCAGTGGACATGTTGCTTATCTCTCTGCAAATAGAGGTGAAGACTGGTTTTGTGAAAACATGAATAACTGACAGGTGTGGGTCTGTCTGAGCATCAAACCAACAACGTTTCAAACACTCATATTTCATCATACAGAACAACAATAAAAAGGTTTCAGTAAAAACATGAGCATTAGTCTGAGTCTTCCTTTGTAAGTTTGATTGATTCTGGGATGCATCAGATTCGCAGGACCTTTTCCTAATCACACATATGGATCTAAGAGTCTTCAACTTAACTCCATTTAAATCAGACCTGAAAACCACAAACTTTCAAACCAGCCTGGATCAGGTTTTACCTTTAAAGTGGACATCTTCAGTAAACCAGAGCACTTTTTGCCTGCCAGTGTCAGACCTGTTTTTCTTCTTGAACTGAGGCCAAAGGGACAAAAGTCTGATGTGATGTGTTTCAGCTCCATGATGAATTTTTAACCGTGGGTTAAATGGGTTGCTGTTGTTTTGTTGTGCTTGGAGACTTCGGGACGGAGCCAGACTTTTCATTAGGAGACCAAAACTGCATATTTTACTCCTGTTTGCTCTAATGTGTTTCATGTTGCAATGACAACAATTCCCCTGTCTGATATTCATCCAACTGTCTGAATTAGAAACAAAACATTCTCTGAACACATCATGGCTGCTTCTCCTGCTGTGTCAAGGATGATAGATGTTCCCACACATGAGGTCACCTCCATTGCTCCGAGCAAACATAGCAGAGAGTGATTTCCTCCGGTGAGAAAGCAGCGTGTCAGAGCTCTGAGGAGGGAGGGGGAGGAGGAGGAGGAGGAAGAGCTGCCAGCGAAGCCCTCCCTTCATTCACATGCTGCTCACCATGCCAAACTCTGCTTTTAAGTCTTTGATCAAGACCCACACAGCGGACACAAGAGGGAATCAAACAGGAGGCCATGGAGCCTGTGAGCATTTGAAGTCACATCTTAACAGAGCAGGAGGAAGGACAGCTTCACTTCATGGATCTTTAACTGAGTCCTCTGTTTTCCTACAGGTCTGCATATTAGTGAGTGTGAACCACATCTCACTTTGGCTTCACTAACTCAAACAGGTCAACAATGAAGCTTCAAAACATCCAATATGACAGGTCTGTGGTTTAAGGTTTCATGGACTATTGTAAGAATCTTTTCAGCATGGGTGGCTGAGTCTAAATCATCGGTCCGATTTTCACTGACCAACTGTTTCCTAACAGACAGAAAGGGGACACGTGTTCAACACATCCTTCCTCATAGTGGTCTTGATAAAGGCTGTGGCCTCTGATGCAGTTTCCATGTACCAATAACATCACCAAGACCGCTGTGGACTTTGTTAACTGGATCTCCTTCTTTGGTCCAGACTTAACTGGACTCTTGAAGATTTGCTGGTCCAGCTGTTGTCAGCTCTTTTCCAGACCTCCTTTCAAGGAACAAGACTTCTCTGAGATCTCTCAGTTCTGCTTAATCTTTCATTATCAACCAATCTCAGAAGCAGCATCTGTTCTGTTTCAGGGTTAGTGTCCGGGTTACCCTTTGACCTCTGATGTACACCCAAGATCAGATTAACCTTAATTCATCCCACAGTGGGGAAGTCTGCAGTGTTTACAGCAGCAAAGAATCAGCACAGCAAACAGAGAAGAAGTACACTCGTCATGCATGCAGGCCTCTGTTTACGGGCAGCATCTGTGTTAAAGCACCCTTTGGCACCAGTTTTTAGGTCTCTTTAAGGATCCATTTTCAGGTACCTTTTCTTTTTCTACATTAATTAGAACATAGAGGTCTCTGTTCAGAGGTACCCCTATGCAGTTTTTGTTTCACTGTACCTGGCAACATTTGTCGATGGTTAAACTTTGACCTTTTTTCAGGGGACCATTTTAGCATCTGTGTCAGGGTACCTCAGTGTCAGGTGACCTTTGGGGGTTTCTGGGTAATATTCAATAGTTGTTGTTCATTCAGGGGACACCAACTGTTTCAGAGTACCTCTTTATGTTTTTTGGACACTATTGTGGTTTTGGGGCACTATGGGTTCTGTGAGGACATGGTGCTGTTTGTATTTGAAGGTGTCTTTAAGTTTGCTATCCTTCGGGCTGTTCGTACCTAATTCAGTCTACCTTGGGTGTACGTTTTGGAGTCCCCCTCTTTTTGTAGGTGTCTCTGCTAATTTCTTCTATTTCAGGACTTCCAGCCTGTCCAGTGGTGGTGCAGGTGTATTTATTTGTTTCAGTTTGTCAGAAAAGCTCGTTCTGTTGCTCCCACAGCTTGGATTTATATCCATGTATCTGTCCTGACATGTTTATTTCTTAATCCAGGGGTCTCCACCTTCACCCTCAGTCTTATTTTGGGCTGAAGCATCAGACATAGAGGAGTCCGAACTGTCCACTGGGAGGTGAGGTATAGATGGCAGAGTGGGCAGCGGCAGCACAGAGAAGAGAGGAGAGGAGAGGAGAGGAGCAGCAGAGGGAGGGAGGGAGGGAAGCAGTGAGGGGAAGGGGAGGGAGGGCAGTGGTCTTTGATGGCGGACAGGAAACCTCCAGGGTCATGAATTTTTCAGCGAGCTTCATCCGCTGGGTTACAAGGACTCGTACAGGTGTAAGGAAGCAGGTTGTCGCAGACATCTGTTCAGCACGGGGACCCTGGTGTCCATGCCTCCCTCCCTCCCCTCTTCCTCTCCTTCCATCCTCCCTCCCTAGGCAGTCTCCTCTCCTCACCCCCTCCTCCGTCCCTACCGCCCAGAGCAGAGCTGCTGGATCGTCAGCAGATGCAGAAGAGAGACAGAAAATGAGAGTGGAACAGTTTTTTTTGTGGTCTCACATTTAGCGCCCGAGGGCCTCCAACACCAAAGGTAGAGCGGGGGTGGACACAGCTGCAGCACCAAACTCGCCCCAGGCACAAATAAAGAGATCTGATGTGGTTTGACTGTGTTGTGGGTGAGAGCGGGGAGCCGGGGAGGCACTTCAGAGCCAACTTAGCACAGCAACATCTGCCGCCAAGTTTTCCCCGGGATCGGCTGGGGACAGCAGGTAGAGGAAGGTGGCAGAGAGGGAGGGGGCCTGGGTTGGCCTTATTCTGGGGCTGGCTCAGCCTCCCTTTGAAGAGGCAGTGCATGCACGCATTTGTCTGAAAACCTCCTGTCTTCTCATTTATGGCCTCTTGACTTCACACTCCAGGTATTGTTTTCCGAGCAGCTGTCCACTGACTGTCCAGACGAGTGTGTGATGAATGATGCACAACTTTACATTACACCCTCTGAGTCCGCCTACATACTGAGACTCAGAGGGCTAAAGCCAGACTGCTATAGTCCCTCTAAGTCCGTCCATTTGTTCCTCTCTTTCTCATCTTTCTCTCAGTGGGGGGATGAGTGGGCTGAGTGTGCTGCTGTGTAAAGGTTAATGGTATTATCACATGGATCTGCTGGAGCATATTTGCAGTACAATAACATGTCTTTTTCTCATTGTTTTGTGGGGGATTGTTCTTCTTCACTCTTGAAATTTTCCATATAAAATTGTAATCATGTGATTGTCATTGATCCCTCCCACATCTTGGTCTTTGCTCAGGACTTAATTTTTTCTTGACTTCTGCAAAGATCCCACTGAAACTATAGTAAAAGTCCCCCCAGCTCTTCTGTCCTTCTGTTTCCAACGTGTGTGAAAACTGTTCAGCTAACAAGTGCTGACAAAAAAGGGGGATCGTGAAAATGGTCCTCTTGAAGGGAATACTTTGCTTTAAATTGCTGTTTAGATTTCTATTTTCCTTTTAGACGATACCTGCTGTCATTTGTCCTGATTTAGTAACTACTGCACACAGATGTCGGTGCCTGCTAACCTGTACAAACAAAGAGTCCCTTTAATCCACAGAGCAAAAGGTTAAATGCTCGACAAACCGATCACCTTTTGTGCAAAAGAGCCTCTGTCTGAGTCTGTTCATAATGTTTACATGTTACTATTTGAATAATAATCTGTCTGGTGCTTCCTGTGGCTCAGTCTCACAAATACCAACACAACTATCACATTCAACAATACATTAGCAATACACCTCTGAGTCGTGGGCGGTAGTGGTGGGCAAAACCGTTCATTTCAGTGAACCGGACCATTCCGGGTCGTTCAGTAAAAAGACCTGTTCATTTCGGTCATTTCAGTCATTTCGGTCAATCGGTCGTTAGTCAGTCCGTTCGTTCATGTTGTTCACGTTCGTTCAGACGCTGAACGAACGGACTGACTGCACTTCAGACTCAACAGCGCAACAACATGTGATCTTGAAATCTGAAGCATTACACCCCTCCAGATCTGACGTTGCGAGCGTCTCAGCTCCCCGGTCCGACGATACGACCCCCCCACGGTCCTGCCTTATAGTTTATTTTATTCAGTACATCCCGTTGCGTTCACAAGTCGGTCGGCTAGTGACAGGCTGACAGCACCTCGCAGAGAGTGAACGCTTGTACTCAGTCAGTCTGAGAGTCGGTCAATCTCTCGGTCAGACCGAGCTGACTGAAAAGACAGAGACCGAGTCGGTCATCGGTCCGGGTCTTTCAGTCAACTCGTTCATCGGTCCGGATCTTTCGTTCACTCAGTCTTTCAGTCAACTCGTTCATCGGTCCGGGTCTTTCGTTCAACTCGTTCTTTCAGTCAACTCGGTCATCCCGGTCTTTCAGTCTGCTCAGTAGTACTGCTTCTGCTTCTCTAAGCCCCACCCACACACAGAGGCGTGACGATAAGATAAGACAGGCAAGCACGAAGATAGTCCCTCTTGAGCCAATCAAAAGAACTGAACAGACTGAACGGGTCATTTAGGGGGGATGACCTCGTTCATTTTGTTCACCAAAAAGAACTAGTTCTTTTGATCCGTTCGTTCAAGACCGACACACCACTAGTGGGCGGAGACAGCGCTGCTCCTTACCCTTCTCTTCATGCTAGCTTGTAGCCTAACATTGCCGGTATAGCAGAAGTGGCAGGTAATAAAGAAACTATTCTTCTCTCAAACATGAAGGCATGGAACCCGCTACCACGCAGACTCTGGCCAGCAGAGCAGGGCTTGGATTTGTAGAGAGTCCCACTTAATCCACTCAGACATGTCTCCAGTAAAACACCCTTGAACAAACCAAACAGTTAAACACATCTGAGCCTGTTGTCTCTTTTTCATCGGCTGGTGTATTCCCCCTCATCCCTCGGTGCCCAGGCTGCGACACCGTCTTAATTTAACAGCAGTCGATCATGCTGGGAAGCTGCTGTGGGAGTATTTAAGTAAGTGACTATGAGCAGAGGGACAAAGACACCAGCCCGGGGAGTCCTCTGTGTTGAAGGGAGGAACAAGGGAGCATGGATGGCTGTTATAAAAAAAGCGAGGACATGTCTGGCATAAGCCAAGGGCTAGCGAGGGTCGAGGTGACAGGCTGCTCTCCTGGTGTGGCCTGGCATGGCTCAACATGGCCGGGCGGTCCTTGGAGGTCACAGAAAGACATGCTGGAGTTTGTTTTCTCCTCCTCAGAGGCACCTGAGGTTTGCAGCAGGTGATAGTTTGCATGAGAATGAAGCCAAAGTCAACCGTACAGCATGGATGGTTGAGTTTTTCCGTCAGTAGTGGAGGGTGTACGTGTTGCATTTTCACAGACATGAGTATAATAAGTGTAAATAGACAGGACTATTTCTGAGACGATTGGCAGCTTCTCTCTGGCCTCGACACTGCAATTTTACATTCTGACACCATGTCACATTTTGTCGGAAGTCTTCTGCAGCTCAAGTTTCTCTGAGTTTCTCTCAATGGCAGATGGTTGATGGGGAAAAAAATATATTTCCAATATGTTTATTATCTCCAGAAAAGTAAGAGAGTAAAAGTTTGATTAGTGAATCGTCCTGGTAACAGAAACCAAGGAGGATTCTGGGAAATAAAGTTTTTTTTATCCTCTTTCTGTGTAAACTGAAATTAGACATAAGTGAAGGGTGAGAGTTAACGACCATTAAAGATTTCAGTCACAAATAAACTGTCAGCTTTTATCACATTAAACATCAATGATGCCGTAAAATACGTCAGGTAACAGCGTGTGACCGCGCTGATGACCATCCATGAGAGGAGGACTGTGCTCCTCCTGCTTTTGCTCTCCAAACAGACACTGCAGCCTGCTGACACCTGACTGGTCCAAACTTTGAGGACTATGAACAGAAACTAGAGCTTCTCTCAGACCCTGACATATAGATTCTAGGTTTTTATGCATGCCGTATGATCAGCAACCATCTGTAGCCACCATACTGGTTATACTGGTGCATCAGTGTGTTAGTGGGTGGACATGTCATATGGACTCAATCCAAACAGAAATGGACGCCTCTCTGAGAAGTGGAAGACTCATGCCCTGAGCTGCACAGTCACCCATTCAGATGAAGCAGTGCAGAGATAGCATGTGGATGAAGAAGATGTTGTAGAATATCTAACCGTGTACTGAGCTGTTCATAATCCATTCAGCAGACTGTTTATTCAGCCTCTTACATACATTCAGCAGTTCCTTTCTCTGCAGCTTTACTCTCCTGATCTCTGGATGTAAAGCGGAGCAAACATTTGCCGGGTATTGTTAGAAAAAAGTGTAAACAGATGCACACATACTCATCCTTTCACGCTTCCTGTTTGTTGATCTTATCTTGTCGTATTACAATGCCACACTGAATATGGTGAAAACATCTTTCCTGAAGCTAATAAAAGCCGTCAAACTGCGTTGTTCAGTGTTAAAAGCTCTAGAAGAGCCAAAAGATGACGCATCCTTTAAGGTTTCAGTGCACAGAAGGCCCACGGTTTTCTTCTCTGCAAAGCCGCTGAGAAGAATAATTTTATTCCTAAACGTCTGATAAAACAATATGCTAATGTGGTAATAATGTATGCCTAAAGAGAGCCGAGACAGCCACTGAATAAACACAGGGTGATGCACACATGTTGACATCGGTCAGGACGCTAAGCATCATGCTGAAAAACGCCAGGCTGAAACAAATGTAGCATTTAATCTCATAGTAAAGCCTGTAATGGAAAGTAAACAACCTGGTAAATGATGTTAAGTTGAAACGAAGCTCCAGATCAGAGAGCATGAGATTTCCTAATTAACAGGGCTAACTGGAATTAAACCGCAGCGTCACAAATAATGAAGTGTCAGGAGGGGAGACAGGGCTATCATCGAACTGGAAATAAAAGCTTCAAGTCACAATCAGGCTGGACTCTTGCCTGACATTCAAACCCTGAAACTTGAATGTCACAGTGTCCGCGCAGGCCTGAGGGGGAAGTAAGAGGGAGTTAATCTGTCTCTTCTCTGTTTGCATAGTGGAGAGGACTAAACCTGCTGAGGACTTCATCACTCTTTCATTCTTGCAGCTCATTTCTGATGAGACTTTCTGAATCCATCTCTGTGCACCAGTTTTAACATTTCAGACAATAGATGGAATATTTTAGTTTGTTTTTGGGAAATAAAACCACATCTTACAAACAGAATAAAAATACAAAAAATAAGCAGTTGTTACTCCACCTTAGAAACACTTTAATAATAATAATAATAATAATAATAATAATAATAATAATAATAATAATAATAATAATAATAATAATAATATATTTAACATTAGACCGACTGATAGCAGGAGCTGATGCATCTGATGCATTTCACAGAAACTGTCACCACAAAGTGAAATATTTCAGTTTGTGCAGAAAAGGAACATTTTCACTCACTGTGAGCAAATATTAGAGTTTTTATTTCTAAGAGGGCAGAGCTATGCTGAAGATGAGCTCATTTCTACCTCTGTTTTCTGCTCACAATGTTGATGTTGGAGTTTCCTGTTAAATTAGAGTGCACTGAAACACATCAGGAGCTTTTATTCATGTTTCTCGAACACAGCTGCTATCCTGCCAGAAGGTCAGGTCATCTCGCTGAGAATCAAAACTGAAGCAGCAGCTCTTTGATTCACCTCTTTTCTTCAGTGATGATGTTTTTTGGCGATTTCCTCTGTTCAAATTCTGCAGAAAAAGTTTAAACTCTGCAGAAAAACACAGCGCTGTTTCACTGAGCCTCGTCCTCCTGCCTATTTTTATTTGCCTCTAACAATCTGGATTGCTGAATATTCTTCTCTTACCTTACATTATTTCATGCATCATAAAGCACATGTCACACCAGCAGCAGCAGCAGCAGCAGCAACTCTAGCCATGTTAGCAGCATCATGGCGGTGGTGGTTATGGTGGATGCGGTTGGCTGTGCAGTGAGCCCTCGGCCTCATTAGTCCTATGAGTGGACGGCCTTGTTAGCCCTAACAAGTAGCCAGCTGACAGCTACATTCAGCCCCTAACACACACGCGTGCGCACACACACACACAGGAGAGGTGACAGCTTAAACTGCTGCGGCAGAGCGTTACGATATATGAGCAGTGCCCGCGCTCTCTTAACCAGATTAGTTCTTTTTACATTAACTGAGGAAAAATAGGGCAGATGTCCATGTGACTGGTTGTAAATTTGATAATGACTGCCATATTAACCCCCCCCACACACACACACACGCCCAACCCTCCCACCCTGCACAGCAAGTCCAGGCTGGGACCTGGCTGGAGACGGGACCCTCACCCAGGGCGTGTGTGTGTGTGTGTGTGTGTGTGTGTGTGTGTGTGTGTGCGCGTTGTATAAAGGAACCTAATTGTGTTTGGTGGCGGCTGGTTGGAGGAGAAAAATGAAGAGTAAGCTAATGTGGGAAAAGGGAGAAACTGATGAGTGAGACCTGAGGACTGGATGCTGCTTAGACTGAGATCCTTGAACCCCCTTCAAAAAACATACAGAAAAAACATACATTTTTAACACGACTATCTGCACATGAGGTTCACACACACACACACACCAGGGTTGCAACAACGCTCCTCGGCAGCTCTTTAAATGTGAGTTTCTTTGTTTTAGATGGGAGTCTGAGGGCCTTGGGTAAATGACATGATTTGAAGGTGTAACCTGTCAGTTTTTTTACTTGTCTGACATTTTTGCCCAAAAAAACAAACAAAGCACATGCACGCGCACACAACACAAAAACAGAAGAAAAACAGAGGTTTGGGAAAATACAATAAAAAAGATGTTCATGCAGCCAGAACAGATCAGAATATTTTCTTTTCAGCCTGATTATTAACAAGGATTTAAGCTCATTAAATGTGGACAGAAATGTCAGAGGAGATTATTTTCTCTGCAGATCGTGTTTTTGCCCATGACGATAATAAAAACAGAAATAAATCAAAACAAGCTGCTTGCTGCAGATTTATAGTCATTTATCTGTTGAAGACTCAAAGTCTGATCTGGTCTCTCCAGGTCTGGATGAGCCTGTTTTTTCTGGTCTCCTAATCCACTCTGACATGCTCAGGATCTTTACATCAGCCAGAACTGTTCTTGCTGTTTTTCTCCTGTTGTGGTGCCTTCGCTGTTTTCCTCCTCCGTGTTTGTATCCCTCCCCCTGCCTCTCTCCCTCCTTTCTGGACGCCGGTCTCCCCTCTTTCTGTCTGTTAGCTGATCCCTCTTGTTGTATTTGGGTGGTCTGGGCTGGTACCTGCACCCCCCTGCTCTCCTCCCTCTTTCCTCCCTTATCCTCCCTCTGATTCGATGTGAACTGATGTCCTGCCGGTGCCTTTTTTCCCAGAACCCCTCAGACTGGTCGGAGCGTGGCGGAGTCACCGCGTGCCGAGCCGTTTCTTCATCACCTATTAAAATCAAAGGCGAGGAGCACTGCTAGTGCGGGCTTTAATTAAATTACATTATTGTTAACGTCAGCTTTAGCGAGGCGGCAGTGTGGTGTGCTCTCTGCCCTCCTCCTTCTCCTCCTCCTCCTCCTCCTGCTGCTAGCTCACCTCCTGACAGACATATAGAGGGAGAGGAGGAGAATCACACATCCGTGCAGTAATGTATTCTAATGCTGCGTTCTCTGAATGGGAGCATGCAGCAGGGAGTAATGTTATGGAGGGAATATGTTCACAGTGAATATTTAATCAGCTGGCCTGGAGTTGGTATACATGGATGTGACGGTGTGATGCTGCAGGCTAATATGCAGTGAAGGGCCCTCACATGTAATCTGATCCTCTGTAAAATGTTTGCGTCTGATAACAGACGTACGTCATGAATAAACATGTAAACATGTGCCACCAAACCTCAGTTTATTATTCTCAAAGTCAGCAAGCAACATGACAGCTTTCTACCTCTGAATTAACCCTGTGTGCAGCTTTTCTGATTATTCTGTTTGTTGGAGCCGCTCTGATGTAATTAGTCCCTTCTCTTTCACTTACAGTTCACTCTAAGTAAAGGCTATACAAAAGGTTATAATTGCTGTTATTTTGAGACTATTTTAGTTAAAAATCAAGTTGAAACCCTCCGACTGTCTCTGCTCTCAGACACTCTCCTTTACTGTGAACAGAGCTGTGAGCTGTCGGTAATGTGCTTCCATTCATCACTTTGCAGGCCTCAGTGTTTCCTCCAAACACACACACCTCCTCCTTCTCTTTGTATTCCTCTTTCTCAGTCCTGTTGCTCCATAAGAACCCACAGTACATTTCCAGAGTGAATCAGGGTCACATGACTCACAAATGTTTTTAAAGTTGATCTTCAGAAGTGAGAATCTTGTTTTTAATTAATCTTGATTTTTATTTGAGCTGTAACTGGTACAAATACATGTCAATCTTTATCTGACTGCTGTTATAAATTCTGTCTGTGTAGGATCCCATCCATCCAGGTCATAGTTATCCGAGGCCTCCTTTAAAAAGCGCAAGTGAGCTTATTTAAGGTTCTTGAAGACATTTGGTCTCAATACAGAATTCTGTTTTTTTTTTTTTTTCAATAATTCTGTTTTTTTTTTAATTAGAATTCCAACATTAAGTAAGAATTATGATTTTGTAATCTGAAATAAAATTTAAAAAAGAAGTTTTAGATCAAAGCCAATATCTACCTCCAATTTTGATTTCAGTATTCTGACTTTGATTTCAGTATTCTAGCTTTGATTTCAGTATTCTAAATTTGATCTCAGTATTCTGATGTAAATCTAGGTATTCCAACTAGTATTCTGACTTTTACCAACTAGCTTAGTTTCAGCTTAAACTTTAAAAGGATTTTTAAAGTCTTTCTGTTGCACGTACGCATGTGACTTTTGAACAGTAACAACGGCTGTGGTGTTTGCTCTTGTTTCCTATCTCTCCTCTTTGCCTTCTTAGAAGCCAAAGTTTGGCCTCCAGAAACAAACTTTCAGACATGTTTCTGGTCATATTTTACAGCAGCTGCAGACTGGTTCTAACCAGAATAATTCTTGAAGTAAGCAAGCAAAACTTATCAGGGAAAACTGACTCTCCTCTAATATTCATTTTATTTATTTTATTGTAGTATTTAATTTAATTTAATTTAATTTGATTTGATTTCATAGCGATTTAATTGTACTTTGCTCTATTTGCTTTAATTGTAATTTATTTTAGAGTTATAGTTAAAATAAGGAACATAACTGTTAAAATAAGTTATATTCCATCTTTCTCCCAAAGCTTCATCAAAAGGAATCATGTTTTAAGATTCAGTAACAAACTCAAGTTGCTTAATTCAAGAAAAGCATCTAGAAAAAAGAGTTGCTCTGATTTCAAGCATTTGATGACCAATGTTTGTGAAACTAGCACAGGGAACACAAAACAGGAAACAGGCAAACTCAGTCACCTAATACATAATACACAACACACACTTATTAAGATATATTCTAAAAATGAGGACAGGCCTTAGGTTTTAAGGTTTAATTTTAAGATTAAGTAAACCTTGTTTCAAGATAAGCCTGCTTGGATTGAGACAGAGTTTAGTCATTCTTCGCTAATACTTGGTATTTTTTCTCTAAATTTCCATATTTTGGTTAAGGTCCCACTCTGATGTTTTTTTTTTTTTTTCTTACGACTTAAAGTGTTATCAGTGGTCTTTAAAGTGCGGTTATGAAGTTTTTAGCCAGAATCACATTACCTGTGTTATTTTCAAGGGCTTTCCTTCTGTAGAGCTCCAGTAGATCATTAGCAATTCACTTCTGAGTTGTGGGAGGAGACAGCGCTGCTCTGCACACTTCTCCTCAAGTTAGCTTGCAGCCTAACATTGCTAGTGTAGTCGAGAAAAACAGGTGACATAGGAGCTATTCGGGCTCTCAAACAATAATGTCCTTAGGGGCATGATGAAAGTTAATATCATAATTAGCTTTCTTACGAGCATTTAAATCCACTAATGCAGACGCTTGTTCCGCAATCTTCCTCTCTATTTCTCCGAGTATGGCCTGCACAGTGGGGCTCCAGGGGCGGAGCTTGGATTTGCTACGTACGAAATATGACTGTATCTGAACCTGCCATTTGGGTCTGCCAGAGATTTACAGCAAACTGAATGCAGAAATACTCAGAAATTGCAATTTCACACTTTTTTTCTCATGATATGTCCTCTAGTATCAGAAAAATGCCATATAAACATAAACACAACAAGAAAAACGTGATTTTCATCAGAGTGGGTCTTTAACTAATCTTCAGCTTAATTTGTTAAAAGTAAGAAAACAAAATATGTAATTGCTTATATTTAGTATATATCATTTATTTTGAGGCTGTAAAAAATTCACTTTTAAAGTAATCTCATCTCAAAACCAGGGCAGAATGGTGGAGAAGCAGGAAGTGCATGTGCCTCACGGTAAGGTTATAGGTTCGATTTCTGGGTCGGGCAGGGCTGTATGAAGTTTGCATGTTCTTCCTGTGCATGCGTGGTTCTCTCCGGGCACTCCAGCTTCCCCCCACAGACCAAAAACATCCTCATTAGGTTAATTGGTAACTCTTACTTGTCCTTAAGTATGAGTGCGAGTGTGACTGGTTGTTTGTCTCTCTATGTGGCCCTGCATTTGACTGGCATTCAGGATGTTCCCTGCCTCTTGCCCAATGACAGCTTGAATAGGCTCCAGCCCATCTGCGACCCCAAAGGGGATAAGCGATACAGAAAGTAGATGAATGGATGGATCTTAAAACCAGCATTTTCTCCTTACTTTATACTTTTATTTAATACATTTTACTTATTTTAGGGCTGTAAAGGTTAAATTTCAAGTCATCTAATCTTAAAACCAGCATTTTATACTTATTTTATGCTTATGTTTAGTATATTTAACTTATTTTGGGGGGCTGTAAGAGTTAAATTTTAAGTATTCTTGAAACCAGCATTTTATACTTAGTTATGCTTATGTTTGGTAATTTAACTTATTTTTAGGGGCTGTAAGAGGTAAATTTTAAGTAATCTGATCTTAAAACAAGCATTTTTGGCTTACTTGAAGCCTTCCAAATACATATGTAGACATGCTTATTTCTATATTTGACAATCTTAATTTAAGAAATCTTGTCAAGGGAAATTATCTTGCTGCATGGACAGATAATTTCACCTGTTTTTAGTACCTTTTCCCTCAGTTTTAGTGTTTTTATCTTGTTTTTAGACCCCTCTTTTTTTGCAGTGTGTCTGTTGTGATTGACCTCTTCTGAGCGTTTAAGTAAATTAGTGGCATCCCCATCAGGAGGGTCAGTCTTGTCCAATTAGGGGCTGCACCTCGTTAACTCCTTCAGCGTTATCCCTTAAACATGGTCTTAATTATGCTAATGAGCTTTAACATGCCAATGAGTCAGGCTATTTTATCCTAAACAGTGATCTGGAGACTTCAAATCTGCAACTGACACAGATTCTCTCTTAGATGCTGGTGTTCAGAGACTCCAGCTGAGGGGTCTTTATAACCCTGAGTTTATAGATGTGTGTAGTCCTGCTCTGAAAGACAGGCCCCAGTAACAAGCAGATCTGTGGAGGAACTAAAAGCCACCTCAAACTGCAGAGAACACCCTGATCCGTCCTCTTGCTTTACTGACTGGTTTCGTGTTCTGGCTGGAGCTGCTGTGATTTTAGGGAAATAAGTCATCTGAAGAAACTCCAGGAGATGATTTCAGGATGAACAGCTCCTGTCTGTAGTTCGGAGACATCTGCAGTTCTGTGGTCAGATGGTAAAAAGGGATGTGACTCAGTGAAATCAGCTAGTCTCTGTCCGTCTGCTGATTTGAACAGATGTCTCTTTTAAGGATGCCGCTGAAAGCTTTTTTTTCACTGGTTCTCACCATTGCAGGCTGAGTGTCACATGAATAAATCACACATATTCATTATTGATTGAGAGGAAACATGCAGATGTGACAATTGCTAGCAAAACGTCTCAGCGGCTAATTGAAAGAAGTCTTGAAGGACTTCGAGATGTGGATGTCTTTTTCTGCTTCACCTCTTGAGTGTGCAGGAGATATTCACACCGTTGGTGAATTTTCTTTGTCATCTCCTGTTACAGAATTGATTACTTACGCTGCTGAAGGCTCCGGCTGCATAAACTGCAGAATTCAACATTCACTAGTTTCTACCTTTTTACCGCTTATTTAAATTTGATAACCAAAGGGATATCTTCATTGTTTTGCAGTAATCAGATTTCTGTCTCCTGATTCTTCATACTGCACTGCATGCTGTGAAGCTATCGTATCATTTTGTCAGCTTTGTGCAGAAAAAAAAGCATGCAAGGGGAGTCAGATCTAGAGAACAGAGGTGTAAAGGACAAACAGGTAAGCCGTTTCATTATACTGGATTCTGTTCAAATCTTAACAGACCTTTAACAGCCCTTGAACACACCTTGATCAGTCCTTGAACACAATTTTAACAGACATTGAACTGACCTTGTGTTTTTTACTGCTGGAAACATGTAGCTCAGAACAGCATGCAGGTGAAATTCAGATAATCTTGATCAGGTTAAATTAAGATAATCTTTTTCCGATTAAATTCAGCTAATCTTGTTTAGGCTAACTTCAGTTTATCTTGTTTAGGTTAGATTCAGCTAATGTTGTTTAGGTTAACTTCAGTTTATCTTGTTTATGTTGAATTCACTAAATCTTTTTCAGGTAAAATTCATCTTATCTGGTTTAGGTTAAATTAAGCTAATGTTGTTCAGGTTGAATACAGCTATCTTGGTCAAGTTATTTGAACCTAATCTTGTTCAGGTTATATTCATCTAAGCTTGTTTAGGTAAACTTTAGTTTGTCTAGTTCAGGTTAACTTCAGCTATTGTTGTTCAGGTTAAACTCAATTTATCTTCTTGGGTTAAATTCACCAAATCCTGTTCAGGTTAAATTTAGCTTATCTTGTTTAGGTTAACATCAGTTTATCTTTTTGGGGTTAAATTCACCTAATTTTGTATAGATTAAATACAGCAAATCTTGTTCAGATTAAATTCAGCTAGTCTTGCTCAGGTTATATTATTTAGGTTAAATTCATCTTATCTTGTTTAGTTTACGTTCAAGTTAAATCTTGTTTAGGTTGAATACAGCCAATATTTTTCAGGAGAAATTCAGTTTATTTTGATCAGGTTAAATTCAGCTAATGTTGTTCAGGTTAACTTCAGCAAATCTTGTTTAGGTTAACATCAGTTTATCTTGTTCCGGTTAAATTCAGCTAATCTTGTTTAGGTAAAATTCATCTTATCTTTTTCAGGTGTAATTTACCTTACCTTTTTCAGGTAAAATTCATCCTATCTTGTTCATATTAAATTTAGCTTAACTTGTTCAGATTTTGTTCAGTTTATCTTTATCAGGTTGAATTCAGCTTATCTTGTTTAGACTAAATTTTGCTTATTTTGGTTATGTTAAATTCAACTTAACTTGTTCATTTTAAATTCATCTTACCTTGTTCAGTTTAAATTAAGCTACTGTTTTTCAGGTTAAATTCAGCTAATCTTGTTTAGGCGAAATTCACCTCATCTTGTTCAGTTTAAATACAGCATATCTTGTTCAGGTAAATTCGGTTAATCTTGCTCATTCTTTATAGCTTTTGAGTTCCTGTGTTTTTTTAAACGGAACAGCTCAATCTTCTTTCTAGGGGTGAAAGCGTCTCCTCAGCCTTACCTCTCTTTGTGTCATCGAGGCGCATGTTTTTAGTAATTTTTCATTAAAAAACTATGACAACAGAACTCAACCTGATCCTTTAGTTTCTACCTTTTTCTTCGGATCCTGTTAAAACTGAAGCACTCCTGTAAAAAAATGCAGTGATTCTAGTTAGGTGCTTTGTAAACTGGGATGCTGTGATGCATTTCATGGAGGGCTGGGAGCACAGTTTGTTCAACAGTTTCTACAGATTTTGCAGGATCTGGTGAAGAAAGTGGTACAATGACAGATGAATCTTCCTCCTGGAGTTTAGAGGGTTGTTGTGTTGGTTTAGACCAAACTTTACAACCGTGAAACTCTTTCTGTGCCTCATTTTCACTTTAGATCCTAAAGTTAATGATCTGAACTTTGGGAAACATCTTGACGTAATTAAGTGGTTCCTACATTAGTGCATAACTGATCACTTTGACTTATAACACAGCCATAATAAAGAGTTAACTGCTGAGCAGCAGACAGCAGGAGCATCAGATGAGCTGTGTGAGAAAGTGAACCTAACAGGCAAAGTGCAGGGCAGCAACTCCCACGTACTCGATCTGTCTAATTGACTCAAATATTCTGCCCTGAAATCCCAAAAGGCCTCCGGAGCAGGGCTGCACACGCACCCACACACACACTCGAAGGCTCCTGTCCTCCACAGCCGTGGCTTCATTAGCAGTGGTTTGCATCATCCCCTGTGAAAACGTCACATGTCATCAGTGGCTCCATTCGTTCTCACTCTGCGCGCACAGACAGAGTAACCTTCAGAGACCTGCTGCCCGCAGTTTTACGTCTTCATTAGGACTCTGTCAGAGACCCGCCGCACCCTGCGCCCCGATCTGAATGGACAGAGAGCGATGGAGACGCAGAGGGAGTGTGAAAGACGAGAAGGAGGGCAAAGTCAGACAGCGAGAAGGCAGACAAAGGAGGCGAGGGAGGAGAGAAAGGGGAGGGGTTGAGGAAGTTTAGACTGGGTGCAATAAAAGTAAGCAGGAGAAAGAAAATAGATGAAGATAGGAGAGTGAACAAAGTTTGAACAAAATCTCAGATTGCAGGAGAGGAGAGTGGCACCTTACACCTTTTGAGTTTAGAGCCAGACCTGAGTCTATAGCAGAGATGAAACACTACGAATAAACTGCTATAAATTGGATGTAGATCAGACTGAGGTCTGAGTTTCAGCCCACGCTGATGCTGCAGATCAGCTCTTATATAGAATTCATACAAAACTCATCAATTAATTTTCATTCATTTGGTTCTGAAATAAAGACACTGATAAGAATCCCTCCACACTCTTATAATGGGCCTAAAAAAGAAATAATGGTAATATTCAGTAATTAAATATAAATTTAATAACTCTGATCCATGTGTAAAACTCAGACTCTAATTTCTATTGAAATCCTGATCCAAATTTCCACAGACTGAAAAAAATCCAAGATTTACCAGGTGAAGTAAAATCTTCAATTTAAGACACTTTTACACGGAGAAACAAATAAATCTGAAATCACAGCAGAAATCCAGGCAACCGTCTTTCAGAGCAAATACAGTAATTTACAGTCACAGCATGTTTGGATTTAATTATAGTTCAATCTAAAATTAAGAGAAATCTAAATCTAAAATTAAGAGAAATTTTAGTTTGAATAAAAAAACTTAAATTTCAACCCCCAGTCCTCAGAGATTAAGTGTTTTAACAGGTCAGTACAAAAGATCAGGACTTATTCAGTGCTTCAGAGTCTGTATTAAGCCACTAGTTTAGTACAACCTCTAGCTGCTGGACTCTAAAGGATAGATTGGCGGAAGAAAAGGAAGAAGAGGAGGAAGAAGAAGAAGAAATAAAGGATAAAAAAGAAAGAGAAAAAGAGGAAATGAAAGATAGAGAGGAAGAAGAAGAAATAAAGGACAGAGAAGAGGAAGAGTGGAAGTCGTGTTGGCGACTGGCTCGGTGAGAGGCAGTGAAAATCCGGCTGGGCGGCCAACACACAGGAGACGATTGTGTCCTCAGTTTGGGGACAGCTGACGGGTTAACACTATTAAGACTGCGGAGAACACACAGGACTGAACGTGCATCTGTGCTCTGAACACACACACACACACACTCACACACACACGCACTGACTGACTGACTGACTGACAGACGGATGTATGAAGCCCAGAGACGGCTGAGAACACAGATTCTCTCTGTGTGATTTTTTGTTTCTTTCTGCAGAGCTCGAACAAACAGATTTAAGAAGAATTCAGATTCATGATTTCACTGTTTAGACTCGGCTAGTTCAAGCAGTGCCCCTGGCAATGGACCTGGCTGTATCTCTGTGCTTCAGGACATCAAAATAGAGACTTGTCCAGAAATTGAGCATGTAAAAGTTTGTCAAGTTTATCTGCAGCTGCTCATTTTCTTTGGTCCTGGTAGTCCAAACAGAAGTGTTGCTCAGATACATCTCCCCCTTACTCTTCTTTATCACATTCTCATCTTTACATGACCAAATATTCAGCAGAGAATAAACAACTCTACTGCAGGAAGGCTGCCGCCCGGGCTCTCTGTTGTAAAAAGAATCAAGATTTTATTTTCTATCTTTTCTGTGTGGCTCTTGCAAACCACTGCAGTAGAGAGACTACTGCTCAACTGGCTGATGAAGAAGTTTAAAAATGAGGATTTCAGCGCTTACTCATCAGGAGCATACTGCAAATGACTGTGAAGGATTCATTTGAAGCTGCCTGTTGATTGTTTGAATCACGTTTGCTCTGATGAAGGCCTGACGACCTGAAAGTTTGACTCAGAGAGCATTTCCTCCTTTCAAACATCCATAAAAAGCAGAGTGAGTGTGCAGAGATTTCCTCTAAGTTTAGATTCTGATCAGTGAGTTGTGTTTCTGAGATGTTAAGGCAGGTTTCTGACATTTTAACTGGGGTGCAGACTGATGTGGGACATTTCCGAATATGACGAAATACACTTGGGCCTATCCCCAAAACATACAAACTTCACCAGATTCAACAGGTCACAGTTTTTTTTTTCTTCTTCTTCGTTTCAAAAGCAATTTAACGGTCTGAGAGTTTCAGTTTTCTTTCTTTGACACACTTTAATTTTTAATTTTAAAGATTGGGCCATTGAGGGGACCTGGCCTTCTGGATTTCTTCTGGTGTATGATTTAACTGCTGAAGTGCACCACCTTTCCTATTCTGTTCTGCTTAGAGGAAGTTGATCTGCTGATGAAGGAGCATAAAGATATAGGATTAAACTTTCAAGCCTCTGCTCGGACAGGGCTTACTTTCTTTTGCTTATTTTTGCTGAAATTTTGCATCTGGCCTACCTAAAATGAGGTTTATGGATGTAAAGTTCAAAAGACTTGATTGCATTTCAATATAAAAAAAAAAAAAAACAGGATTATGTTAACTGCTGATAAATCACAGCAGCCTCTGACCACTTTACCTGCTTCACACCACAGGATGATGTAAGTTTAACTTTAAGCTTCAAAAGTAACTTGATGACTGTTTTTAACAGCAGCAATAACCTGATTTAAAAGGGAGAGTGTCTCTTTTCTTTTAAACTTCAAAGCAGATTTTTTTTGTAGATCGTTGAATGTGCTGAGCAGGTTTAAGGGTTCAGACTAAACTGTCAGGCAGTCAAATGTTGTGGAAATATTCATGATCAGGTTATCAATCATTTACCTGTGAGCAAAGATTTCTGCTTTAAAAACATTTTGTAGTCTACACACACGATGATCAGATAAATAATCTAAAAATAATCAGATAAATATTCAGATAAATAAACTGAAATTAATCTGATATTAATATGATAAATAAACTAAAAATGATATGACTCATAATCTAAAAATAATCTAAAAATTAACTGAAATAAATTTATAAAAAAGCTGTGAAATAAACCAAAAATAATGTAATAAATATTGTTAAATGATAAACTAAGTGATCTGATAAATAAACTGAAAATTATCTAATAAATGAACTAAAAATAATCTGATGAATTATCTGAAAACAATCAGATAAATAATCTGAAAAAAGGAACTGAAAATAAAATGATAAATAATCTGAAAATGATCTAAAAATTGACTGGTAAATAATCTGATAAATAAACTGATAAATAATTTGATGAATAATATGAAAATATTTGGAAAATTAACAGAAAATAATCTGATAAATAAAGTGATGAATAATCTGACAAACAAATTGATAAATAATATAAAAAATAATATAAATAAACTGATAAATAACCAGATAAATTAATCGATGGATAATCTGAAAATATCCTGAAAATTATCTGATAAAAATTAGAAAAAAAATGGTGGATGAATTGAAAAATTAACTGAAAAATAAACTGTCAAGTAATCAGATATATAAACTGATAGATCATCTGATAAATAATCTGAAAATAAACTATAAATAAATGTATAAATAATCTGATAAATAAACTGATAGATATACAAATAATCATCTTTATAATCTGATTTGTCTGAAATAAGAGAGTATTCACATGGCAATGGATGTCAGTTTTTACATCCTCAGAGAAGCCCTGTATGTCTACCTGATAATGAAACCTGATTTAACCCTGTCACCCGGCTTCACTCTGTTGCACTCTGCTGTTGCACTCCCTCACCTCGTTTGGACTGTGGTTTCCTGGCATGTAACGCTGGCTCGACTCTCTGCAGTGACTGTGCAAACCCTCCTGGTTTAACAACTTTTCCATGCTGAACATCTAAAATCTAAAGCGAATCTTCTGATCACAACGGGAAGCAGAAATTGAAGTGGAAAGCAAATGAATAAAACATGACAGCTGGCGTTTTCTTTCAACGCGAATTATCTTGACTGGCTGTGCTGAGATAATGGAGTGGAGGACGAGACATTGCTGATTAGCATGCATGTTAAAACTAACAGTACAGCTTGACTCCACAAAAGCCTGGGAACTTGCAACCGAATGCTGCCGGCCAGTTACAGTAACATCATATGTGGTGAAATCTGCAGGATGCACATAGTAATGAGCTCCAGCTACGAACATGGCCATGAGGAGCCGCAGAGATATTACCCTTTTAAATGCTGGGCTGCAGACTTTGCAGAATAATGGCTCTTAATACTGAGTGTTTGAGATGGGGCTGTGGCCCACAAGCAGTGCCTGAACTCACCAACATATGTAAATAAATTAGCATAATGTGGATCACACTCAGACTCATGCTTATGGCAGCAGCAGACGTCTGCATGAGCGTGGAGTGCGTTCAAAAGCTGCTTAACGAAACGGAGAGATCAGAGTTTCTGCAGGACAAAGAAAACAGTAGCCACACCAACTTCCCTGCACATGTTTATCATGTCATTTACATGTTTACTTCAATACAGACTTTTGTCTGTTTTCTAAGTCACTTAATCTGTTCATTACCTTCAATAATAAAAGATAGATATGATCTTAACGACTCAGATATTTTAGTTTTTTAGTAACATCATGCAGAGGTCATTCTAATGGCTGCATTGTAAATCAGGGTCCTTTGTTGGTATTTTTTGCAATACTGGTAATGACTTATTATTTCTTGGACTTTCTTTGAATGATTTACGTCCTTAAAATCTGTGAAACCCTTAAGCATTTGAAGCTTTTGTGAGTTTTTCCTCTAGCTGTTTTTATTTCATAGCTCTGCGAACAGACTGATGCAAAGACGGTCTGCACCTGTTTCCTGTTGCCTTGCAAGTTTTTATCATGCTTCAGACTAATGCAATAAAATATCAAGGTGTCATTTAAAACATGCAAAATAGTAACAGGAAAGTCAAGCTATGTGTGCAACCAGACTGTCTTAGTTGAGATGGATTTAAACTGGATGATGTGTCGAATCATCTCAACCTCCTTTTGTGGCATTTGTATTTACAGCCTGACTTTCAGTAAATATACAGCACTGTACATGTAAATGTACAGGGAGACCACAAACTTCAGTTTTTGTCGCAGATCCTGCAGATTTGTGCCAGACTCACGGTTTTTACAATGAGATGATGTGATGTGATCACAGCTGAAAAACCTCATCTGCTGTTTTCTAAATTATTTTTAAAGACAGAAAAAGAAATTGGGATGTGTTAGAAAAGTGTGAACAGAGTAATTCATTCCAAATTGAAGAGTCAAGCTGAGAAAAGGCTCCCTCACCTGAGAAATCCCATGATGCTCTGTGCTGACACCCATCTGGAAAAACTCCCAGAGGGATTATTGACAGACAGACAGACAGGCAGGAGTCCTCTTTACCTCCATTCATCCTGCATCACTGCGGCTGTGAGTTCAACATGAAGCTATAAGAGAAGTTCGACCTGCTCAGATTTCAACAGCATGTGAACAGGCAGCTTTTGTTGTTTTTCACAGGCAGTGTACATTTACACAGAAATTTGGATCATTTTCTCTCCTCCTTTCTGATCCTTTTTTCCTCCATTTCAATCCAAGACAATCTTTCAAAGCAACCCAAGAATGTTCTTTTTCCTGTTTGTCCTGTAGAAGAACCTCAGAAGATTTTTAAATAAAGAGTAGATTAAAAAAAGATACACACTGTAAAGAAGTAAAATCTGCAGAGAAGAGAAAAGACAGGAAATCTGGAAAGTTCAAAAACAGAACAGAATTTCATCCTTCAGACTGCTTGTGTGTGTTTTTGATTCTCTGCCTTATCTTTTCTTCATAGTTTTTTTCTGACTGTTAAAAAGACACTGCTGTGTGTTTGTTCTTGCACTAAACTCAGTTTTCAAGTTCAAATTTTCATTCAGATGAGTTATCAGGAAACAGCCTCTTCTTTTCCACCTCTCTTCAGGATACTTTATGTTGGGGTTTGTCATGCTGTGATTTTGCAGAAGCGTAAACTTTAAATCATCTTTTGTCTATAAAACTGGATTTTTCTACAATGAGCACCATCTCCAACTACAGCTCTGGTTCAAAACAAAATGGAGGATAAACATAGAATAGAATAGAATAGAACAGAATAGAATAGAATAGAATATTCCTTTATTGATCTCCCATGGGGGAATTTTTTTTTGTCACAGCAGCATCACAGACAAAGTGCAAAAATGCAGTTATAAAAATAAAGATCGTAAACATGAGCACGTGGACTCAAACATGCAGAACACTTCTCCACCAGCCACCTCTAAGCTGCTAAATCTTGCCCTCAAACACGCCGTAGTTCATCGGTGTGAGCGTCTGAGCCCAGCCATGAACTCCTGCCTAAATGTGACACGCAGGCTCTGGCCATATGCAGACAGTTCACCCCTCCCTGCTAACTCACACACACTGGTGTTTTGAGCACAGAGTCATGAGTGTTGGCGGCGGAGCTCTGACTCACATAACCCCTCGCTTCAGATTGGGCCAAGCTCCCTGAGCCGGGCCGAGCCAGGCCGTCGCTGCTCGGGGCTCTAATTGATTTGAAGGACCCGAGCTGTGTTCACACCCCATCCCCAAACAAACAGCACGCCCAGCCCGGCTCCATTCAGACAAAGACACCATCCCGCCCTCCTCCAGCAGAGATGCTCAGAGAGAACAGAGCCGGCCTGCCAAAGCTGCTAATCTCAGACCGAGCCCCAGGGAGCGATTCAGACAATTCTTCAAATGAAAGCTCCACCCCCTTTCTGCTGCAACCTCCAGGTCAAACACCACCAGCACAAGTGCGCAGTCAGTTTATTCATAGTCATGAGAACAGTGAGACTGTGGCGCCTTGAACAAGAGCCGCAGAGAGACGCTGCAGATGTCTGTGAAACACTTTGACGGCCTCCACTCAAATCAGGTTCTATCCGGTTCTGGAACTAAACTCTGATATCTCACAGAGTCTTCAGCAGGTCAGGAGAAAACTGAAGGCTTGATTAGAAATAAAAGAATCAAGGCCGACTGTAGAAACATGGCTGGAAACACATCTGCAGTTCAAACACAGACAAACACACATCAAGATCAAATTTGATCAGAACTTAAAGCAGGCATTTGATAGTCTTTTGAATTCACTATATTTGATTGATGTATTTTACTTTGCACCTGCATGAGTCTAAAATCAACTATTGATCCCACCTTTATGCCTGAATTCCCTCAGTCTGCCTGTGTTTTAACAACACAGGAGTCCCAGTGATAACATGCTAAATGGGTCATTTCTTAAAAATGTGTGTATTCCAGTTCAAATGCATGTGCCTAAATGCTGAAATTTGCACGGTGCATGTTTGTTATGATGCAAAACCTTTTGTTCCTGTGATAAAAATCATCTTGAACTGTCTCAAAACCCTCCTGCATGAATTTGAACCATATTTAAAGTGAATAAATAATGAGGAATTAGAATAAATGATGTGGATAGTAGTCAAAAAGGATCCCTGCAGAGATAAGGAGATGATGAAGCTTCCTAAAAGGCATCCTCCTGCAGACGTGGAGGATCAAATCTGTCACCTCCTGTGTTCCCGCAGAGCAGAGAGGATTTTCAGACTTAAAAAGAGAAGATGCAAAAATAATTTGGTGAAAGCGCTTGGCATGAGGATGCAGACATACAGACCTACCACCTGTGTGTCTTTACTGTTCATGAGCACTTTGAAGAGCGTTTAAGGAGCTCAGAGGAAAGCGGATTGTTCACAGCGGGTATTTACCTGCCGTATTCGATTTGTTGATTTCTTTTAATGAAAACTAAAGAGCTCCGGTCTGTTCCTTTGTTTTCTGTTCCTTCTCTCTGTCACTCTGTGTGGTTTTTCCTGTTTAGTGAGACTTTCGGGAAATCTGTGAGGAAGCTGACGGCATGATGAAAAACACACTGAGAAGGAAAAGTTTTTTAAGTCAGGATTTTCTGTGCTGTCAATAGGGATGTGTGGTTGAAGAAACAGAGATCAAGCCTTATTCAGCTCCTCTGACCATCTGTACTGATTGCACTCATGCTGCAGAGCATGCTGAAGAGCAGCTACAGAGGACGCAACAGAGCCCCTGTAAAATTCTGCAGGTTGAGAGGGGAACTTAAAGCACAGCTAAGCATTACTGAATCTCAAACACGTCGGCTTTAACAGCTTCTGTCTGTTTTTGATTCAACTCCATCCTCAGAACTTTTAAAGGATTTTCTGCTTCACAGTTGTGTTTTATCCATCGACTGTATATAGAATGGAGGCTGTCTGTGTCCTCGCTGGCTGAAGCCTCCATGAGAACAGCACCCCCTGGTTACAGGGTTGCAGTATAGGTCATAAATCCTGCCTCCTCCAGCAAATTCAATGGAGCTGTGGACAAACTTTAGAAATTTATTACACAGAATATACATTTTTCTCCCCCCTGGCTACGATGTTGACATGTAGTTATTGTAAGACTGGTTTGTGCTCAAGTCCTCTTTTTTCTGAACAGCTCTGTTTTTAAAAGTTATTAGGGGGTTCATGTTTTCTATGAGTGACGCTTGATACGAAGATATGCATAGCTTACCTGGAGGATACGCTATTTGAGCCGAGCATCATCACAGCAACACTCCAGCCGGATGTGTAGAACGCTGCTGTGCAAGTGATGGTTCCAGGAAGTGGAGAAAATCCTGGAAATACTAAGAGCAATTTAACTTCAAATTCATGAAATGACAGAAGGCGGAGCCAAGTTGTCCATAGTATATATAGTCTATGGTTTTATTACCTTTTTCAAAATTGGGACACCTCAGACAAACTATCACAGCAGAGAGGAAGAACATCATCTGTGATGTCAAAGTGTGAGTCTACATCAGGAAATTATACTATTACATTAAGTCACATGGAGGGTTTTTTAGGACTCATATATACTGTATATATACTCATAAATACTGTATACACTACCGTTCGAAAGTTTGGGGTCACTTATAAATTACCTTATTTTTGAAAGAAAGCCCGATTAGGTTTGGGGTCACTCCGAAATTTCTTTATTTTGGAGAGGAGAGCACTGTTTTTTTAATGAAGATAATATTAAACTAATCAGAAATACACTCCATGCCTTGTTAAAGTGGTAAATTACTATTCTAGCCACAAACATCGATCAGTCCTGTGTTCTGATGGTACATTGTGTTTGCTAATTGAGTTAGAAGGCTAATGGATGATTAGAAAACCCTTGTGCAATTATGTTAGCACAGGTGAAAACAGTTTTGCTAGTTAGAGAAACTATAAAACTGACCTTCTTTTGAGCTAGTTGAGAATCTGGAACGTTGCATTTTTGGGTTTGATTAAACTCTCAAAATGTCCAGAAAAAGAGAACCTTCATCTGAAACTTGACAATCTATTCTTGTTCTCAGAAATTAAGGCTATTCCATGCAAGAAATTGCCAAGAAAATGAAGATTTCCTACTACTCCCTTCAGGGAACAGCACAAACAGGCTCTAACCAGAGTAAAAAGAGAAGTGGGAGGCCCCGCTGCACAAATAAGCAAGAGAACAAATACAGGGAAGGGTGACAAAGAAAAAGCCATATCTGAGACTGGCTTATAAAAGCAAAAGATTAATATGGGCAAAAGAACACAGACATTGGACAGAGGAAGATTGGAAAAAAAGTGTTATGGATGAACAAATTGAAGTTTGAGGTGTTTGGATCACACAGAAGAACATTTGTGAGACACAGAACAACTGAAAAGATGCTGGAAGAGTGCCTGATGCCATCTGACAAGCATGGTGAAGGTCATGTGATGGTCTCGGGTTGCTTTGGTGCTGGTAAAGTGGGAGATTTGTACAAGTATAGAGGGATTTTGAATAAGGAAGGCTATCGCTCCATTTTGGAAAGCCATGCCATACCCTGTGGACAGCGCTCAATTGGAGCCAGGTTCCTTGTACTACAGGACAATGACCCAAAGCACACCTCCAAATTATGCAAGGACTATTTAAGATATATATATATGTATAAATATATATTCATATATGTATGTATATATATATATATATATATATATATATATATGATATACATATATATATATATATATATATATATATATATACGTATATGTATATGTGTATATATATATATATATATATATGTATATGTATATATATATATATATATATATATATATATATATATATATATATATATATATATATATATATATTTATACATATATCATGCAGCCCTGATTTTGATTCTATGACTATTTTGAAAAAGACCATTGGCCTCTCACTATGGGGTCAAAGAGCGCCCCAATAATCCATTTTCAACAGACAGATATTTGAAATCCATAATTGTAGCGCTTTAATTATAGAAATATCTGGTTGATCCTCAATTTCATAACTCAGTGTAAATGCTACAATTTGAGGAACTGCCGACAGAAACTGGATTTTACAGAAATGTGTTTATTTCACTAAATGATTATAACGCTGTCAAACTGAAAAAACTGTAAAGACTAAAATAATCAAAAAATTTTGGCAGAAAAAAAAAAAATTCGGTGAAGATTGAAGATGTGTTTCTGTTACCTTTTTCATCGTAATACATTTGTTTATAGTCGTGTGTGTGTGTGTGTGTGTGCGTGTGTGTGTGTGTGTGTGTGTGTGTGTGTGTGTGTGTGTTTGTGTGTGTATGTTTGTGTTAAAATGTCTGTTGTGGTTCCACTCAGTGTAAGTTGCTGCTAATGTCCGCACTGCTCAGGTCACATTAACCCAGTTCTCACAGTTTGTAGTCTAAACACACACACACACTCACTCTCTCTGTCTGTCTGTCTCTTTCTCTTTTACACAGACACACGTACACGCACTGCCACACACACGTTCATGCACAGACACACACACACAGAGACACACACACTCCTCCCTGCAGGCTCCTTCCTGCTGGGATATTTGCAGCCTCTCTGCAGCTCCTCGCTGTATTTACAGCTCTTATTAACATGTAGCTTGATAAGCATATTCTCTTCTGTCGTCTTAACTTTGTGTTTTATTGCCAAGTATTTCTGCACCGCCGAGCAGGAAGTCACCACATCACAGCGGGCAGGCACTCACCTCTGTTTCCTCAGTGTTAGTTTACAGCCTCGTAAATCAGAAACTTTTCTCCTGCTGAGATTTAGAGCTACAGTTTCTGCTGTAAAATCAGATTTTAGTTTGAACATGAAGACAAATTTCACTTTGAATTATGCACCAAAACCTGTGGAGTAAATCAGCTGTTAGCTCTGCTTACCAAGTACAGAAAATTTAGGGTATTAACCACCGAGTTAGGGTAAAAAAAAAAAAAAAAGAGGTATGATTTTATTCTGACTATGCTCCTGTTTTGCACCTTTATTGCCTTTTTTTGCAGGATTAAGAGAAGCATACATTTTTACCAGTGAACAGATCCTTTTTTTATCCTCCTTTTCACCCCATAATGAGCCTGATTTTCTTCCAGATATTATTATTTCAGTCAAACTGAGTCAGACTCAGAGTTTATATCCACAGGCCTGAAAATTCTAATTATTTGAACCAGGGATGAAAAATAACTTCATGTATTTTAAAAAGAAGAAATAAGAAGTGGTTTTTTTTTTTTTGTCCTATCAAAAAGAAGACAAATAATGAAGAATGACTGAGATTGCGGATTTAATGCTGTCTGATTGTAGCAACAGTCAGAGATTAACTCTGAAACCGCAGCTGCAGATGTTCAGATGTTGGTTCAAAATTAGGGAAAGTGTTTAGAGAAAAAAGAAAATTACTGATGCACTAACCCAAACACTGAAATGATCTTTTTTTCTGCCTGATTAGAAACAATCTTCATCAACTTTTCTGTTTATTAGCCGTGATCATCGTTAGGGCCACAGGAGAGATATGAACTTTTCTGCAGAAATACAAATCTGCGTCTTTACTGAGTTTATGAACCTAGAGATATCATAGTAACAGGGTGTGCGGTCATGTTATTATTCATGTCTGAGTGACCAAAGACTCGGAGATAAAGCAGGTATTTCAGAAAGACAACATGTTTAAGATGAAAAAAAATCTCATCATTGAAATTTGATGCAGCAGAAACTAGAAAATTCCCTCTGGGAAATTTTGAAAGGGCCACTGGAGCTACTGGTGGGGCGTGTACATGATGATGAGATTCTTCAAAGATTTCAAATAATTCATACACGTAGCATTGTTATATTACAAACAAGGAGCACACCTACAACATACATTTCCTATTCAAACAGGTATTTATACAACAGAAAAAAAAAAACACACAGAGCTGTAGACCTTTCAAAAGCTCCAATATTTGCTGCTTTTTTGGCGTCTCCAAAAAAAGTACACACTTTTCTGCAGTATTAATAATACCACACCAATCCCGATCAAACCACACATTGTGATATATACTTTGGGGTACAACCCTTCGAGCTGTAGTACTAGTTGCAAATTGAAAATTATCCAGAGGACAAAAAAGAAAAAATCCACAATATAACAATAGTCCTGATCCCTATACTTTTGTATAGGGGGTCTAAAAAGAGAAACAACAAAAGTTCATACTTTTTTGAGTTTTTGTTATATTTGCATTTTTATGAGCAGCGTAGTGGCTGATGGATGCAGCCTGTCCATCACCTTTATGGTGATGTCATCATCCAGCCTGCCGGCTCATTGGTTGAGAGACAGATGATCTAACATTCAGCTGCAGAGAGGTGAAGCAGCTCATTTTTAGAGTTATTTGCTAACTACCTATGAGCAAGCTGATCACATGACCCCATCCTGCACACTGCCACTGCAAGAGATAGGAAGACACACACACACACACACACACGCCGCACGGATCAACACTCATACACTTTCCACAGGTTCACACACTCTGCAGGGACACACTCCAGCAAATGAGGCCAATCAAAGAGTTTCATCCAAACAGAGGTCTGAAAATCTGATGAGTCATGTTTAAATCTTTGTTTACTGAGCACTGAGTCATCCATGGATCTGAAACATCCTCTGAGTGTTTGAGAGCTACAAAGTTTAGACCATCAGGATACTCAACATATTTTATTTCACAGTCAAACTGTTTTTATTTTTTCTGTTTAGCAAAAAAGAAAAGCAGTGATTCATGTTAAAACTATGTGAAGATGATTTGGGAGCAGCAGACAGTAAAAACACACAGAGGCTTTTAAACTGAACCTGCTGTGTGAACTCGAAGGAAACTGGAGGAGTACAGTATGTGACAGTGAAGCAGCTTGATTACAGCTGATAAGCATTCATTTATTGAATATTTCAGCCTTGTTTTCACATCAGAAATAAGTCTAATCAAAATAACATGTTTGTGTATTTTGGTTAGTTTTAAAATTATTTACCTAAAACTTATCAAACTTCATTCAATTCAAATTGAACCTTTTAAACTTTAATAAACTAAAATAGACTTATTGCACTTAATTAAATTTGATTAAACAATTAATACTTAATTTAACTAATGAAACTTGCTAAATTGAACATAGTCAAACTTGATTGAACTTCATTTTACTTAATTTAAATCTAACTAAAGGCTGGGACATTGAGCCTTTGAAATAAAATCTCAGAAAAATCTCCTCACCAGCATTTCATAAGACTAAAAGTGCAGACTCTGTACCATGCAAAAATGTATAAACTGTAAATTTTTAGTTCATTGGTGATAAAATAAAAACTGAACTTGGACCAAAATGTTGCTCCTTCTCTTAGTGCTTGTTTGACCGTGTGCAGCAGTTTTGGGTTTTTTGATCGCTGCAAAAACTCTGAAAAATCTACACAGCTGTATTTGAGGGCTAGGTGCAGGCTCTGTAACAGGTAAAAATCACATTTGTACATTTCCACCTTGGACCCTCGTCAAAGGAAATAAATGTCATCACTAATGCAGATCTCTGACGAAATTGTTGTTCATTGAATGATTTGAACAAAGATGGACAGTGTGCAGATTGAAAAAACTCAAATATTTGAGGTGATCTGCATGTTTGTGTCACAAAAACAATCTTTTCAGAGTCTCAGTGATTTTTAAACTGTTATCAAAATGTTTGTCTTCCATCCTTGTTGCTTATGTGACAAAATATGAATTTAAAACCGAACTGATATTTGAAGTTTGGATTCAGACTTTAATATTTAAATGACTTCATTGACCTGCAGGGTCTCTAAAATGGCTCAATGAAATTAGGTCTATAGAAGCAGAAATACAAACACGGGGACGCGTCTGTGAGTGTTTTCAGACGTGTCCATGCTGTAGTCATTTCTCTGAACAAACTCTGACCTGTTTTTAATCATGCTCAGTGTGACTTTTGAATGCATTTCTTCATGTCTTCCATCCTGTGATCATTTATAGTACTCTGTTTTTATTAGAACTGCATGATGAAAAGCGGCGTCACGTTACGACATTACTGCAAATATTTTAAATTATCGCAAGTAATGAGGAAGTGATATCATGTAAACAACCAGTGTCTGTTCACTCAGCGTGCAGGTTCGTCCTGTTCATTGATATTATTATTATTATTATTCTCATGGTTTGACTCCTCATCAGATGAATCTGTAATCGTTCAGAGACAAAGGTGATGAGTGAGAAACCAAGAACAGCAGACAGACATTCAAAACGGAGAGAGAGCTTTCAGCAGATAATCACTCCTGAATACTTTTGTCACCTCTTTTTCCACTAAACCATGTTTCGGCTTTGTTTCCATCACTTGGTGCAGTCCGAGTGTCGGACCAAGCTTTAAAAAACTGCCTTAAAGTTCCAGATTATAACAGAGATAAATAATTATTATTTAATGCATATTTCTGCATGACACACTACATTTCTGCTTGATTTCTTTTTTTTTTTTCATACATGCAGACCTGCTCTTTGTGCATATATCAGATTCCAAATCAAACTACATTAGTGCGACAAAATTAAAAAATACTCAATTTAAATCAGAGTTTCAGCGGTTTAACAGAAGCAAGTTTAAAAAGCATTAAACCTCTATGATTTCTTTAATGACCACATTTGCCTCTTTTCCAGAAACTGTGCCAGAAAGATACTGTTTAGTGTTTCTGCACCTCAGCTATGTCTGCAGAGTCTGAAAAGTTCAGAGAAAATATGTTTCTGTATAAGTCCAAATATATTTTCATAATTCAAATGTCATGTTAGAATGTAAAGATATTCTTATCAATCAAACCACTGACGCTGCGCAGCCTGCGAGTCAGTAAATACGCTCTCGTGTGTGTTTGTGTGTGTGTGTGTGTGTGTGTGTGTGTATGTGTGTGTGAGTGAGTGTCACAGGCCTGCAGACACGGTTTGAGCTTGTGTTCTGGGCTCTGCAGGTCTGAGTGTTTGTGGCGTCTCTCGTGGCATCTCTGCTGCAATGACACGTTAATGTAAAAGCAGAGATGAGACTGGCGGCGGCGTGCGGACACTGATACTCTGTGGCACCATGAAGGAAAATTACCAAACAGCAACCACTTTAGTTTTTACTCTGGGATCTTGTTGGGAAGGGTTGCACATGTTGTCTGAGTGAGTGGGAAGACAGATGTGAGCGTTTGGGACATTGAGCAGCTGTGTGACGCTGCGATACTCTTTTCCCTTTTCAGACGCCTCTGCTGCGCTTGTGGGAACTGTATCTGAGGGTCTCAACTCACTTAATCTTTTTATTTCAGTGAAACTTGAAACTGGGGGTGGGTTTGCAGATTTGAAAATGTCACACTACAATCTTCTGCTTCTTCCCACCTTTCTGATTGTCCTCTCAGCTTGGAGAGTCACACTCATTTTTAGAAAACACACAGATGGTTGATGGAGGCTGAAGCTTAAGGCTGAGTGACCCTTAGAAGTATCTAAAGTTTTCTCTGCAGAACTCCGCACTCCTCACAGGTTTCCACTGAACTCCTAACGGCCACTAAAAGCTGTGACGCGTCCTTCCTACAAGCATCTGCTCAGCACTATGAGCTCGGAGAGAGGCAAGCCTGCAAGTAAATGCTTTGCACAACAAATGTTCGAATCTGCAGCACGTGGGAAAAGCAGGGAAGAAAGCTGGGCAACAAAGATGGTCCAAATGTAAATCTGTCGTATGGCGGGTCGTGAGGCAGGCTATCAGCTGGCTTGCACGTTTACAGAAGTAGCATTGTGACGAGGAAGGTGCAGGATGTAAAGTGTCTCTTCTTTGACAGACAGAGTCTTAGTCAGTTTATTAGCCCTCCACCCAGTTGTCTGAGTGTGGACTTGGACGAGCTGGAGAACAATCTCTCCTCTGTCTGATCTTCCTGGCAGCGCTCCACGCCGATCCTCCCACGATCCCCCTCTCTATGATTATTTTATCCTTTTAAATTCTTTATACTGCTTCCCCGCCCGAGCAGAGTGCCGTATTGGCCTCGCAGCACATTCACACTACAGTTATTTGGACGCCGCTCCGGTGTGGCTCTGTCCCGCTCCCTCGGTTGGATTCTGCTCGTCCATTAGTGCCATCTGTGCCTTCCTGCGCCGTCTGTGAGGCCCTGTCGACGCCAAAGCGATTGGCATTTCTCTGGAACAACCAGAGGGATGGTGCCCAGAGCTTTTAGCTGCCAATGATGTGCACTTACTCTGACAAAACCAGAGAGGCTGGGGGAGGCAGGGGGTGGGGAGGTGAGGGGGTGGGTGGGGCAGCTGCACCTACAGAACTGCAGCCTCCATGTTGGAGCTTCATGAGGAAGCAGATCTCCCTGCAGCAGACAGCTGATTTAGAGTCAAGAAGTGCTTCAGATCAGGCGCTCGGCTGGCACAGGGACACAGACACACACGCATGCACGCACGCACACACATACACATAAACACACAGGTAGGCAGACTCACAGTCAGTCCTGTAAACCAGCAGCTCATCCTGCATCAGGAGAGAAAACTGAGTTCAGACCCTGACAGTCCCAGCCCGGGCTCTGGCTCCCCTGTATGTTGGTGTCTTTGTAGTCCTAAAGTGTGAGTGTTGGAGGTCTCTGCAGCAGAAGTAACAGAGCATCACCATCATGGAGAGTGATGGTACGAGTCATGCTGGCTGCAGTCACTCTGAGTGAAGCTGATCTTTTCAAATCACCTGAAAACCTCAGTCGATCTGAAATCACTGAATCAAAATTCTCACGGTCTCACTAACGTACACCTGAGTCAGACTGTTTTGGATCAGCTCAGACTCTGCTCCTGTATGATGGTGATGTCACTTTATCTGACCCCTGACTTGAACCATGGACCTGACACTACATAGCTGATAGTCACTGCTGTTACCTGGAACACTCTGAAAAATGAGATCAGCTCTTAGATAGTCTTGAAACTAAAGACCTGCACAAGTCCAGAGAAAGGATCACAAAATCAGAGGTATGAGTTACTGCCACATTGAGCCCCACACCAGTTTCCTTTTTGAAAACCTCTTATGAGAAAAATACTGTTCTAACTCATAAAGCGACAGTCTGAAATCTGTGAGTAAAACTCAAACAGAGAAACTGCAGTTACATGAAATCAGCTGTTTTTTTACCCTTCTTAAGACCCCAGTCCGGTCCGGTCTGAGTGAACGCTGTAGACTAGCACCGCACTTTGCTGCTCACTTTGCTGTAGCTTCACTTAACTTTCTCGGGCGGCTCTTCACCCGCAGGGCTAAAGTTGAATAAAGATGAAAGTGATTGTATCAGTGAAGAGGATCATTGAGATGATCACTGAGAGATGATTAGAGACAGAAAAACTGGTTTGCATCAGATTTTTTTTTATAGCACCTTATCAGAGACCCTCAAAGCGCTTTACATTGGATACACCATTCATTTGCTCACACAGTCAAACCCTGGGGGTGGTAAACTACCTTCGTACTCACAGCTGCCCTGGGGCAGACTGAAGGAAACATGGCTGCCCGTTTTGCGCCTACGGCCTCTCCGACCACCACCACACAACACTCACATTCATACACCAATGGGGGAAACACATACTGGGAGCAAGGTGGGTTAAGTGTCTTGCCCAAGGACACAACGGACAGACTTGGGATAGGACGGGGCTCAAACTGCCAACCTTCCAATTATTGTCAGACTGCTCTACCTCCTGAGCTACTGCTGCCCTGAGTTTGTGTTTAAGAGAGGTGAATACAGAGATTCTGCAGGGATAAGACAGGCATGTCCAAACTATTCCACAAAGGGCTGGTGTTGCTGCAGGTTTTTCTTCCAATCAAGCAGCAGCACACCAGACTTGATTCATTTCATTAGCTGATCTCAGTCTTCAGACAGCTGATTGGTCAGACTGGGTGCTCTTGATTGGTTGGAAGAAAAACCTGCAACCACACCGGCCCTTTGTGGAATAGTTTGGACATGCCTGCACCAAGAGGACAGGCTGGACAGAATGGACTATCCAAGGGTTCATGACCTGCAATCCATGCAGCCAATCCTCTAAACAGTCACTCTGAACCAAGACAGTCAGAGGGTTGATGCTAGTCCACTATTTACTTGTGTTTGACACAGGTCACTTAGAGGTCTTAGAGAATTTTTGACCATCTTCTTCAACCTTGACCTAATATTACACTATAAAGATGTATTTACAAAAGGAGACTGTGCACAGGCCGGTGAGGAACCAGGATCCTGCTTGTGCAGGGTACCTGGGTCCATTGTAAGTGCAGTCAGGTGTCTGGGGTATCTCAGAGTTTAGAATAATCCCCTGTTGAGGTTGTTTTGACCCACAGCCTTGTTTAAAAGTGCATTCATGTCTGTGTTACATCCCTGTTTTAAAGGGTGCACACATGACTCTAATGCATGAAAAAAAGGATCTGGACTGCAGACAGAAACTCTCTTCTGTTCATGTACAGCCAGAAAAACAGATCCTAAATGCAGCTCCTCTTCCTGAATCTTAAGATATCTGCTCAACTTTACAGCAGAGAACAGATCAGCTATTCATTTTCAATATTGTTATATTCCTAATCCTTAGTGCATATTTCATCTGCGTTTGCCTCTTTACAATGAGCAGAAAGGCCCGAGTTTTCAGCGAGCATCATGTATTTGGCCGAGTCTCAGGTGGCTCTGATTTCCCAGCAGGCCAGATGGCAGTGCTGTGTGGGCAGTGTGTGTGTGTGTGTGTGTGTGTGTGTGTGTGTGTGTGTGTGTGTGTGTGTGTGTGTGTGTGTGTGTGTGTGTGTGTGTGTGTGTCCTGCAGCCTGGTGGAGGGAGGATTGCTCACACCCTGGCTCTCTCCTCTGTCCTTGTGCAGCTGTGCCTCTCCCTCATACTTGAACTTTTAATGTGTTCAATATGTGGACAAGGACTCAGAGGGAAACTCGGCACATGTCAGCTGACCGAGGACCGGACAGACCGCGCTCTTCATCTCTCTGTACCTTTATTCAGAGAGGATGTCTTTTTTTGAGCAGGGGCAGTCTAAAAGGTGATCTCTGGATAAAGTATGATTGCAGCTTCCAGGAGGACTTGGTGTTTAGTCTGCTTTTTGAAGTGACCACACTGAGATCAGACAGTATTCAGCAGCATTCACTTTGGTTCATAATCATCATATCTCCTCTCTTTCTCATTTTACTCACTTTATTATTGTTCTGGTTCAAATCCATAAACTCTGCCTCATATTAACGACATAATTTCAGGCTCTGTCTATGTAATTTTTGATAAAAAACCCAAACTTTCCAAACCTTTCCAGGTCCCAATTCTGCAGTAAAATGAGACACATTCAGACAAACTCAGTGAGGACTTCTTGAGCCGAAACTTATAAATGTTTAATCACTGTAACAAAGTGGAGCTGGAATAACTTGGTGTGAGCTGCAGACGTCCTGTCACTGTTGGATTAGGTAATCCCAGGATTAACGGAGTGACTGTATAGGCTGCAGAGTTTGAATGTGGAACAAAAAAAAGTCTTGTTCTGGTGATAAAATCTTTCAAATCCTGCAGCTTATCACTGCAAAATAAACATCTTGCAACTGGATTACAACTCTGATACTTGCAAGTGTTTTCACACTGCGGTCCAGATGGGAGCTTGCTTTTGTAACCTAAATGGATATCTGCTTTTCTCTCTGCTGTTAATGTTGTTAATGTGACAAACTATAGATTCAATTAATTCCACAATCCAGCTCAAACATTTTTGAGGGAGGAAAACTCCTCTTCAGCTGTGTTTATTCCTGATATTTGTCTCCAAAAACTATGCTGGAGAATCTTCCCAAACTAACTAAGCAGCAAACACATGGAAAAATGAGTATTTACACCAACTTTTGTTGAATATATAGATGACAGAAGATTTCTTCGTTACTTTGACACTAACAGAAGGAAGTCTGTAACACTGTAAGTGTATCCTTTGCAGCTTCACTCACACTTATTCTGATCCTCACAGAATAAAACTACAGTCACAGAGTAAAACTGTCACAACAAAGCCACCCCTCAAAATACCTTCAAATTTAACAGCTACACCAAAAGATGTGAATGCATGTACTATATGAAGACACCAAACCAAAATAGGGTGACTTTCCTCAAATCAGTATCAGCACTGCCCAATAAAACTAGTTCCTATAACCGTCTTGAAGATAAAAGATGCTGACAAGAAATAATCCAACAGCTTTTCTTCCATTGTTTTAATCTGAATGATAAAAATGTGGATGCTGCTGAGATGATGTGTCAGAAGTTATGAAGAAAAATGAGTTCTAAAGTGTTGCAGACCAACGCCAGCCTCATTATTCATAGTCACTGTTATTTCTGCAGATTAAACCAGGTGTCAAAAAAATTTAAAAAATGATGGTGAATTTACATAAAAAGATGATGCCCACTAACAGCCCTAAGGATGGAGCTTTACTTGACTCACTACCCGAACAATTGCAAGATCTAATTTGCAGCGAGTATTGAGTAAATGACTTCAACGAGCTGAGCTGTGAGCTCAGATCCATTCACATACATGATGGTGGACTGGACGCAGTCCTCAAATGACAGCTGGGACACACATTTTAACGTTCACAATGAAGTGGAAAAAGAAACAGACTTCTGCAGGCTCAACAGTACAGCTCATGTGAGCCAGGTTCAAGCCTGAGACAGTCCAGGACTGCTTTAACCCCCAAATTAACAGTAATGATAACACAGGAAGAGTACTGACTGACGTAACACACAGATATATTTTTTTTCGGTGATCTGGAGGTGATCGCTCAATAGTCCTCACCCACCCACAAGTTCTTTCTTACTGCACACAGCTTGAAGTCCCAGGATTTAGGAAGTAATTGTTTGTTTGTATTTTCCCTAATGAGGCTCATTTGCACTAAAACAGGCACATTTCACCTAAACTACATGCATAAAGGCAAATTTAGATGTAGACAACACCGTGCAAAGAAATACAGTCTGCTCTACAGCACAGTGTTGGGAACATTTAGTCCTTTGTCCATGCTTAAAGTTAGGGTAGTGTCTGTTTATCTCATTTACCCAGGTTTAGGGAGTAAAAAAGACATGCAGTCCTCAAATGAATCTGGCCTTGAGTCCCAGGGTGGGAATTTTATTTTAATTTTGCATCCGGGTAGTAACAAGCTGTGGATAGTGTCACCTCACAATCCTTATTTATTCACCATGAGTCTTTCCTGAAACTTTCTTAACACATGAAACAACCACAAAGATCACCACAGAAGGAAGAGTCTCACCATCTCAGAGTCTCACTATCCCACCTTCTCAGTCTCATCCTCTCAGAGTCTCACTGTCTCAGAGTCTCACCTTCTCAGAGTCTCACTATCTCACCTTCTCAGTCTCATCCTCTCATTGTCTCACTGTTTCAGAGTCTCACCTTCTCAGAGTCTCACCCTCTCAGAGTCTCACTATCTCAGTCAATTTTCAATTTCAATGAGCTTTATATGCACGACTGTTACTACAATATTGCCAAAGCAACAATACCACCACCACCACCAATTATTATTATTATTATTATTATTATTATTATTATTATTATTATTAGTAGTAGTAGTAGTAGTAGTAGTAGTAGTAGTAGTAGTAGTAGTAGTATTGGTATTATTAGTATTATTAGTACTATTAGTATTATTATTGTGAATAAACAGAGTCAGTAGTATCATGTTTCAGTTAAAAAAAACAACAACCTAGAAGCAGTTGTTCAGGTTATTTTGAGCAGCTCATCTTCTCTATTTTGTGGCATATTTTGACATATTTTGCTGCTTCCAAAGCAATGGCCCTTTGTTCTCCTGAGAGAACTTTTCATGGTCCATGAGTTGGGTGAAGTTGGGTGTTATGTGTGTGAGTTTAGTGTATGTGTGTGTCCTGATGTGTGTTTATGTGTCACAGTGTAACACGAAGTGCTGCTCTGTCTCCAGCTGTGTGTGAGGACAGAGCTGACACAGCCGCTCCTCTCTTGGCAGGCTGTGGTTGCTGAGTCTGTATACAGTCAAGTTTCTCCTCAGTCTGGGGTCAGTTACTGCACTCAGGTAATCTGCTTTGGAGTATTGTCTGTTTAGGGCCAGATAGCATTGAAGATTGCTTTGGGTTTGGGTTGTAGATGTCCAATAGTTGATGTAGTTGTCTTTTTGTTTTTGTATTATTTGGTGGGGGGGGCGGATTGCGTGAGGGCGGTCTTGGTGCTCGGTGCTGGTGGAGCTGAGCTTGTGGACCAGCTGGCTGGGGGGCTCCTGTCTCTGCACTCCTCTTGGCTCTGCAGGACTTTGTAGTGGTAGGAGTCAGTCTCACCATCTCAGAGCCTCATTGTCCCTAAGTCTCACGGTTTCAGAGCCTCACTGTCTCAGAGTTTCACCTACTCAGTCCCACCGTCTCAGAGTCTCATCATCTCAGTCTTACTGTCCCTGAGCCTCAAAGCTCCTCAGAGAGTGTCCTGACTGGGACAGTTGGATCCTATCACTGTACGGCACTGTAGCAGTGAGAAGAGGATAAAACCAAACACTCTCTCTGCTTCACTGGAGTGCTGCCTCAGTTACAAGCCAGCAGTCCAAGGGACAAACATGTTTTCTGAGGACAAACGTGGACCTCTGCAGCTCCTGTCAACATGGAGCGTGGACCGCCAACAGAAGGATGGAGGAAACTCCAATAGGAAGAAACAAGCTCCACTACAGGGAGATTTTTTTTGGACCAAACTTTGTATAATCAGCGTGAGAGTCCTGAAATGTTGGCAGCACTAAAGCTCTTTGTTGTTTTCTGATGTATTGAAAAATTGTCTTATTTAAACAGTGAGCTGCCAAAACATTGATGAGAGGATTAATCTGCAGATTTCATAATTTATTCATAATTTCAATGAGTTCTGACAATCCCAAAGAAATGTCATGTGTTTCATGTGAAATTCAGAAACAGGAATGTGGACTCTGTAGACAGGAGGCTGTATTTAGGTCTAAAGGGGGGGGGGGGTGACCAATCAGGTATCAGCTGCAGCTCTTTCCAGTGAAACAGAAAAATAAACAGCTAAAGTAAAACCTGTGGGTAGCATTTATGACTCCTATGTACAGATCTTATCTTGTCCAAAATGATCCTGTCCACCCCTGTCCACCTTTAATCTAACAAAGTTCTAACAAAAGTTAGATTAAAGCGGCAACCTGAAGCTGATGCTGTCGTGCTGAAGTTTAACGTACACTGATGTTTGTCTGAAAGATTCAGAGCTAGGTATTAAGGTGATAAGACAGACGAATCAGAGGAGAAGTTGACTTGGCTGACAGCGGGTACATGGTCCCTGTTTGGGAGGAGGTTTAGGACCCACCTCTGGTGGGTTGACTAAAAGGCTGAGACCACAGCTGATCAGTTCCATCTCTTCATCATAGCCCCATTACAAGGCACCGTTCACTGCCAAATCGGGCCCTGCTCATTGGGGAACAGGGGAGCTGGAATGGGTTTGACCGTATTGTGCTGCACCTGCTTCGCTCTCACAGCAGATCCCCCCACTCTTCCTACTCAACCCGCCATCCTGTCACCCCCCACCCCAAACCCCCACCCTCCCACTCGCCGTAAAACCCGTAAAATCCACTGAACTTAGCCGCTCTGATGGCCACGGCCAAAACAGCATCTGATGTGCCTTATTTGTTGACTGTGTGAGATTAGCTGCAGAGGGTACACGTCGAGGGGCTTACCATGCAGAGACGGAGTGAAGCCCCCACCCCTCCACTAAACAGCCTCCACCCTGCCAAATAATGAGGAAGGAAAGATTCTCCAGCTTGTCTAAAGCCCCCATCACAGTCGGTCCATGCACACTCCTACTCCCGAGCCAGACTGTAGAGAGTTTACTGTACGAGCTGCTGCAGAGAGAGGCTGCTGCTGCTGTCAGCCTGCAGATCAGCAGACACACTCTCAGTCAACACTGACCGAATTACCTGAATGAGAGGGAAACACCTGGACAGGAAGCCAGAAGGGTGCTTCTGTTTCTCAGAGACAGAAGGAGAGACACGTGCAGACATCCAACGTGTGCACATTCTCATGCTAATTCACTCCTTCAGGTCTTTAGACTCAGTGTCTTTGCTTATTTGAGACCGTTCCAGTCACAGATTTCTGAAATTTAAGCCAAATATGGAAATCAAAATTTGATTTTTAGACAAAAACCTTTCAGCTGCAGCTGCCATCGATTATAGACATCTTCAGTTGGTTCATAAATGCAGAATTCTCCAAAAACACTCATCGTAAGTGTGATTCTGTGTTTGCAGATGAGGCAAGTTGCATAATAAAACTTTTCAAACTTTAAATCCTCATTTAGTTTCCTAATAAAGAACAATAAGACAAACTTCACATCTGTCACTGTGCAAAGTCCTTTGGGTTTGGGTTCAAAATACACGAGTGCAAAGCTTTTACATGGACTGTGAAATAAATTAACATGAAACCTCAAGGGCCTGTGTCCACTAATGCAAATTCAATCAGGATCACTTGAGTCCAAAATAATTATCATAAACTTTCATGCAGTAAGTTAGATTTGGTGGTCAAAATATTGGCTGAAAAGTAATGTGCAGTAAGGAGGAACCCATGAAACTCCTATAGATCTTCTGACATGGTCTAAAGTGGGTCCTCTTCTCACTGCTCTTAAACAATATTCCTCACCTGTGTTTCATGTCATATTTCCTTACTGCTTCCATTGCTCTAAATGTCCTAATGGCAAAGCTGGAGGCAGGGAGAGCCGCCCCTCTCTGTTTCACATGTATACATGAAAAGCCAAGGCAAAGCGAGCAGCAGCAAAGAGCCAGGGCAGCAGTATGAAAAGGAGCAGCTGGGGTGGAGGGTCACAGGGTGGTTGGAAGAGGAAGCAGGAAGAGTGGGCAGGCTGAAGACTTTTAATAGAACAAACATTTTCACATTTGATGGTTCGATGTAAGTAGGTGATCAGCTGTGCTGTCAGCTGACAGGGGTCAATCTCAGCTGGTATGCTGTGAACAGAGATTGACTAACACTACACTCTTTCTGTTTACACTGGCAGTGCCTGTTTTCTCTGTGAACTAGACACCCATCAGGGTTGTTGGTGCAAACACCCTCAGCATCATCCCCTTTCCCTTCCAGCTAAGAGTAGTTCAACTTCTGAGGCACTGCTGCACTCTTTAGAGTCAGTTCTAGACGGCCATTAGCTGCTGCTGCTGATGCCAGCACATGATTTCCATCTACTGTCTGAAGCTGAGACATGTCTAAAGTTCATTATGGAGGAACGTTTCAGCACTTCGTTCCCTTAAAAATGTCATAACTTTGAAACATCCTGCTCATCTCAGTCTGAAGCACCTCAATACAAAGCTGATAGGAAACTAATGTATAAGAAAGCTGCACACCAAATGTATGTGTGTTTAATTAGGAACATTATAACAATGCAATATTAATGATAAACTGTACTAATGCCGCGACAGAATCGACACTAATCAGAGCTGCAAAGGTCAAAATCTGTGAAAACGCAGAATCCTCCAATCACAGATTTCTTAAGTTTGCTCTAAATATTAATCCATGATTGTCTTTAATGGGATAAACTCATAGACTGTATATAAAATGGACAGCATCTGCCTCCTTGCTGGGTGAAGCCACTCCGAGAACAGCACCCTCTGTTGATGGGCTGCAGTATAGTTCATAAATCCCGCCTCCGCCAGCAAAGCTTATGGAGCTGTGGACAAACTTTAGAAATTTATTACACAGATCATAAATTTTTCTTCCCCCTGCTTGTGATGTTGACATGTAGTAACAGTAAGACTGGTTTGTGCTCAATTCTTTTTTCTGTGAAGCTCTGTTTTCAAAAGTTATTAGGGGTTTATGTTTTCTATGATTGACACCTGATACAGCCTATGGGCGTTCAAGGATTGTGTCGCTGTCCGAGGGGATTTGCTGTTTGAGCCGAGCGTCATCACAGCGACTCTCGGCGACTGCGCGCCCGAATGCGTGCATTGCTACTGCGCAGCGCTGGTTTCAGGAAATGAAGAAAAATCCCGGAAATACTGAGAGCTATTTGGCTTCAAATCCGTATACAAGCGGTAGGCGGAACCAAGTTGTCCATAGTATATACAGTCTATGGCTAAACTAGCTAATGGGCTCCACTAGCTCCACTACGTCCTGAACTTCAGGCAGCTCCTTATTTCCTGTCTTACATTATTGGACAAACTGATTAATCCAGGTGTGTCTGATCATTGTGACTACTCAGACACACCCGAATCAAAATAGAAGCTGCTTTAAGTTCAGGAAGTACTGGAGCTGTGCAGAAAGCCCATTCAGCTACAGCTGGGATTACTTCAACGGTATGGATTCACTGATAATGATCAGATTTGTGCGTCAGATCAGTCTGAACTTCGCTCTACAGAGGATTTCATCACACAGAAGGATCCTGTGATATCGAGGCTATGGAAAACTTTATCAACAAACAACTCTTAGTCACTCCTTCTTTAAAACAGACACAGAGGGCTCTATTTTCGTGCCTCGCCGGAGACGTGCCACAGGCGCAGCGTAAGTCAGGTCCGCTGTGCCGACAAGGCGTTCCCAAGCACAATTTGGTATTTTGGTAAGCGGCGCAGCCCGGCGTAAGTATCCCCCCTCCCTAACTCAGCTTCCCCCAGCGGCGTAATACGAGGGAGGAGAGAGGGCGTGGAGTGGGTTTAACACAGCCAAGACCTGTATTGACCAATAACATAAGCTCCTCTCCTCGCCTTTAAATCCGCCACCGGCGAGGCATATTACTATTTTCGTGAAGTAGTCAAAGAGATCAAGAGATGTCTGAAGACAGCAATGCCACACGATGGTGACAGAAGGCAGCCCCTCAACAAGTGTCGCTGTAAACGCTGCAGAGGGCGTCCTCCACACTCTCTCATAGAAGCACATATGAATTTGGTGTGTGTAATGTTGGACCCACTAGTAAGACAAACACCCTTTCCACAAATAAAGACACTCACATAAAGTTGAATATATTCAAACCTCATGTGACAAAGGTGGGTTTTGCGCACAGATCACATCATAAATTCCAATAATTAAAATTGAAACCATCTGTGCATAAAGGATGCATCGCGAGACAAAATAAATATCTCGTTCACTTCATCATGTGTGTCTATTTACTAGATATTTAATTTAATTTAATGCGGTTTCAGCTGTGTTTATTCGGTCAGGTTGTGTGTCCAAGCGTGTGCCAAATGCGCTCATCAGACTAGATATAGATATATCTAAATATTTATCTTTGTAGATCTAAATGTATGTGCTGACTCAGATTATTAGTTGTTGATGATTATTTATTGCACTGAAATGTGTCTGACACTGGGGAAACCTGCTGGTGAGGCAGCGGTGAAGTATGCCGATATGCCGTCGGTCTACCAAAAAACCACTAGACCAGCTGCGCTCCGCCTGCACTGAAAGCTGACCAGGTTTGAATCTGCGAGCTTTCAGTGCACTTTGAACGCCACCGGCGAGCACGAAAATGTCACTGTGCCTGCTGATTCTGTCAACACCTCCCCCTGCCACGCCACCACACCCAGCTTGGCGGACCGCAGTGCGCCTCAGTCCACGAAAATACCAAACTGGCTGTACGCCAGGCTCCGCCAGACGAAAATACAACTGCGCGGGGTCCGCCACCCTCCACTGCCTCACCGGCAGACACGAAAATAGAGCCCAGAGAGACAAACAAACTTAAAATGCAGTAGAAGTACAGGTACAGGTATGTGAAGTTTTTATTTTTATTTAGTGCTTTATCGTGTCTCCTGCAGTAAACGTTTTTGCTGCAGGAGACTTTGTGATCCAGGTCTTCTCAGCTACAACTGCGTTATTCTCAAAGCAGTTCTATACCCTCAATTTTCCAGGATTCAACAAGAGGAAAGATTTTTTATGAACTGAAAAAATTAGGAAGGATGAGTCCTGCAGATGCTTTTGAGCAAGGCATCGTTCTTTGATATGAAGTGATGCTGCTAAAAAATCTGAATGTTTGTTTCAAGGATGTAGGAAAAACACACACACCTGCATTAACATCAACACAAGAGAGGGCAGTTAACAGAGAGTCAGAGGTGTGTGTGTGTGTGTGTGTGTGTGTGTGTGTGTGTGTGTGTGTGTGTGTGTGTGTGTGTGTGTGTGTGTGTGTGTGTGTTATATACAGTGGGTGCACGTGTATGTTAGAGTGTGTGTGTAGAGAGAGAGAGAGAGAAAGAGAGAGTTTGTGTGTGTGTTTGTTTCAGACAGGGAAGCAAAAAGAAAGATGGCGTAAGGTCAGAGATTCGTGGTGTGAGAGCTCCCTCTTGGTGCCGGTCGCTCTACTGTTAGTGAATAAGCTGCTGCACACACACACACACACACACACACACACACACACAAACACACACACACAAATAGATGTTATGCTGGGTTTAGTCTAAAGGCTTCACAGATTTAGATTTAATTTTCCTGATTAATCCTGATATATTTTGTGTGAATTTGTCCGTTAAACTCTGAATGTTTTAGTTTGTGTGACCTTGTCAGGATAAATAAACTGTAATTATCCTGACGTCTTTGGTCTGTTTGTGAAAGGAACCTTTAATCTGCTTTTTTTCTCCTGATTCACGTATTAAACAAAAAACAAAGCGTGTCAATGATTGATATTTTGCATGTTAAAATTTTTTATTGTGGGAAATTAAAGTTATTAAGCTGAAGTGATAAAATCAAACTGATGATACTGAAAAGCTGCATTAATAAATTTAAGTCATGAGTTTTAGCATAAATTATCTTTTTAATAGTATTTTTAATTTCACTTCTTATTATGACTTTTACAAAAAAGTATATCTCTGACAGCATCAGAAATTAACGGTATTATATTTTCAGGACTTATAAGTAAAAACGTAATCATGTTTAAAAAATACTAAAATAAAAGTTTAGAATTGAATATTATGAAGATTAATGCCATTTACATATATCTGTTGTTGAATGAGATGTGTTGATGAAGATTTGCAGTAACAATGTCGACATGTATATAAAACCTACAGCCCCGTCAGCGTTGACAGTGTGAAGATATAATCCTCTTTCATTCTCTGTGTTTGTGTGTTTTCAGGGCCGCTGTATAAATTTCAGCCGTGTGCAGCAGCAGTAGAAGAGACGGAGCTCTAAGTGAAAGGGAAACGTGCTGATGGCTGCAGACAAAGGAAGAAACCCGGTTGTATTTCAGAGATTTGTGTCCCTGCAGTTAAGCTACGATCTGTTCACTCTGCTCTGCACAAACCTTCCACCCATCAGTGCAGCTCCTGATTTTTCTGTAACTCTGATTCTTAAAGTTATTTTCTCACATTTCATCACAATCAAATATGTTTCTAAGGTCAATAAGAAAGCTGCAGCAGGAGCAGAGGGTGCCCTGAACCCCAGCCCTCAAAGCCGGTTAGCTTCTTGTGCGCTTCAAAGGCCTGACAGATTCTGACCATATTGCGCCGTCTGTGAAAAAACTCATTTCATGGACGCAGACGGAGGCAATCTGAAAAAAAAAAAAAAAAAAGAAGAGTGCAGGGTGGAGGCTGTTTGCCGACAGCGTGGCAGTGGGAATAATCCCAGTGGGCCCCACAGTGCTGAAGTGGGCTGCCTTGTGGCGATGTCTCATCACAAAGACACTCCAACTTCAGCAGGGCTCGTGGCCGGCGGCTGGCCTCTGACCGCGGCGTCCTGTCATTTTAACACTGAGAAGTGCACACGCATGACAAACTGGAGACAGGATGGCCCCGAGTGCTGCAGAAACCAAGACTTCGCCTGTAGTTTCTTTTTTTTTTTTTTTTTAGAGACACCTTCCCGTCATTATGCACTCGGGACAGAAAATTAATAGAGCGTTATTGGACCGCAGGACAGCCTCCTGACCACGCTGATCCTGGCCCCATTTGAGGGATTGATGCCTTTAAGACCTTGACACGGCGCGTGGTGTTTGCAGCACAGTCTGCTCTCTGCTTAGCAGGGCATAGTACACAAACAACTAAAATTTTAGCATCAGATACAACCACACAATCCTCTGAGGGGTCCCCAAGTACGTCACGGCCCGCCTGCTGCCCGCCGCCCGCTCTCTGGGCACCAGAATATCAAAGTTTAATTAAAATAATTAAAGGCAACAGCAAGCAGCAGCCTGTGAAGACCTGGCTGTCTGTTTTTTATGCCTCCTGACATCCAATGACCTATTACTGCTGTCTTCTCCGCTAAAAAGAGGACACGGCGCCATGGTGATGCCGCAACACGTCCAAAACACAAACCCAAAGGAGCGGATGCGACGGACGGATAAGTATTGTTCATTTCCAGAAATTATGCCCCCCCCACCCCTCCTCCACCTCCAAAAAGCTGATCTATATTTCTTTATATAGCGAGGGTCCTCCATGGCAGCGTGGTAATGCCAATCCCTAGTGATGTTAGGGTGAGCGGAAACACTGTGGGGGAGGAACGGGGGGAAAGCAGCTGAAGAAAAAGGCTCGAATGATCCAGTCACTTCAGATCCTGGACTTCAGATGTGAAATGGATATTCGAGTGGAAACCTGACAAAGCGCGCCGGCTTTGACGGGAAACGGTATAGACAATGACCAGTGGCTGGGTCAGTGGGATGTCTCTGTGCAGGCAGGGAAGCTTATCAAATGACACTAAAAATAAGTTCAACAACCATCAAGTTTGAGGGCAAGCGGCTGAGCGGCTCACACTCAGGACAGCAGGCAGGACAGACAGCCAAACACGCCACGCTAATTATTCCTTTGTTTCTTGTTCGAGCCGATCGGACGACAGGAACAAATCAGTTTGAGTCCTCAGGGCACACTGGTGTTTTTGTGGGACAGAAACAGCTCTGATTTTAGTCAGGGTTTAATTCGCTCCCAGAACAGGACAATATTGAAACCAACCACATATGATTTTTTAACGTATCCATGCTACATATCCTGCTAAAACATGCCACATGTTCCCCCTGCCTCCTCTGCATGCACCAGTACTCACCAAATCCAGCTCTGACTGATATATATATGCGTTTAATGATTTTGTGCCTTTTTTGTACATTGATGCTTTTTGATGGAAAAGATATATTTTTTGTATTCCTGCACTTCTTTGATTTGGTTGTTTTGAATAGGATTTATGAACCAAAGTGTAATAAAACAGGTTTTTATTCAGAGTGTCGAACTTTGACATAGTTTAAGTTGAAAACAGATTAAAAACCAAACATGCAGATTTATTTTAAAGATAAACTAAAACACATTTTCGTATTAGTGCCTCATAATTTCACCTCGACATGTAAAACTTTACAAAAACCTTTCTTCGCTCACATTGCTGTTATTCCTGACTTTATCCAAACTCATCAGGATCTCTTAAGCTTTAAAAAATGACTTATCTACTTAAAAAAAAATCTTTATGTTGTTCTTTTTTTGAAAATATTTGTGGAATATATTTGGATGTAGTCTGTTTCTGTCTTTATTTTGTGTTTCAAAGAGTAGGGGATTTTAGGGTCAAAAGGACTCAAAAGCAAAAGGGGGAGATTTATTTGAAAAATTCAAAGAAGGAAAAAGCTGTTCTGTTTTCAGCTAAGTTGTGTGATCAATTAAATCTCCTCATCTCATTCTCTGTGATTTTCCTGACTCTTAAACTCCCACAGTTTAATTCATTTATTTACTTTGACCAAAATATCTGATCAGCTTAAACAAAGCTGATCACCACTTAAAAAAAAAAAAGAAAAACATTAATCTGTTTCTGTGTTCATGTTTTCTTTTAAACATTTCTGGGATTTTTTGGATGTAGTCTGATTTGCATGCTGAAGTTTCTGTTCAGTGTATTATTGTCATCAGCTCATTTAAGGTCCAAAATAATAATTTATCCTTGTGTTTTATTTAATACTTTACAGTTTGTTGTCTCACTTACTACCTTTTTATATATTGCACCTTTAAGACAACATTCAGGGCACACTACACCTGTGTGTGAACTGAATCACCAAAATCACCTTTTTGGCAAGTTTGACACTGTTTCTATTCTCTTATTGTTCCACACTGTTGTGCCAAATATAAACTCAGTGAAAGGCCCTCAGAGTCTGTGTGCTTCTCTCTCTGTAGAGTGTGTGTTTGTTTGTTTTTTCAAAGAGAGAAAAAGAGAATTTGTGTGTGTGTGTGTGTGTGTGTGTGTGTGTGTGTGTGTGTGTGTGTGTGTGTGTGTGTGTGTGTACTGGTTGGGGTGGACACGCTGAAGGCCATCTTTAATTGGGCCCTAACAGATTTATAGGGCCAGACAGAGAACGTGATTATACAGAGTGTGTGTGGACAGTGGAGTGGACAGTGTGCAGTCTCTCCCCCTGTTAAGTAAGTCACTGGAGACATCACACACACTAACACACACACACACACACACACACACACACACACACACACACACACAGTCTTTATAACCCCAAGAAAGAGGTCTTGCATTTAGTAAAAATATGCCCTTGTACACTTTATGCTTTCTCCATGTTTGCATGCTGTGACAAGATACCAGCTGAGGTGTGTGTGTGTGTGTGTGTGTGTGTGTGTGTGTGTGTGTGTGTTTGTGTGCGTGGGTGTGCTTATAAGCCCCTCCTCCATACTGAAATGAAGGAGAGAAAGTGAAGCCTCTTCATTTTCCTGACTGTGTTCGATCTGGAGGTTGAGGAACGAAAATCTGTTTCGAGGATAAACTCCTAAAGATGCACAGTCCTGTTTCCCAGGGGGTTCTAGACTCTCGGGTGGTCTCAGGTAGTTAAAGGGTTTTGGGGCAGAAGTAATCCACATACAGTCAAACCTTCACAACCTCTACAGTCTGCAAGTCAGCTCCGCTTTTTCGTTATCAAACATATTTACAGAGTGATTCAGAAACGTTAATGTCCTGCTTTTCACATGTTTAGGGGGTAACATAATCTATAAACTGGATATTCTCTCACATACTGTATGTCTATACCAGATTTAGAAGGTTTGGACTCTTTTAACGACAACCATCAGTTACACAGGTGTCCACTTAGAGGTGGACAGTTTTGGTCAGCTATCTGCTGCATCAAGGAAAGTTTACAAATTAAGATAAGAGGTACATTAAGCAGAAAGCATCTGTACCTGTGGTTAACCAGTTTTTGATAAGCGACCAGGTTGTCATTGCTCTATTCACAGCCTGTTGGCACCACTTTAAGCACCATGGCCTGAAGAGTAGATTAATCACATCTCCAATTATAATTTTGTTACATTCAATTTAAAGAGCTCTACTCCAGCCCTAATCTACACGTAGAAATGGTGAAGATTTGTGTTCACAGAGAGACATGATTCAACAGAGCTCAGGTCTGCTCTGTGTTTGTTAATTTATTTTAAAATCTTAAATATATATTTTTCAGAAAGTTCTTGGAATAATTTCAGTTTAGTAGTTTTCTTGTTGAACCATCCTTTAAAGAAAATGTTATGTTCATTTGTATAAGTATAAAGACAAATCTTAACATGTGAGGGTCTAAATACCCAAGCAATAAAAAACAGGAAGATTTTTATTCGAGAAATATTGGTATATTTACTAAATCAAATAATAATTACTATGAAATGCAACTGGCCCTTGGTCTGTGGTCATCTCCACCTCTCTGTGGGCATGACTTCATGATCAGGTTTCTGCATTTTTAAAGTTCAAATGAAATTGTGTTTTTTAGCCTCAGAAGAGCTTACAATGGATTAGCTGCACAGATCAGCTGAAGACAAACAGAGTCATCCCATCTTTGTTTGCTGACTGTCAGTTGAAGGAACTTTGATTAAGAGAGTATTTTGCATCAAAAAACAGCTGCAAGAAACCTGGTAAAAGCTGTGACTCACTGGCTCTTCATTTAACAAGTGCCAAGTTCAGGTTAAATTCATCTCAGAACAAGGAAAGAGCAGAAATCACAAACACACAGAGAAATAAGAAAATACAACACAGAAGGACATAAATCTGGCGTCAAGGTTAAAAGTCACAAAATAAAAATTAAGTTACTGCAAATGGTTTAAAAAGTCTTAAAAAGTCATTTTCTAGAATTATAATATTTTACAAAATCTACTCAAAGTCTGTTTACTGCTACCTGTTATACATTCATTCACAAACCACAAACAGAAGAGAGATTGATCAAATGATTATTATTCTGCAGTCAGTGCTACATGCATTAAACTGTGTGTATCAGTGTGTAAACTCAGAACTATGTTCTGCTGCACAGTACAGGACAGGCATTTATGTGTTTGGGTCCTTTAAAAGTCTTGAAAAATCTTAAAAGGCCTTGAAGGCCTTGATTGAAAGGACTGTACAGCTGCCTGTAAAAGCAGGTAAACTGGTGTCATTGGGGTTTGTAGCTCATTCATAATCATAAATAACTAAATAACCACAATAATCTGAGAAATGTTCTTTAGCTGATTTCACTCGGCTGATTTTAAAGAGCTCTCCTGCTGAGCTGTTGATTTCACTACAACAATCCGTCACACAGAGGTGTTTAGAACCATCATTTATAAATGATGACGGCTTTATTTAGAAATCTGCTCATCTGCTTGTTTACTGCTGTGGACTCCTGCAGTAAATACTCTGAGAATCCACCAGAACATCCCGATCAGTATCCCTTTGACATTCCAGTATTTCAGTCTAGGACACTTAGAGTCCCTGTGATAAACTGAAAGTCTGAAAAAAAATATTTATTTATCCCAAACAGTGTAAACATTTGGATCATGGTTTCTTCCTCTCATAAAAGTTAAACAGTGTGTGGGGTGTTACTTATTACACAGCTACAGCCCTATTATCAGTTGCTGTAGTGTTGTTTCCAGTTTGTGGTCCTGAGCTTCATGAAGGTCTTGCTAGATGAACAGCTCCAGGGTTCAGTACCAGGTGAGAGTCAAATTCAGCCCATATTGGTCCTAGTTCCCAAAGAAGTCCTCAGTGAAGTGGTGAGCACTAACAGCAACGATGATGTCCTGAAAATGTTCAAAATTCCCTGTTTTCTGGAGCCTTCGTCTGGGGAGAGAAAACAGGTGAGACTGTCCTTCAGGACCAAAAGAGGACTTTAGAGACAGACTGGACCAACACAGACCACAGAGGGGGAGGAAGACTGGGGATAAGAATCGATTACCGGTTCTTTTTTAGAACTGGTTCCCAGCGATTCGATTCCTAAGAATTGTTTGTCTTTAATGATTCTGCTTATCAGTTCCTCTTACGTCTCTATGCATAATGACGTAGTACGCGAGAAGTGTGTTTTGGTTCAGATCTTTCCAGAATGGCATTGAGACAGAAGCACTCCAAAGTGTGGCTGTTTTTCAAGTGAAAGATGATACCAGGACTACTTGCAACAACTGCGAACTATAATTTCATCGAAGGGAGGAAATACTTCTGATATGGGGAAACATTTGTTCACCCAGCATTTAATTAATTTGCAAAAGTGTAATGTGTTTAATACGCTACTTAGCGAAGGTCAGACTGGACCAGGCAAAAGCAGGAGCAGAGCTTACATCTCGGCGTCATCTGCTTTAAATGCTGAGGGTAACCTTTAACTCCTCCAGGTCCTGTCTGTTGTTTAGATGTTAGTGCCAAATTAACCCCCTTTCACTATATAAATACTCTGCATCTCCTTAAATCACATTTAGATGACGATGACTGCAAGAGTCAAGCTAGCTCAGAGGCTGCCGTGGGTAGCTCTCGCACACCTTTGGCAGCCCTTTTTATCGAGGCTGTTTGAGCCAAGCATCATCACAGCCACTCTCCTGCCATATGCGTACAATGCTAATGCTCAAATGATGATGTGTGTACATCGCTACTGTGCAATGTTGGTTTCAGGAAGTGGAAAAAAAACGCAAAATTACTGTGAGCTTTGCGGCTTCAAATCTGTATAGTGGCGGAAGGCAGAACCAAGTTGTCCATTGTATATACAGTCTATGGGTTTAATCCAAACACATTATATCAATAAAAATCTATAAAGGCTGTCTTATCAGACTGTGTGTTTGTGATCCATCTTAACATGTCAGAGCAGGTCTGACCCTCCTTCTGTCTCAGCTGAACTAGCTGAGGGTAAGCCCAATATGCCTTCAGTGTTGCACCAACTTCCAAAAAGCAGGTAATTCGATGGTTCTCCTAAGCTCACAATGTTTTTATGGCATCTGCTACATCAGAGGTCCGAAACCTCAGGCACGCGTGTCAACATTGGCACGCTGGGTGGTATCGGCTGGCACGCTGCCAGTTTGTGGGAGAAGTTTTTTTTTTTTTTTTTTTTCCTTTTTTTTTTTTTCAATGAGCCTAAAAATGTTTCTGTATTAAAGTAATAGCAAGCCTGTTGTTCCCTTGAATGTATATTTACATCCTTTACACCTCGGAGCCACCATTCCACAGACACTTGTTTACATTATGTCATAAACGCAGGACGATGTGTGTGTGTGTTTGTGTGTGCGACGCGCGTTGTGAGAGTTGCTGCACGCATGCTGTTGTGGCTCCGTGCCATGCAAAGAGAACAGGGGGGAAAATGTCTAAAAAGCCCAGATTAGATGCCTGACCATTCAAGCCTGCGTGAACAGATACATATGGATTTGTTTCCAACGATAAAGATAAGGACCGTCCCATCTGCATTTTATGTCTTGAAAAAAAAGATGCAGCAGAAAAGGCAGAGGTTTACGCCTGTTGGAAATCTGTACCAGATAAATTCTGCTGCCTCAAGAACGTTGCTTTGGCTCTGTTGTCAGTCTTCGGTTCAACCTACCTCTGTGAACAAATCTTTCCACACATGAAGGATGTGCTCAGCCCCTCCTGCAGTCATTTGACTGCTGAACACTAGGAGCAATGTGTGCAACTTCAAGTGAAAAACTATAACCCCCGGACAAGAGAGCTCAGCAAACCCAAACAGGGCCAAGGAGCAAAAAAAAGTTGAGTCTATGACTGTTCTGATGAGAAGGGGAAAAAAGCTGAGTCTATGACAGCTCCCGCTGTCGACCTGTCCGCCGTCAAGCTGCTCAGCCACATGCAGAAGGAAGGCAAAGATGGCTAAGCCAAGCGACAAGTCAAAGGAAAGCCAAATCACAGGAAAATCCGGCTACACCAATCGACCAAT